CATTCAATATTCATTTATAAGCCATTCTTTGTAACTATTAGACCAACGAGTGTTAATATTATTTACCAGCACTTCGTTAAGGATACCTACATTTTAATGCAATGCGTATCTTATCTAATGATTAAGGAAACTGTATGTAGGTAAGTACTTATTGAATTGTGTCAAAGTCGTTTGGTTTTTGTGCAATGGCCAAGTAATATGTTTCTCTTTGAAATCCCGTTTTCATCATTGCTAAATAGATATTTATTTAAGGTTTAATAATAATTAAGGATTTACACCACGAAAAACAGCAATACAAAGTATAAAAAAACTAGCAACAGAAGCAAATTTTATTTTTCATCTTTGCTGGATTACAAGAAGGTAGGCAAGTTCTACCTTCTAACTAATAAAGGTACATACATATATGTTAGTACATGTTATATATAAATATAACATGTACTAAGACGGGAGGCATTTTGAGATACCCTCTCTCGCAATCAACCGGTAAGTAATAATTATTATAAGAACATACAGACGACTTCTATTGTTTTATAATAGTAGTTTGCTTTTAGCATCTATCTTACTATAATGGTAATTTTAGCTAATTATATAGCTCTTTGCTTTGAAGTGAACGTAAGTTCTTAATTTATTTTAATTATCGTTTAGAGCACACGATAATCGCCGAGCCTATTATTATTACACTCTTGGACATATGTCTTGTGTAAATTCGACGACTAATGTTTCAAATTTTTCAATTCGAACCAGTACTTCCTGTGATTAGCGTGTTCAAACATCAAACAAACGAACTCTTCAGTTTTATAATATTTTTATAGATTTATGTATGATGCCACCGCTGACCACACTCTAAAGATTTACTGAAAAGAAGTTTTAGGTCAACAAGAATATATAAGTAAGATCCTCTAACTAGACACTATATTTTAATACCTTGAGATTAAGTTATGGTATTTTGTGTTTTTTATTTATTATGCGAATCTTAATTTTTATAATAAAAAAATTCTATTCTTATGGGCGCATTCTTGGATGGAGTACTCGCTTTAGGCTGTCTTCTACTTCAGTTAAAATGTAGCAACACCTAGAATTTACCCAGTCCGGGGTGAATGGTTTATTATAATCAACGGGCCGTGGCTTTGTTTGTATCATTAGTTATTCTCAAAAATTGAAATTAGATTTAAATAGTGGTAGGAATGTATAAAAAAAAATCCGCACGGCCGAACCACTGTCCAATTATTTCATTAAGTAAGTATATTCCTGATTCAATTAAAATAGGCCGACACGCATTTTGTTTAGACAATCTCTACAAAATGTCTGTTGTATTTCACCTTCTCCACCAGCAACGACGCGCATATTGTTCACATTGTTTAAACAAGATGCGTACTCCTTTATCATATATAAATTGAAGTATGTACTTGCATGGGATCGAAAAACAATACACAGTTAGATCTAATTCGAATCTAGAGGGGCGTCTGCGGATGTCAATACTTATTGTCAAGGCCCTGTCCCCCCTTCTATTAACGTTTTGCGCTGGGGCTTCAATGGATAAACTAGACATTGAAACAGTCTCTTGTAACGCAATGCTAGGTAATTCGTTTAGTATATATTTAACATATAGTTAAGTCACAGAGGCAGAAATATACAATTGCTAAAGTACTGACTGTGCCAGCAACTTCATCCGAATAAAATTTATATTTTGGGCATCAAAATTTATTTTCGCAAATCTCCTCATCATCTTTATAGATTACTAGCTGTTACCCACCATCTGCGTCACGTCGTCCTTGCAAGTTAATCTTAATAGATAGACATATACCGTAGCGGACATTGTTTTAGATAATTTAATGAAGAATCATTTTCTCATACACTATTTTTTGTTTGCTTGAAACGTTTTTAGACTGTACTTAACGAAGCTTTAACGTTAACGATCCGCCTCGTTTTTTCTACATATCCGTGTTTCTTAGCTCTTATTGGTCGCACGATGTTTTATAAACCTAAACTCTTCCTTCATCAACACAACAACATTTTTCAAATCAAATTAATAGATTAGCGCGTTCAAAGAAACAAATACTTCGGCGTAAATTAGTACATAAGATGTGTCTCAAGCAATATAACAAACGTACCTGCCAGTACATGTAACCTCTGTACTTGAACGACTTAAACAATAATACGCACATTTTATAGACGTAGTGAGTCTTAAGGTACCGAAGCTGATTCGCAAAAACCGCTAGACGATTTCTTTACCGGTTGAAATTATCTACACTAATCTATAAAGCTGAAGTGTTTGTTTGTTTTTATGTTTAAACGCGCATTCTCAGGATCTACTGGTTCGAATTAAAAAAGCATTTATCGAGGAAGGTTATAAGATAAAAAACATCGCGCTGTGACTAATAGGAGCGATTAAACAGCAACAAATATGAAATAAAAGCGGGGAAAATTATTTATCTCTGTGGGTTTCCGATGCGCACGCTGCGTCAAAAATTCAAGATACCCAAAAAATATGTCTGAAAGAATGATTCCTCTTTAAATGTCCGCGACACTATATGTCTATCTTTTAAAATTAACTTGCAAGAAAGGTAGATTTTCTTGTAGGTAATAGTTACTAATGAAAGTGCAAAAACAAATTGGATAAAAACATTATTTAAGACGATGTAAAAAGTAAAACGAAGTATGTAAAAAAATCAAAAAAAAAGCATCAAATATCTTATTTTTATTTGGACCCCACTTAAATAATCTTTAAGTTTGAAAACGTTTGACACTGAATATTCAGCCAAGCGTTGACGCAAGAAGACTAATAAAGAAATGGCTAATTAGCTTTTTAACGACCATTTGCTATAGGTTTTGTTAGGGAAATCCTCACGATTCTTCTTCATTGTGTTCTCTGTCCTTGGTGTCGTGTTTCTACGCGTTACAAATGCTCTTCAAACTCTCGTAGTTCTGTATTGCTACGAGCTGTATTTATGTGAAACACATTTTAAATACCTAATAGAAAACACACAATGCTTGGCCATGAACGACTAATAAACTTTTTGGGATAATTAAGAATAAACCTTTATTTTTAATTGATAAAAATTTCGGTCGTAGGGCACTGAAGTCTGATGGACTGTTCACTCTCTGTCCCACAGTCGGAAACTGTTTTTTATTTGAAATATGTCTTTTTTATTTCGTTTTCATAAACTTACTTTGTAAAAGTGAATTCTTAGATTAGAATTCCTAAAAACATTTATGAAATTATTTTGTTAATTTCATTATTTAGTAACAACTAAACTACAGACAATGTCTATGGCTAGTAAATTTTTAAATCTGGGAAATAGTGTTTTCAAACCCACATAGGGTTTGAAAACGATAAAAACAAATATATTTTTTTCATTTTTTTTTTATTACTTTTAACTATAGTATACTTTATATTAAACAAAACTATTAATATAAAATGGAGGTGTATTATTTACGAACATAGTATAAAAAATATAATTTTTAAAAACGTACTCAAGAAATTTTAAAGACACAAGCGGGACTCGAATCTGCGTTATTTAATTTATTAAGTAACGTAACAGATTTTGAGGAATATGCCTTAGTTAACTAAAGCATATTCAAGTTTTAATGTCATTTTTATACAACAAATAACATACAAATAAGGAAGTCACGAAATAGACTGACAAAATAATTTCCAAACGCGATAGGAAATCAAACTGTGGAACCCATATGTGACAATGGGAGAAACCCATAGAAGTGGGTAGTTAAGTTCAAATCAGATAAATGTCTATTACATTTTTAATGTCATGTACGTTGCTTAGAAATTTAGATCTATCTATAATTCATAAAATTCACGACGGAATCCACTTACATTTAAACCTTAATCTAATTTTTTAAAATAATTCGTACAAAAATGGCAACACATTAAAGCTAATAAATTCTTATTAATAATGAGTTATTAATAAACTTGGTGAATGAATGGTCAGTACTTTTTAACAAACAATTTCGTTAATTTAGTTATTTCGTTAAGACATCTATTCCCAATCGTATAAGGTTTCAGAAATTGTTTAAGACTTTCGCGGCCAGTTTGGAAAGCTCCTCGAGTTTTTCGACCTGTTCGACCGTTGTATTAGAGGTCACGTTGTCGACGTTTCGCTAACACGAGTGGACGACGATAATAAGATAAAATTAAATGTCTTCCACGCATGATACGATAACTTTCGCATTTTGCAATAGTAAACCATTTTAATTTTATTATTATTTATATTATTAAACAGTGTTTTATATGTGTAATAAAATTTAAAATGTACCAAAATGTCTGACTGTATGGAGGATAACTTTATATGTTCTCGTATAAAAATAAATTAATTCATGTTTCAGAGTATATTTTCGGATTGGAAATAAGAAAATATACACTAATAACATTATTATATTAGTAGTGCTGTATGGTCTCATCTATTGATGTACATAGGAATAAATAAATGACAACATCAGTATATGTTAAGCGATCGTCGACTAAGATAAAGTCTGAAGTCTAAGTCATAATCTTGATGTCATCCACTCGTGATCGGAAAACGTCGAGAACTTGGACGGACTCGTTGGTCTAATGGTAGCAGGATATGGTTAATAATTAACGGGTCATGGATTCGTTCCCCATCGGGTCCAACATGTTTCAAATTTTTCAATTTATAGTTTTTCTGAAACACGTCGGATATTAAATAGTGGTAGGGATATTGAAATTCCGCCCGAGTCACGAACCACCGTCCACAGATGAAAAAGCCGTGAAATCTAATCGCGTTTCGGTTTCATTCTGTGGATATCCGAAAATCCAAAATAGGTCGATAGCGCATCTTGATTTAACGTTATGTGGGTGGGGTTTTTTACCTTCCATCAAGTGAACCCTACGCTCGTCTGTCCTCGTCTATATTAAAAAAAAAACTGTATCGTAATTACGACTGTCAAACAGCTCCATTTGCAAGAAGAAAAACTTTTTAACATAAGTGTGAAGGAACGATATGTCATGAATCACCGGTCACAGATCATTCGTTTAGAACGCAAGTACGCAATAGCGCGTCGACAACTGCGTAAGGGTCGCAGTTAGAGGCAGGCCGCCGATCTTCGAGATAACCGCGCCTCTGCGAGGCCACTGTACGTGGAATTCTGATGCTGCAGCTCCGGTTTGCAACTCCTGCAACATCATATAATACGTATAGAGCATACCCACCTTTTGAAACCAAATTCTTTTTTAATAGTTACTTAGTGGGTCGTGGTTTCGGATCCAATATTTTTCTATTCAATTTATAATTATTCTGAAACATGTTGGGGCTTGGCCTGGATATCTGGATATTAAATTGGTGGTAGGAATATCGAAAATTCGTCCGGGTCACCAATCACTGTCCACAGATGAATAAGCCGCGAAGTTTAAGACTGTGGATTTCCGCATATCTAAAGCCAAAATAGGTCGAGCGCATCTTGTTTAGTTATATGGGTGAGGTGTTTCATTTGCCATCAAGTTAGCCCTTTGTCTGTCATTGTCTACTATAAAAAAAGTATAGGTCAACGTTTAACCGAGTGTCGGTCGTGATACAATGACATATCATAATAAGGCAGTTAATCATCTTTCGATAAAATCCTCGATTGTATTGTTGATGTAACTGTCTCACCGGCGCTGAAGTCGTTGATGCTGGCCGTTTCGTGGAGGCCGGTGAGGCGGCGCTCGTTGTCCTTGCCCCCGCGGGGGTCGTACACCTTGATGTGCTTCATGTGCACCTTCGACAGCTTGTCTATCGCCTTCTCGATCTCGCTGCGATCGATACAAGTGTAAATTATTAAACGATTTTAGATTGAAAAAAATTAAGAAATCGGTTTTTTAATTTATTCAATATTACAATGTGAATAATGTTAACGTTTTTAAACGATATAAGCGTGTTACATTTCGCAAATTATTTTCACTTTAAAACAGCGCCATCTATCGGCGCAGCGTATGACGCAAGCGTTGATCTAATAGTAGCAAAACAATAAAAATAGTCATAATTTATTTATTTCCGATCTACAACGGATCCAAAGTTAAAAAAAAATGGAAATGTTGATATCAAAAGTTCAGATGTTATACGGGGCATTACATCTTCTGTCAAGTGTCTATCTTCTTTCTCAATTCAAACTTTCGAAAATAATAAATTCAGTATAATCGATTAAAAAAATCCTTAAGGGGCGATATCATTTAGTTTCGGTTGGTTAATCTCGTTTTTCATAAAATGAAACAATTATTATAGCGTTACAACCACTCTCGGTATCGAAAGAAGACGCAAATAAGTATGCATTGTCTGTTTTTTTGCGCAAGTAGTACACATTTAATCATTTAAAACGCAAAATATATTAGTTACCTTATTTTATTTATTTTAGCCGAACGGTTGTGTACTAGTTAAAATAAATTAAAAATAAGTAAGGGGCACATGCATATTTCGGATTTAAGTCCGCTCCCACAATGTTTATCGCCTACATAAATTGTTGGAGCAAACTTGCATTACAAAATAATACAGTAGTGCAGTATAACAGTAGTTTTTACTACTCCTTATTGTCCTCAATATCAACACTTACACAATTCCGTCTTCAGCTCTCATACTCTTCGTAGAGAAATTCATATGGGCCCCTGAGCCATTCCAGTCCTTGACAGGTTTTGGATCAAATGATACTATCACCCCATACTCTTCAGCCAAGCGGTGCAGGATAAAACGAGCTATCCACACGTCGTCAGCGGCAGTTACTCCCACTGATGGGCCCACTTGGAACTCCCACTGGGATGGCATTGCTTCCGCATTCGTACCGGTTATTGGGACGCCAGCGTACAGACAACACCTGGAAAATTATTTGTTTTTAATTTGTAACGGGACTTGTTGACGCTTCCATACCTTGGAGAGCACATCAAACCGTCTTCTTACCTTTTTTTTTGACTTTACAAAGATATCGGTTGCTTATCTGGGGAAATAGAATTCCTAGGGATCCCGAAAGCACCGTAGCGGACTGGTGGTGAGTTTAGTGGTAATAGTCGACACTATTGTCTCTGAGGAGGTTGTATTACGATTTAAAACACTCCCCACGTCACTATTGCCCGACGTGAAATTGCTTTAGGCATTCATATAATCAGTTTTTTTTAAAAAGGGGGGGGGGGAATTAAACACACCGAAGTATAACTTACAAATAATGGGCTTGTACAAGATCCCTAGCGAACACCTTATTGGCGCCGACACCGCAGTAGTAGGGGCCCTGTGGTGGTGGACACCCGCCGGGGGGCCACCCGAAGGGGCGGAGATCAGAGTCAAGCAGAATGTACTCTTGCTCCAGGCCAAACCAGGGTTCCTCGTCTTTGCACCGATCGTAGGCCTCTTGGCATTTAACGCGATGATTGGTGTCTGAAATTTTAAAAAAAATATATATATATATATTTACATTTGTGTTCGATTAAAGCTCATCACACACACAAATTCGTGGTTCATTGCAAAATAATTTAAAGAAAGGGAATTTTCTCGACGACATTGCGTTACGGAAACATTCTAACAAACTCTTCTTATCTCATGACTTTGCAAATAATTATGAATTGTGCTTATTTGTCATGTGGTTTTTTGAAAAAGTGACTCATGTCTTGAGACTTTACAATTTTCAGCGAAGGAAGAACATATAAAGTTTATTTATTGGTTTGATATCATGATTTGAAATCATTAATTATTATCTTCTCAAGTTAGTAAAAAGAACACAACATTTACAATACCTGTCGGCTCCATGTTATACTTGTATGTGTCGCACAAAACTAACATGTGATTCCCACGACGGAATGGGTCCCGATAGATGGCTCGAGGTACCAAATTAGTATCCGCGTTCTTTCTGTCAGCCTGACCCGTAGAACTGCCGTCGAAGTTCCATACCGGAAAATCTGAAAACGAACATGTTGAGTTTTAAAAAAGACTACTTATAAATACGCGAATATGACAAAATTTCAATTTCAAAGCAGTGATCTCGTATTCTTCGTTACGTCGATAACTTAACACGTATCGCTAGGAAGGTTCTGAGCGTATTTAAAACATTTTATCAATATCAGCCGAGTAAATTAGGGGCAAGATTTCTTTTTAGATTTTTTAATTAACAAAAAGAAAATCGTTTGTGCTATTGAAATTGTGTAGTCAGTCCTCCTTGCCATGAAACGTGTGGTAAAATTAAAGAACATTTGCACTAATTGCAGTGTCCGAAATAAAGAATATGTTTAATAGGGATGGGATTACAGTAGATGATAGATTTTAGACGCGACGGTTTACTTGGACGAAAAAAATGTCTAACGTAAGTCATCAACATAAAGACAATAATCATGACGTCACACCTATATAAACTGCAGAGGATCCCTTCGACATAATATATATTACAGCTAGTCCTAGATAAGGACAGAATGAAAACAAATTACATGGCCGTAATGAAAGATGAAACCATAGAGCACTTTACGAAATCACTTTTATTAAAGAGAGGCCGCACCCTTCATTTTAGAGCTAATTTGCCTTTGTGGCAGACAATACAATTTATTTTTAATTTACCAATTTATAATGATCCACCGCTATGCTTAACTAACTAAATTGGTAAAAATTGCCTAGACAAATAAAGAATTTTCGAATCCGGGGCCCGTGGTCTGTATCACAAGACTAAACACTAGACCTCGTTGGTCTTATTTTATATGTGTATATATATTGTTAGGGTTCACGTGATGGTAGGTGATATACCCCAGCCTTTAGCATCTAACCAAAAGGCGCTGACGACCTCTTTTGGATAGTCGGAAATCCACAGACTGAAACCGAAACGCGATTAAGCCTCACGGCTTTTTTATCTGTGGACGGTTCGTGGCCCAGACGGAATTTCGATATTCCTACCACCCATTTAATATCCAGATTTCCAGACGAAGTCCAGCATGTTTCAGAAAAATTATGAATAGAAACATGAAGGACCTGGAAATCGAACCAACGACCCGTTGAGTCATATACCATTAGACCAACGAGCCTGTCAGACCTATATCAACCTACGTACCTATACCTACATTTAAACGCCACTAAACCATAGTTTTCACGACAAAATCGTTATTGATAAGTATGGAGTTAATGAATGATTCTCACAATACTAAAATCTGAATATCGACAGAACCGATATTAATAACATTCTGGATTTTTATAATTGAGGAGGACAGGCAAGCATATGGCTCACTTGATAAATTGTGAAATATCCCAGCCATGTAGAAAAGAAAGGAGGTGCGTTGTCGATCTATTTTGCTTTGGACATTCAGACATCCAACCCATACATCGCTACCAGCAGACAAACAAACTTGACAAAAATCGGATGTCAACACACTATACTACGAGTAGTCAAAGTCGGTAATAAAATCAGGTTAACATAATTGCGCGTATAGAAGAACACAGGCATGCAACTAACACTAGATACAAGTACATCAAAATCGATGTAGCCGTTTGGGCGTGAAAGAGTGGCAAACATTCATTATATGCATGATTCAAGCAATTACTCTAATTATCCTCATGCCATATTAAGGCAGGAGGATAATTGAAATTTGAAAATCTCACGTTTCGGTTCTGTCGGAAGGTAAGTGAGTGTCCGGTCTTTACACCTCAGGTGTTCTCCTGTGCCGTCAATCCACACGTACGTTGCGATGTAATTTCCATTAGGAATCGGCAGATCCTGGTATCGGCTCAGAAGGGTCTTCGACAGGAACGCATTGGGTGAATTCGTGAGCACTGGCCCCGACAGGATCTTGGGGTTATCTGTTAATAGAATAATAGTGATTATCATCTGAAATAAATTATGCTCAAACGGACAATAGTTTTTAGGATTCCGTACAAAAATGGTAAAAATTCTGTCCGTCACAGTGTGTTACAAAAGCTTGTTGTGAATATACAATTCACAAGGGTGAATTGTATATTCACAACATATATAGATATGATTCCATTCCCATTATAGATATAAGGTGACATAGGATGTCACCTTATATCGATAATGGGAATGGAATTTTCATAAAATACCCAATTGTGTTTACCCTTTGAAAATACATAGAAAAATTGATATTTTTGATTTTTTAACGTAATTGTACTTTTTATTGCGTTCGATATATATAGGAATAAAAAATGCCAGTAGATATTTAATTATCATAAATCCTTGAATAGCCCCCTTGCTATTGAAGTCTTATAAAATGTGGACCTTGAGCTACCGTGCCTTTAATATGTGGATTTTTGAGACGAAGTTCAAAGTTTCCAGAAAAGTTATAAACAGAGGGACATTTTGGCCCTAATAGTGAACAAAATCATTTAATTTAAGTATTGGATGGATTGAGTCGACACCTTTCGACCGCTACTGTTGCGGCCTATACGCTATTCCGTCCATTTATCAGAAAAAATATATTACGCACTTTTTGTGTATTGATTACTTATCAAGGTTATTTGTTACCGGTCAAACATGTCATATCTACGCATTATAACGCAAGGTTAAAAACGAACAATCGTTATAATGTTTGAAAACTTTAATATTTCTTACATATTATTGCACATGATGGCACTATATGTATAGATTAAAAATCGAAAATATAGATTACAAATACAAAAAATCGGGCAGGACTTGAACCGTCAGCGTTCCGCGCCTTTGCTCTAACCAATTAAACTACCGAAAAATGGTTCAAAATGGGAGACGTAGGTACCAAATACTACATACAATATACATTTGAATAAAATGCTCTCAACTGTTCGAAATAATCTTTATATAATAATTATAAATTTTACCATTCATACCTACTTAGCGTGGATATTCCGTGGCGTCGCGTGTAACATAGACGTAGTTACCTTACGCACTCGACTAAAGATAAAAAGGTCCGAGCTTCGAATACCTACTGTGTAAGCGAAATCCTACCTATATATTTAGAAACTTTTTGAGAAAGTTTGTGCACCACTCCAGAAGTTTGGAAGAAGGTGGTGTCACCCCCGTTCATCGACATCTATTAAGAGTGGGATCTGGGTTCATCCGTGGGACGATAGATTAAAGCAATAAAACTTCTACTCACGCTCTATCAGAGAAGCAGGAACTTCGGACATGGCGACCTAAAAATAATAAATAAATTATTATTATGCTAACAAATCTTGTTTACATGGCATTGACATTATTGTAATTTTTGGCATACATCGAAACGACACAACACAATATTATATAATGCGTCGCATATCAACATTGATAATATAAAGTCGATGAGTGCGTCTGTTTAGATGAACAACACATTCAAAACAACTACAATACTTATATAATATATGATTTAACATAATTTTAAAAATTATTCAACGTCAGAGTTATGTCCGAATGTGTATCTAAATTAAAATTATATCTTAATTTGAGATATAATTTTCCTGCGCGGGGGCTAGAACCCAAGGGCACAGCGTCCTGTTGCTTGTTGGTTTAAGCCCTTGTGCTCACTGCCCGTGCTAGTAAGAGCAATGGAACGCTGCGGTCTAGAGTTCGACGGCCATGTTTCAATGTTACATAGATTTTTCTCTTACATTAAGATAGTTAAAGTCACTTAAAATAATATATCTTAAATAACTTTATGTAAATAGCTAGCTAAAAAAATAATACAGTTTATTTTGATACAGTCTAGATTATTTATACGGATTATAAAATGCTTGGGCCGCTTTAAGTATCTTATAAAACGCAGACAAAAACGCGGCGCAGAGCTTGTCTCATCGCTATAGTGTATGTGTGTGTACTCCTTAATTAATAATCGGTTAATGAAATATATATTATATTATTTGAATATTCTAGAGGGAAAATTAAAAAAAAAGAAGTGATTGCCTTTTAAGGCAAATTATAAAATAGCGTAAATTATAAAAATAATAAAAAATTCTTCTACGTCATAACACTAACCAATAGCTTTGCTTGGATCATCAGATATGGAGTTTTATTTTAGCGACCTAATAGAGATAAGAAGATTTAATGTAATGTTGCTATATTATTGCGTGAACAAAAACACACTTTCGCAATTATAAAAAAAAAATTATTGTACATACGATTTCGCCAATTTTTTTTAATATTATGTCACTCTAACGGCCAGACGTTTATAAAAAGATTAGCAAAATAATTAAAATTGTGTCATTAAAATATAAACCAATAATAACAGAGCCTACTGACGTTATTCAAAACATAGACTTTAAATAATCTGAACGAAAACAAAAGCATGCTTTTTCTTTATACGGAAGAAAATTATTGGCTTGGCCCCACACTGTACATGTGTCTAGTATAAACTTACCTTTCTTGAATTAGACGTCTTTACTACACGCTAGCTGGTAGTGGACTAATTTAAAGATGAAGCGACCGGTCGGTTCATATAATATATATTTCGTCAAACGAACGCATTAGCAGATTTAGATTTTCGAAACTCTATATATTTGGCAATTAATATTAGTGTCTAAATACAGTGGGACTCGCCGGTCCACGCTAGCCGTGATAACACACTGTGTCCTTCGATTTCTTCCAGGTCTAACATGTTTCTAAAAATCAATTTGTATTTTTTTCGAAAATATTTACGTTGCACTTTGTCTAAAGAATCTGGGACTTGATGGGTGTTAGGGAGGGGTGTTAATATTGTAAAGATATTATATATAGATTTCTGTACCCAGGATTGTCTGCCCTATGTAATGTAAATGTGCTTGAAATCTACTAGCACTATATAATTTAAAAATCGACAATAAATTGAAAATTTTTTCGACTCGGTCAGTACCACGGGCACAGCGTCCTGTTGCTCTGACGGAACGCTGACGTGCTTTTCTAAAAAAAATGAAGAAGGGTTTAATGGCGATTAGCCAAAATTGCTCTTTTTAAGGGGTAACAAAACTGGGACTAAACGGTAATAATAATACATATTATTTAATTAACTGGATAAACTGGTTTTTAACTTAAAAATATCTTCTGCTTGAAAATTTGAGCATTATTTTGACAACCTTCTTGGAGATTAAATTTCGAACTGGCTTGCACATAGAAAGCTATGTAGAACAACTTCGTCATTGGTTTAAGAGTTCTGAATTGTTCTACTTAAGGTTTAATTCCTGCGTATTATTTAAGAATACTATACAAGCTTTGACCGTACCTTGAATTAATAAATAAAAAACATGCAGTATTATTTAATAGCTGTATTTTTTGTTGTCTATTATTTTATTATTAATAGTACATACGAAATCAAATTCAAAACAGCGTTCGGATCTCAGTGTATTATCTCTGTTGTGGGGTAACTTTCGTCATTGCGTAGCAGGCATATTTATTTTAATGTTATCGACTATCAGTATTTTCGTGTTTGCCAGCTGATGTAATGTGACTAATGATTTGTTGAAGACTACTACCAGAAGAGTTCACTTTGTTACGCTTGTACATGATGTAATTTTACTAATATAATGATAAAGTTCATTAGACAAAAAGCCTATCAGTAAACAAGGCCTAGAAAGCTTTAATTTCAATATGTTGGTAGAATCTATACTAAATATATATTTATTTAAATATATACATTTATAGTTTAGCTTCCAATTGTATTTCTTTTATCCATAGATACTTTTATATATACATACTCCTTATATAATTTTTTTTTTAAGATTACAGCATAACTTTTTTGTAACTCACTCATTATGACATCAGCTATTTTCGAGCCTTTTAGAGATTATGTAGATTAGATTAAAATTTCCTAACAATACATAATACACATATATATTATATGCATTTAGTAAAAAATCATAACTTTTGTTATTACTTTAACTTGCAGATCCCACAAACAATGTTTTATTGTTTGCAAGATTAATATTATTAATGTTGATATAACTGTAACTAATAATAATAATTGGTAATGCATTAATTTTGACTAAACTAGATTACCGTTAAAATGGTTCTTGCAGGCTAATATTAAAAGCTAGACATGCTGTGTTTTTTTATATCAATTTAAGAAGGATAGTTCTATTATACGTGTTTTTTGGTTTATTAAACTGTTTTCCCGAAGCACACAACGAGAGCTCTCAAAGATGAATAAATTTCTCAGGTTTTCCACATTTGCCTTTGTGTACTTGTTCTTATTAGTCGCAATCCTGATGTGATATAGCCTAAAACCTATGTTGCCACACAAAAAAATTTCAATCTAATTCATTAATCAATCATCAATTCATGACATTAGAAGAAACTCAATGCTATAGTTTACACAAAGTATAATCAATATTTTGACATATAGTTTGTCATAAATTTACTTAACATGTCTATACATATTATTGCATCATTACAACAACAAAGGATAAACCTTCTTTTTGGTACCACTGTACTTACGTGTTTATATTTTGCCTAAATGGTTTCCTTCTGAGGAAAGCCTTCTTTTAGAACAACATACTCTTAATCTAATGGTTATTTGGTTACAAATTGATGTTTATTGCATTAAGTATGGTGTGAATGGAACCGTAACTATTTCCAAATACAACCGTAACACTCAATAAAATATTCTTCCTTATTTTGGCATATGATATTAAAACTTATATTGATAATTCTAATTTGTGTAAGAAGTTTAAGTAATTCATTGCTTTTTTTTTGTTTGATTAAAGAGTATGTTTTAAGGTGTATGTTTTCGTCATTATTCAATACTGTGTTTAACAGTATTGAATAATGACAGCTGAGTACTTTCAGGACTTTCAGGAACACACATATAAATATAATGGTCTTCATTAATGCATTACCTGGGCCTAATTAGTACTAACAAAGAAAATAAACAACATTTATAGATTTCTAAACCCTACTTAATATTGGTAACTGTACTTACGATCAATTACGCAGTTGAGATGAAGTTATATCTATGCCTAGATTTCATAAATAGTCGCCTTTATTAATTTTGGCTCTAGTCAATTTATAGGTTATGTTAGGAATAATAAATAGTATTTATTATGATATTTCGCGGTAATAACAAAAAAACCATGACAGTGACAGATGTTAACGTTTCTTTACCCTTGACATTGTCAATTTTGCTATTTGTGGTTCTATTTTATTAATCGGCAGCTGGTGTTGCACTTGTAAATATTGGGAATTACAAGAGAGAAGCCTGTGGCACCGGTGGGTTGTGGAGTTTTAGCTGTAAGTAAGTCTAAGTATATATTTATATGTCAATTTTGTACTTTATTCCTATAAGAATATTCATTTTCCGAGAATTCTTAGTTAAACGTACTTCATTGTCAAGTACCATTTCTTAGAGTATATTGCAAATACATAACAACATATACTAACAGAAGCGAGTTAAAATAAAATATTAAGTATACTTTATCTCCATCATTATTAAACATTTAAATATTTATATTTTTAAAGTATACTTGTAACAACATTAGTTTCAGCAATCCGAATTGTCTAATAATTCTGGTTACCAATCCTTCATAATAGAAAAAAAAAAAACATTTGCATGCTTTACGCTGATTGGTTCATTCGGATCACGCTATATTAAGATATAACGTGATCAGAATGAACCAATCAGATGTACCATGATGTACCAATCAGCATGTACCAAAGAGAATTAAGATTCTCTTGGTACATGCGTATGAGCAGTTGAGCTGTGAGCACTACAATCTAAGTTAAACAAGTGACAAGCGTGCGGTCGCCATGTGACACGTGTTTTCTGCATCTTAAACTACACCAGGGGGCCGTTTCCACGCGAGGTGCTATAGTATATGTGCAAGCGAGTTTCAAGACGACTGACGATTCATCCGCTGGCTATGTCTCACTGGGCCTCCCCCGGGGCTACCGGGGGTCTCACCCGGCGGGTCTGCCGCGCGTCAATTTTCACCGACCACGGCACAACAATGACTTTCTAAAGGAATTTCTCATCTGAGAACCGGGTTTTTGGTACAGGTCTGTGGTACAAAGAATGTTTGAGCGTTACAAAAATGAACAAGCGTGCGGTCGCCACATGATTAGTGTTTTCTGCATCTCAAGCTACGACTGGTTCTAGCGTGCGGTCGCCACATGAGTCGTGTTTCCTGCATCTCAAGCTACGACTGGTTCTGTTTCTACTCGGAGGTGTTACTACAATATCTGTGTGATCGCGTTTCATGACGAACCTTCGACCGACTTTGTCTTTTTGAGCGTCACCTGGAGTCTATTGGTCGGTCACAATGGGCATGGGGACTGCCACGCGACAATTTTCGGCCGGCCGCGGCACAACTCTTGACTTTCTGAAGGGCATTTGTCATCTTAGAATCTGGTATGTGGTAAAAGTCCAAAATGCTTAGTAATTTTGTTCAGTCTGTTTGTGGTCAATGATTGTTGAAAATTCAGATTCAATAAACTCTTGGCCATCACACAAGTATTGGTATTGTTTTGTTTTTTTTCCAAGAAGTTACGTTGGTGTCGGGTTTGTTGTTGTCAATTTTTTGGAACAAATCCATGCTATGGGTGAGTGAGTCAATTTTTGTTGACTCTCTTGTTTTGTTGTTGTTTCTATCTGCTATAAAGGTCGTTGGGTTTGTTTTGATAAGGTAGAATTATACAGAAATGACATACATAAAACAAAAAAAAAAGAAATTATATATATATACTAGCAGACCAGGTCACTCGTTGCTGTGGTTGAATTGTAGCTTATATGACATGTTTGTCGATTTAACATAGCAGTGCCATCTATTGATTACTTACTTAATCCATTGTAACTGTCAATTATTTATAGACAAATAATTTACAATAAAATAAAATTGTGATAATTAATGATCTAAACTATCCTATGTCTCAAGTAGGACAAGACTACTCACGGTGTGCCAATTTAATTTAAAATCGGCTCAGTAGTTTAGGAGTCCATAGCGGACAAACATCATGTCAGGAGGTTTATATTTATATAGATATAGTTATAGAATGTCTTTTGTTTGGTTCTTTTGGGTTGATTGATTCATTTCTGAAAGGAATGAGATTACTTTCTTTTTTGTTTTTGGTCAATTTCCATGATGTTAATTTCTGCTATTAAATTAGGGTTTGTAATAAAAATTATATTAAGGTGAAATCACAATTGGGCATTTGACAACAATTTCTTTTATTAAAAGTATTTAACCTCAGGCTCCAAAACTAAAACTACAAACTAAGACTGTATAGTATTTGAAGTAATTGGAATATTTAGCTAACTTAAAAGTTATAATAAATTTTGTATTGATCCTCTGCTCTATTCCATGACTACCAATAGAGAAATGTTAGTGCAATTCAATTTAAAATTATTCAGTGATTAGCAATTTTATTTCCAATTCCAATAGGTCCAATTTTACTATTAATGAAGTTCTTGTGAAAATGAAACCAGCTGAATCATAAAGAGTGATGCATCTCAAATAAATATTTATCGAACCATATTTGGCTCAATTCTCGATTGATTCATCATAATAGAGATGTCTTTTTGCTATTTTTTTAGACTTTGTTTGTCCCTTTTAGCCCCATGGTAGGGGTAAAAAGGGACAGCCAGGATTCATCATAATTTTCAATTTTAAAGGGTTTTATGAAATAAAAACTACATATGTTAAAGTATAATTATTTTGCATAAACAAAAAATAAAAAGGACCTACTTAAACTTACAAAGATTAAAAAAAATATATAATAGTGTTATCAATAATTCTAACTATCTTGGTCTTATTATTATTATAAATCTTATTATGATGAATATCCAACGGCAACTCGAATGTTGAATGTGCAATGCAACTGCCAAAGCGATTTTCTGTTGCGACCGTATTTTGGCAAGAATTAATGATATTAAAAATGTTTTACCGGTTCCACCTGGTGCGTCCAAGAAAAAAAAAACCGCCTTGTTCAGCAGCAACAGCCAGCATAATCCGATCATAAATATTTTCTTGTTCTGCTGTCAGTAATGGCTCACTGTTTGTGATAATCGTGGCTAAATTTCCATGGTCAAATTTTTGTTCTCGTAGTAAATCGGTATTGACTAAGTCAGTAGCTGGGCGATTAGGTGATGGCATACCATAATGATTAGGTGGTAAATTTGAAATTAAAACACATAAATTCTCGATCAACACCAATGCTTCATTTAACGATTCATGAACGATCTGCCTCCACCTCTTAGAGCATAAAGGATATGACCTTCACGACGTTCAAGCGGCATGTTAAACTGGACCTCCTTGGAAAGCAGATGTGCATTAATTAATGGTTATCATTGATATTCTATAATGTATATGTTTGTTAGGGTATATCAATCTCGGAATTATATTTATTTTATACTACTTTACTAAAAATCACTCCTTTACTTCTATGCGCGGGCCAGTCTGAAAACCAGCGCTGCTGAGTGTGACAAGCATTCAGCAGCATAGCTGAGACTGGTACCGATTGCCATCTCTTATATATTTATTACTATATTATTATTCTTTTTATGCACACATTTAGTTATAAGTTTGTAAATATATTTTATGGCAATAAACGTTTTGAATTTGAATTTATTATTATTATTTATTAACTTTATTAATTACAAACACCACAGAAATGGTTAACAACAATAAATTCTTATGTACTAGGTTATAACTAAAAGGCGGCCTTATCGCTAAACAGCGATCTCTTCCAGGCAACCTGAAGTGAAGGGAAAAACAAAAAATATAATAAAAGGACTATAGGTAGGTGGTGCTAGAAAGGATCATGAAATAGAAAGGCAATTAACAGCTGGAAAGATAAAATTTGGTAACTGAGACATTCATTATATATCTCTGGCGTAAAATTTTTGTTTTGGCATTGATCTGCTTGTTAATGTTGCTAATTCGGTGCAATATGTCTTCTGTGATGCAATTTTTATATTTTTCCCACAAAGTTGGTGCTTGCGATGGATAACACGTCGTCAAAATAATTGCAAACAGCTGACGAATGTTATTGGGCATTGATGTCAACGCAGCATCAGCAAGCGCTAAGTCCCAATGGTTATCGTCTTCTAGCAATTTCAGTTCACGACATGCATCTTGGTATGTATTAATTACTCGACCATTAACTGTTCGCAGAAACTCAAAAGACGTTGGTCCAGGCACATTCACCAATAACAAACGTATATAAAAGCACTTACGTTGCTTTTGATGTACTGCGTAAAGACTTCCTAATGTCTTAGCTTTGAATATGCCTGGAATGGAAGGATGTCGTTTTCCTTGTTTTCGTGGTTCCCATTTTTTACTGGATTTGTTCCATGTGAAATAACACGGCCAAAAATATCAGATCTTTGACACAATATAAAAAATTCAGTTAGTGTTGTTTTTGGGGCCTCGAATGCTCTTTGTAGAAGATTTTCTTCAGTGAAGTATACACGTTGACCGTTTACAAGAAGGATCTCTTTCGTGTATAGGGAAGCTGAGAATATGCCAAACAGCTTCATTGCTGCTATTTCGTCTTTAACAATCGATAATAATTTTTTTTTTTTAATCTGCAATCAGACACAAGTCTATAAGCGGATGCGTTGGAAGAGAATAACGTTTAGGCGTAGAGGCCAGTGTCTCGACTGCCTTTCTAGAACACGACCTTCCTTTTCAGCCTTTTTGTCACTACAGAAGGTTTTAGGAGATCATTGGCCAGGGAATTTGGGTGAACCAAAAGCCTATCGGCGTATTTCTTTTTGAACGAATGACGAAAAACGAAAAACGAATTTGAATGAAAAAGATACTCGTGGATCTCGTCATTTCTGGAAAACCAGGGAGCACTTGTAATAGTACGCAGAATGTTGTTTTGCATGCGTTGAATGATCATGATGTTGCTTTTATTGGCGGAGCCCCACAATGGAAGTCCGTAGGACCAAATTGGTTTCAACAGGGCATTATAGATCAGAAGCTTGTTATCTGTAGACAAGGCAGAGTTTCTACCCATAAGCCAGTGGAGGTTTCGAAATCTATGATTTATTTCTTTCCGTTTCTTTTTAATGTGATAGGTCCAAGTGAGCCTTCTATCTAAGTTAAAGCCCAGATATTTTACGTTTTCTAGATCAGGTAAGACATCAGAGCCAAGTTTGACAGGAGGGCAGTTTCCCCTTCTTAAGGTGAATGTGATGTGGTTCCATTTTACTGCACTTGCCCGGATGCGCCACTTTCTCATCCATAAGTGAGTCTCATCTAGTTGGAGTTGGAGCTTATTACTAGCCTTTACAGGGTCCTGGCTACTTGCAAGGTAGGCTATGTCATCAGCGTACGTTGCCACTGTCACTTCCTTAGATACCGGTAAGTCTGAGGTAAATATATTATAGATCACGGGCCCAAGAACAGAACCCTGTGGAACCCCGGCTTCAATTTTTCTTAGCGTAGATCTGGCATCCCTCTGTTTTACTTGAAAAAGCCTGTCTTTGAGGTAGGACTTAATAATGAGGAATAGAGGATGAGGAAGTTGACCTTTCTCTTTGCAGAATAGACCTTTGTGCCAGACTCTGTCGAATGCTTGCTAGACGTCCAGGAATACTGCTGAGCAGTATAGTTTTGTTTTAAAGCACCGTCTGATCTCATGATGAATCCGATGCATTTGTTCGATTGTGGAGTGCTGTTTCCTAAACCCGAACTTTGGAATAATGTCACAATGATTCAGGAGTTCCTTTAAGCGGACCAAAAATATTTTTTCCCATACCTTGGAAAGCATCGGAGTCAAGCTTATTGGTCGGTATGATGAAGCTTCGTGTGGAGGCTTTCCTGGCTGAATCATAAGGATTTCCGAAACTTTCCAGATTTTAGGAAAATATGATGTTCTAAGAGTGGCATTAAAGAGTGCGGCCAGAAATGTTATGCATTTACGAGGCAGGTTTTTTTAAATTGTGGGGGTGATTAGGTCGAATTCAGGGGCCTTGTTGGAGTTTAGCCGTCTAATCTCACTCGCTATTTCTTTTGGGGATGTGGGTTTCAGTGGCAAGCACAGCTGGAGATCTTGGTTAAGTATTTCATCAACGTCAGATTCATCACCACCATCATTTGGCTTGAATACTTTTTCCAGATGAGTTGCAAATACTTCTGCTCTTTCATCGTCCGTTTGTGCCCACGAGTTTGAGAATTTGAGGGGGTGAAGATGTTGTGATCCTTTCTACACAGTAAGCCAGTGCACGGGGAGCTGGTCTAATTCCCCGTTAGCTTGCGCCTAACACTTCCTCTTTCTATGTGTTCGAAAACATCGCCATTGAAAAAAAAAATCATACTGGTAACAATCGATAATAGTACATAAATGATATAAGTGCGTTAAGTTGAAAATTACAGCCGAGGCGATATTACTAGGGCTATTCGAAATGTGTAATTTTCATGGCTGTAATTATCAAAGCGCACGTATATCATACAACGTTTTATAACATATTTACGTGGAAATTAATAAAACTCTAACTTAGTTAAACGAATAAATAATTAATTAATTGTTAAAGCAGTTATAAAAATTTGAACAATTTTTAAAAGTGATTGTTACGTTGCCAGTTGGCTCTTAATGTTGTTAAGTTATTATTATTAGTAACAATTTCCTCAGTTTCTCTCTCACTCTCTTGAGTGAAAGTAGGAGAAACGAGACCACAGAGTTCTGCAGTCGTCGGTTGCGGCTGCAGCGACGATGGTGGAATGTACGCCTGTGTGCTTGTGGATGGTTGAAAGTCAACACTTGACTCCAAATGTATGTTCCTTGTAATGCGAGAGCTAATTTCTTCTTTATTTCTCAACGAGTCATCTATGTATCCCTCAGCTACACTGCTCGACCGCCACCCTCCGTGGCGTTTTAGTGTTAATAAGTCCGCACCTGAATCGGCGAGTAATGTAGCCGAGGACCTTCTGAAACTGTGCCCTGTGTATTCATTAGCTTCAGGCAAATTTAATAAAGTGGCAATTTCTTTCGGTATAGCTCTTTATCAACAACAATTATATTAAAATATAAAAGTATTTAATTGAAACATAGCAAAATAAACATTTATCATAACAAGGGAACATAACATCACTGTTCAAAATGGTTGTCATATGTCAAAGTGACATTGACGTATGCGACGCGTTTAGCAACATGATTAAATCATTAATTTTAAGAAGGTAATAGACTAGAGAAGAAAAGGAATAACGAACTAATAGTCTGACAAGCGGTAAATTAATCAGATTAAACTTGCCTACGCTGTGGGCAAGCGTAAAAATTTACATCATCATCATCAATGGCTGTACAGCCCCTTGTGGGCCCTAGCCTCCTCTAGTCGTTTCCGCCATTGCGATCTGTCTCGTGCTTCCTGCTTCCAGTTTTGGACGCCCAAGATTTCCAGGTCCCTGGCGACTCCATCCCACCAGCGGAGCCTCGGTCTCCCGAGCTTTCGTTTGCCACCTGGTTGCGAGTTCAGCAAGGACCTTGGTACTCTTTCATCCGCCATTCTGTGTACATGTCCCAGCCACTTAAGTCTGTTGCTTTTAATTATAATGAATTGGACGATATTGGCGTCGCCAAGAGTGTTGTATAGCTCTTCGTTATATCGGACTCGCCAAACACCGTCAACACAGACGGGGCCAAAGATCCTTCTGAGTATCTTTCGCTCGAAGATTAGGAGAGCTCGTTCTTCTCTTTTGCTTAGTGCCCACGTTTCGGAGGCGTAAGTTAGTACAGGCGCGATCGAAAGTATTTACTGAGCCCGAAGTAGCTACGGTTTGCTAGCATGATACGTCTGCCGATTTTTTTTCTGGGATCATTATCGCTTGTCACCATTGAACCTAGGTAAATAAACTCCTCACATCTCTCGAAATACACGTTTTCAATGCTGAACAACGATGAGTGAGGGGTTACCAGATATTTTGTTTTTTTTTCATTCATCAACAGGCCCATTGAGGTTGCTGCAGTTCTTAGGGATTTAAATCACTCTTGTAGCTGTGTTTTGTTACGCGTGATTAGATCCAGGTCATCTGCGTAATCCAGCACTTGGATTGACTTATAGAATATTGTACCTCTGGTCTCTAGATCAGCGTCTCGAATGCACTTTTCCAGTGCTACGTTGGAGAGACGGCACGCAAGTGCATCGCCCTGTCTTAGGCCATTATGCGTGGCGAATGTGGGGGAGACGTCGTCTTGTTCCCTAACACAGTTGGTCGTGTTGGCCAATGGTCATTTTAGTCAGTCTTATCAGCTTCGGGGGAAAGTTGAATTCAGCCATTGCCTCGTAGAGTTTCGGACGCAGGACACAATCGTATGCGGATTTAAAGTCGATGAATAAATGATGGGTAGGTATTCCGAATTCCGTCATCTTTTCCAGTATAGTCCTGAGAGCAAATACCTGATCTGTTGTGGATTTGTTGAGTCGGAATCCGCATTGATACTAGCCAATAATGTTATCTACATATGTCTGCAACTTACGACACAGGAGCCCCGAGAGAACTTTTTACGCAGTATTGAGGAGCGTTATACCCCTGTAATTCTGACAGTTGAGCGTGTCTCCTTTCTTAAGCAAGGGAATGATAACACCTAAGTTCCACTGTTCGGGCATAGTTTCTGTAAGCCACACTTCTTCTATAAGCATATGGAACTTTTGGGTAAACATTGGGCCTCCTTGCTTTAATATCTCAGCCGGAATTCCGTCCTGCCCGGGGGATCTATGGTTCTTGAGGCGATTGATCGCCGCTACTGTTTCATCGATCGTTGGTAGAAGGCTGTCATCCCTACTGTCCGCACAATATGTTGTATTTTCTGAGGCAGGGGCACTATTTGTATTATTTGGGGTAACATTTAGTAAGTTATTAAAGTGCTCTGCCCATATTTCCAGTATGCTGCAGAGATTCACGATTTCATCCTTCTTATTGCGACACCCGATAGTTCTAGGTTTGAATTCGTTTCTTCCGATTTACGTTTTACGTTTTTGTAGAAGTCTAAGGTCATTTCTATTCCGCAACCGTTTATATCACTAACTTCCTCTTCATCTCGTACTCTTTTCTTGTGTTTATGTATTTTCTTTTCCTTCCTTCGCGCTAGTTTATACTGTGCTCTAATGCTCCGGGAATTCCGTTGTAACATCTTACGGTACGCTACATTTTTATTGTCGGTCGCAGCCCTACATTCTGCATCAAACCAGTCACGCCTTCTCACTTTCTTAGTCATGCCAAGCACCTCAGTAGCTGCCGTATAGCATTTTCATAGTGTTTCCAGACGCCTGTTAGTGGCATGTTTTCGAGATTGACTGTAGACAGAAGTTCTTCTAATTTTTAATTTTTATTAAATCATTTATGTCCTATTAGTTTCCTAATGCAGGTTTTGAGTTTTACCGTTGGATATCTTTCCTTAATTTTTGCCATAACAAGAAAATGATCGGAATCCACGTTTGCTCCTCTTTTTTGACGTCGATGAGATTAGAGATGTGGCGGCCATCAATCAGAACGTGGTCAATTTGGTTTGTTGTGTTACCGTCTGGGGATTTCCATGTTCCCTTATGAATGTCTTTATGGGGAAAAACGAGTTCCCCCTATCACCATATTTAGCGATGAAGCAAGGTTGACAAGCCTCAGACCGTTTTCATTACTGGTTTTGTGCAAGCTGTTTATTCCAATCGTAGGTTTATAGAAATCTCTTCCTACCTGAGCGTTCAGGTCACCGATTATAACTTTTATGTCTCTGTTGGGGCATTGATGGTAAATGTTTTCCACTTGGTCATACCACTGGTCCTTAGTGAGTTCATCAGAGTCTTCGGTGGGTGCGTGAACGTTTATTATACTGTAGTTGAAAAATTTTCCTTTACAGCGCAGGACACATAGACGATCGTTCACTGCTTTGAATTCAATCACTTTCGATTGGGTGGACTTACAAATCATGAATCCGGTACCCAATCCACGGTGTCTGTCATGACAACTGTAGTATACAGTGAAGTCTTTATTTTGTATGCATCCGTTTCCATCTTATTTCTTGTAGAGCCAGAATGTCCAGTTGATATGGGATCAGTTGTTCGATAAGAATCTTTAGAGCACCAGGTCTATTCAGGGTTCTTACGTTCCATGTACATAGGCGAAACTCATTGTCCTTATTCTTGCCAGGTCGTTTAGAGGGGATGGGTCCGGTTTCCTTGACTTTTGGTTTCATAATCTGCTGTATTTCGACTGGGCTGGTGATTGGCCCTCCGTAGTCTAGGCACTTGGTCGGCTTATTGTCTCACAGCTGCAGCAGCGATTTTAAATTTGTATTTCCATTTAAATCTTTGAAATTATGAAAAATAAAACAAGAGATATTTACATACGAACTGAATTATTAAAAATATAATCAACGTTTTATTACATTTTAGATCTTAGTAACTTTCTGATTTGTCTAAGAGCAAACTAAATAAGTTTAGAAATAGGAAATTACGTTATACTCTAGACACATCTTGTAAGTAGGATCAATAATAAATCATAAAATCTTTAAGACATATGACTATCTACTTCAAGGACGAAAAAGTTAAAGAAATAATTTCTAATATGTATTGTATTAACATAGCCTTGTTATACCTAACAGAAGATAAAATTATATTTACAGAAGCTTAAAAATGAATGACTTGTAAGCTCACAAAAATGAATAATACACTTAAAAGTATCAATAAAATTAACTAACCGTCTACTTATATAGGACAAACATAGGTGCTTACTACTATTTACTTATACTTATAAAAAATAGTAAAAAAGACTCAATGAAAATACGCGGAAGTTCAAAAACGACTATATACTATCTACAATAATAGCAAAAAGGATTATTAAGGGATTAATTACAAGCTAATAATAAAAATATTTAAATGCGAAATTTGAGCTTGATGTTTTTTTATAGTTTCATTTATATTAGGTCGTGATAATGATGAATTAAAAAATCATAATGCCACTCTCATATAATCTTCTACATCTAGATCTTTTTTATTTTTAATGTTGGCTAATGCTGAAAATCAAAATTCCCATAAATAATATGTGAATAAAATGTGATTGCGATTTTTAGATTTATTGGAAGACAATTTTGGAATATTATTATCATATGCAAGTAAAATATTTTTAGCAACATTGTCTCTTTTTGTACTATGGTAACTTCGAAATAGTAAATCTCTATGCTCTAATTTTCTTTTCAATTCGCTATCTACCCATGGCTGTGTAATTCTTTTATTTTTTGGTAATACCTGTATGCTGCTTTTATCATAAATTTTCTCAAAAGACTCAAATATTATTTCATACAACAAAATAGGACGACTAATTTGCATTAAACCTTCCCGATCCATTTGGTTTCGATTATTCATCGTACGTGGTTTGTATTTTACAATTCGTTTTATTAATAGATTCAAATTCAAAACTTTTATTGGCAATCGGTACCAGTCTCAGCTATGCTGCTGAATGGTTGCCACACTCAGCAGCGCTGGTTTTCAGACTTTAGTAAAGTAATATAATATAAATATAATTCCAAGATTATATATCATAACAAACATATACATAATAAAATAATAATAATAACCATTAATTGTTGCATCTGCTTTCCAAGGAGGTCCAGTTTAACATGCCGCTTGAAAGTCGTATAGGTCATCTCCTTAGAACTAGCTCTAAGGTGGAGGCAGGTGGTTCCACATTTTTGTCGCGGCATATTTGAATCCTCCTTAGAAATTACATGGCCTATGCTTGAGAATAAGTAAAATATTCTGCGTCCTGCTTCTTGTGTTAAGGGTGTGCGAAGTTTCGGCCCATTCCAATTTATCGTAGAGATAGCGGGGTCTCTCTCTGGGTTAAACATAAGCCCCGCTAAATGCATCTCTCGCCTTCCCTTCATTTTTAGAAGTTTGTATTTGTTGAGATTAGGGGAGATGTGGGCTCGCCTAGTATCCCAAAGCAAAACCGGGCACATGCGTTTTGCACTCTCTGTATTGCACGTTCCGTCTAAGCGAACAATCGAGGCCCGTATACGGTGTCGCAGAAATGAAAAGTTGAGAGGATTAGGGACTCCGCCAATGTTACCTGACTTCCTCCGTTAAACACTCTTATTTTGTATAAGATAAGATTCGCCTTCGGCCTTATTACAAAAACAACACTCAAACCAGGTTTAAACCACGACTGTGGAATCTTGGTTTATCTCTTAAACCATGGTCGAAATGAATCCGTATTACAAAACAGGGACTAAACCTTGACTTCGTAAACTAGGAATTTATGGCCGTGTATCTCCTTCCAAGGATGTCGCCCGACAGCCACCGATGGCGCGTTACACTCCCCGCGCCCGCTTATTTTCGCGTGTGTCGTTAGAAAGAACTATACGTCACTAGTTTCTGAGATATATATGGTGGACCTTTTTACCCGCGGACCTTTAAGCCCCGCTCTACCCTACAGTCCATATTATCAATGTTCATAGGCATTTTGGCTGTTTCTGTACTTTGTAACAGCTATGTTTCCAATATTCGGTTAAAAATATCTGTATTGACAAGCATTTTCGAATATTGTTATGGGCGATAGTGATAGGGCAAAGTGTTACAATTAATAGTTAATGTAGTGTTGCAATTCTAGTAACCAAATTACCTATTTGAAATATTGAATTTTATTGGCGATTTTCCTTCATGCTTTACTAAAGTTAGGACTAGTATGTACATTTGGAACCATACAAAAGTACTTTCATAAAAAGTTTAAATAAAAAATACATCAATCAATCTGATACTCTATTTTCTAATTAGTCAAAAATCTATCATACGGTTTAAAAATGTATTTATTTCTCAAATGATTACATAGAATCTCTTACTGAGAAACTAGGGTAATTTCATTATAAACTTAACTAGCATTTGGTGCTACCCGCACCGTCTTATTAGTTTACAATACAAGTTATATTTGTCTATATAAACTACTATAAGCTATCTGACGCTAGCGCGAGGCATGCATTCCACTGCGAGCTTTCACTATTTAGTTGTGACATTTTTTTGCTTTAAGTTAACAATATAAATAAGTTAAGATATTATACATTATTTTTATTGAGTGTATCCCTAAGACTTAGAATATGGTTTTTAAGTTTTTTTTTTGAAAATCGTCATGGACTTTGATTCTTTTATATAGCCTGGTAATTCATTATATAGCTTAACACCACCGTATAAAATACACTTTTTGCCATAATTAGTTCTTGGTTGTTGTGTTATGATATTATTCGCCTGGCGGGTTGTTCGTTTGGATTGTTCAAAGTTGCGGGTTAAATTTATAGTTGAGTGTATGTCATTTATTAAATATATATTTATTAAATAAATTATGCAGGCTTTTCAGGTCAATGGATGATATTCGAAGAACTATTAAAGATGGTGATGGAATAGAATTGTTGATTGATGTCAGTAGAATCTTCATTGGTTGTCCATTAATTTCATTGTTAGCATTAACAATGGTAAGGTCACCAGTGTGTAGAGAGCAGTTTGTTGGTAGAGTTGCAAGATAGCTTCCCTTCAGGTTGAGATATTCGTTTCTGCCACAGGATAAAATAACTTTTGTTTCATTAGGAAACACGAGTGAGTAATGGGCGTCATCCAACTTTTCCATTGCTTGCTTTGTTAATACCAAAGTAACGGTGGAACAGGAGGCGGTTAAATGCTGCACGGTGATAAGGGCGGCAACGCAATCCGGTGAACTTTTGATATGGTAATTGAGGTCTTCTTTACAAAGATACCGATCACTTAACTTCGGGCATTCAGCCTCTATGTACACATAATCATTACCATTGGTTGCTATATAAGGATAAGGTGGGATGAGGACTTGGTTCAGATGATTCGGCAAAATTGAAAGTTTATAAAGATTATACATAATTGAAGAGACAATCGGAATCCTCAACACTATAACTATCCTGTTTTCTGAATAATATGACCCAGTGCGAATAATACTATAATATTCTCGCAGGTCAAGGTCTAATAATAATTGGTTTTTGTCGTAAAGACTCACTAGCGTTCCTAAAATACTGCGTAACATATCTATTCCTAGCATTATACGATGTGCACTACAACTACGCGTATAGACTAAACCATCTTCTACATTTCTAATAGTGCGTAATAACTCGCCTACATTATCATTAAGTGAATATAATGATTGCGCAAATCTAGCAAACTTAATGGTGTGCAATTCATCGATGCTGTCTTTTTTAAGGATTAACTGAATGGTTTTATTTAATTCCGCTTGATTTTCTATTAACTTATCGATTACTTTGGAAGATTCTGAAGTCCATTTCTTAGTTAAACTAATATGACGATTTGATTCGCTAATAATTTTATCCTGATTTTGGGTTAAAACACTAATTGCATTGTCGTATCTAATCGCATCGCTATAATCTAAATTTCCGGTCATGCTTTTTATTACAGTGCCTAATCCATTGATCAATCCCCGTTTATAACGTCCAGGCCTTAAGGCATTAAGTAAATTTGATGCTCGATCTAACTTTGCTTGTATGTGTGTAATGCGTACATTGAACAAGGAAAACGTCTGATTGTCAAATATTCTTTCCATGTCACGAATTTGGTCTTTTACTAAGTTAATATTCAAATCAATTTCGTCTATGTCAATATAATGTAAAAAGTTATGATAGTGAGTAATCAAGTTCATATGTCCGAGGTCAGAAGGTAGAAGTCCAGGTCCATTACCCATAGATTCAAGTTTTATGTCTTGCTTTTTGGTAACCGTTTAGGACGGGATTTGGAAACAGGTAACTTTTTCTTTGAGGTGTAAATATGGATAGGTTGGTTGGATACCACTTTATCAGCTAAGTATCGTGGAGCTACTTTACGTCGAGAAGTCATAGGATTATTTATGTAAACCGTTTGGTCAGGTGCATAGTCTGTCTCAGGTTCTCTGTGAGAATTATGTCGTAAAGTGATAGCTTCACGTTCCGCGAATGATGAGTCATGTATTATACTGTAAATCGTCTGCATGTTACTTTTATGGTTCTGCATATATTGTTGCATAAGTCTTTCTGATAAATTTAAGTCCGTGGGATCTCTAGGATCATAATGTCCTGTTATAATATCAAAAGGTCTACATTTTGTTAAACTATGAATAGAACTATTATATGCTAAAATCGCGTATGGTATGAGGTTTGAGGTCGGTTCATTCTTGTGTACAAGTTTTAAAATTCTTATATGTTCCAGAAGGGTACTATGTGTTTTTTTCATTGCTCTCCGACAAGCCAATAATGTTGAAAATATTTTCAAAAGGAGACTGCTGCATTATAAGTATTTTCTTCTAAAATGTATACGTAAATACTGGAGAAGCACCAGTCGCTTGAATATTTCCACTTTTTAATTCTTATAAATAGTAATTGTGCAATAAACCAACTTATGTAATGTGTATGTAATACCGAATGTTAAGTGAGGCATATAGGCAGTGAAAAACTTTATAGCAAACGCTCAGTGAAGAATCTACATATATAATTACCACACCAAATACATAGTATTGGTTCTTCGAGGTCATTCAATGCAAACGTGATGCTTAGTGTAACGTGAAGAAGAACTATAATACATTTAAAGAGTGTTCATTGAAGTGATTTTCATAATTTTGGCAAAGGAGTATTTTTTTACAAAGCGTGTATCTCGGAGAAATTGGACTTTGAACCTTTGTGTTACAGAGTATTCTCGAACGCAATTGCTACGCTGATAGGCACAATAAATACAATATTTTGAACAAATAAGACAGTGTGTGAATAGACACTAGACTTAATAATAATAATAATTCTTTAATCAGGTACAAACCCACATCTTACAAATATGTCATATAAAAAATGAGAAAAATAATAATAATAATACTAATTAGTTAATATTACTGTTTATTTGCGGTTGCTGTCAGCGTGCACTTTTGCCCAGTTTCTTAAAATGGGATTGCTTAGGTTTTCGGAGAAAGTTTGCACTATGAGATTCGGTGATGTGTTAACGCGACTCCAAAATGATGCGACCCTCGATCTTACGATCGCTTAAAAGTCCGATACCCTTGCCTCGGCGAACATGCCGGACGCACTGCAAAACCTCGGAAGCCCCATTAAAATACGAAAGGCATCATTATACTGAACTCTTAACGCATTGTAGGACCTCCGAGTAAAATTACACCAAAGTTGACATGTGTAAAAACTCTGGCAATACGCTTTAAATAAAAGTGTTTTCACCTCGTTATCACACCTGGCAAAGCGACGCGCCAGCATGTTACATCTTACGGCAAGTGATCGTCTTTCACGTTCAATGTCAGCATCGTCAGATGCCCGCTCCGTTAATACGTGCCCCAAGTACCTAAACTTATCAACCATTTTTATCGCCTCGCCCTTTAAATATACCTTGGGCACATGGTCCGGACCTCTTCCAGCCCTAAACACCATTACTTCTGTCTTTGCCGTATTATATTTTAGGCCATGTGACAGTGCATATTTTTCACAGATGTAAAGCATTCGCCTTAACCCGTTAATCGAAGGGCTGAGAAGCACCATGTCGTCAGCATAGCTTAGGTTATTGACACACAGATTGCCAATATGGCACCCGACATGAGTGCTTCTCAGCTCAGCGATCAAATCGTTGACGTAGATGCTGAAGAGGTCCGGAGAGGTCAGCCCCCCTTGGCGTACTCCGCAATCCAGTCTATATTCACTGGATAGCGAGTCACCCCATTTAACACAATTGGTTTGGTTCTCTTACCAGAACCTCAACAGACCGACCGTTTTCAGTGGCACGTTATGCCCTAATAACTTTTCCCATAGCAAATTATAATTTACGAGGTCAAAAGCCCTGGATAAGTCCAGAAAGCACGCATATACTGAGGTATTACGACTTTTGCAAAAGTTAACCGTACTTTTAAGACTAAAAACGGCTGAATCTGTCGATAGCCCCGGCCGAAAACCAAACTGCGCATCGTCAATACTAAGGTCTTTTAGGTCCTGATGTAGGACCTTTTCAAACACTTTCCCAATCACAGTACCAAGAGATATTGGCCTGTAATTGCCTATATCAGTCAAGTTGCCCTTCTTATTTTTGGGTACTGGAACCACTACAGTCTTCATTAGGTTTTTGGGTAAGTATTCCATACTAAAACAAAGATTAAATAGCATACTTAATTTCGAAAAGATTTCCTTCCCCGCAAACAATATGTGCTCAAGGCTTAAGCCGTCAAAGCCCGGAGACTTGCCGCGCGACATTTGTTTTATAATTAAGGCTATAGTCTCCGGAGATATTAGACGATCATCATCTCCTACACAAACTCTGCTCCCATCAATTTTAATAGCGGGTGAGGGTATAGGTAAAGGCGAGACACGAAAGTGACTCGCAAAGGTGTTCGCGATCAATAAGGGGTCTTCTTCATTATTTATATTTGTAGGCAATTTAGTAACACCATTAATTTTTTTAGTCGAATTCCAAAACTTAACAAAATTTTTGTTATACTTGTGCATAGCCAGCACATTCATTTTGATTTCTTCTTCATGATTTTGACACCATTTTAACTTATTTTTGAAAGTCCTTTTGCTCGATTTCATATTATCATACCATTTAAATTTAATTTACCATTTAAGGTGTTCAGAACGAGACTCGTTACTTCTTTCGATCGTAGTTCGAATCTGAGTGCGAATTATTATTGTTGTTATTTTTTTGTTTTTTGTTTGTTTGTTCTAAAACTTCATCTGTGAGATGGTTTCAAATATCTGCGCTCTCTGTTTTAAATCACTGCCGGCAAAACAATATTTATGTTGTCAAATATGTAAACAAAAATTCGATATATCTTGTGCGGAAGTGCAGGAAAATGATTTCTTTGCGATGTCCTCAAAAGACAAGATTATTTACCGATGTATGGCATGTTCCTTTGTCACTGAAAATAAGCTGCGCATGATTCTGCAACAGGAGCTATCGTCGATATTGACAACAAAAATAAAACAGCTTGTTACGTCAGAGTTAAATATTCTCAATGACAGGGTAGCTGGATTTCAGGATTCACTCACCTTCCTAAATAATCAATTTGAAGAAATGAAGTCATCTCTGGAGGAAAAAAACGCTGTTATAGACAGTCTAAAGAAGGACAATGAGCGTTTAAAGGTTTCGGTTGCTGAACTCAGCCACAGATTAGGGTCAATCGAGCAACACTGCCGAGAGAATAATTTATTGATTAATGGTTTACCAGAAAATAGATCTGAAAATCTGATTAATACTGTTCTTCAGATTGCCAAAACTGTCGACTGCCCGGTTACCAGTGACGATATTCATCATGTGACTAGAATAGCCAAGTCCACAGATGTTAGTAACAGGTCCCGTTCAGTGGTTGTCAAGCTACGAAGTCCTAGAATTAGAGACGTAGTACTAGCAGCGGTTAGTAAGTTTAACAAAAAACATCAACAGGATAAACTGAACTCTCATCATATTGAAATCGGTGGCAATAAAAAGCCGATATATATAACGGAGCACCTAACGGCGACAAATAATGCCCTTTTCGCAACTGCCCGCCAAAAAGCTAAAGAAGCCCAATACAAATTTGTTTCGGTTCGAAATGGGCGAATTTTCGTAAGGAAAAATGAAAACTGCCAAGCCTTACTTATTCAGAATAGAGACACTTTAAATAGTTTAACTTAAAATATAAGTAGTGTTCTATATGTAAATTTACTTTCCATTATCTTAAGTATCCATGTTAGAAATTTATTACCAAAATGTGCAAGGCCTGAGAACTAAAACATGTAATTTTTTTGAGAAATTGTCTACTAGTAATTGTAATTTGATTGCCCTCACCGAAACCTGGTTGAAGGCTAGTATTTCAAACAATGAGTTATTCGATTCTAGATATTCTGTTTACCGCCGTGATCGGTCGAGTTCGTGCAATGTCAAGTCAGATGGGGGCGGTGTGCTGCTGGCCGTTTCTAAGAACTTTTTTTCTGTTAGGGTCCCATCGTGGGAGTCTGACATAGAAGACTTATGGGTTACACTTCACTTAATTTCAAGCCAGATTGTTAGAAAAATTTCAATTTGTGTAGTATACCTCCCGCCACCAGTGAAGGCTGAGACATTGGCTCGTTTTTTAGGAAATGTAGACAAAGCGATGAATTTTAGTGACGAAGTGATAATTGTCGGCGACTTTAACTTGTGTAAGATTAATTGGCAACCTAGTGATGACAATATATGTATGAATCCTAACAATAGTAATAATGTTCTTGGATTCGGTCTTGTAGACTTTATGTCTATAAATAATATTAAACAATTTAATTGTATTCGCAATAGTGATAACCGGTGTTTAGATCTAGTCTTAAGTAATATACCAAATATTCGTGTAATGCAAGCTCCTGAAATATTAAGTAAACAATACGGTATTCATCCTTCCCTTTTAATTAATGTACAATTTTCTGGAATTACTTTTGTGCGAGCAGAAGGTGTTGCAAATTAAATGTTTAAAAAATGAAGTAAACTGGTCAGAGTTTTCCTCTTGTATTGGCGTTAATGAAATGGTAACGAAGTTGTACCATGTTCTCAATGAGGACTTGTTCGTTGGCAAAATTGAAAGTTTATAAAGATTATACATAATTGAAGAGACAATCGGAATCCTCAACACTATAACTATCCTGTTTTCTGAATAATATGACCCAGTGCGAATAATACTATAATATTCTCGCAGGTCAAGGTCTAATAATAATTGGTTTTTGTCGTAAAGACTCACTAGCGTTCCTAAAATACTGCGTAACATATCTATTCCTAGCATTATACGATGTGCACTACAACTACGCGTATAGACTAAACCATCTTCTACATTTCTAATAGTGCGTAATAACTCGCCTACATTATCATTAAGTGAATATAATGATTGCGCAAATCTAGCAAACTTAATGGTGTGCAATTCATCGATGCTGTCTTTTTTAAGGATTAACTGAATGGTTTTATTTAATTCCGCTTGATTTTCTATTAACTTATCGATTACTTTGGAAGATTCTGAAGTCCATTTCTTAGTTAAACTAATATGACGATTTGATTCGCTAATAATTTTATCCTGATTTTGGGTTAAAACACTAATTGCATTGTCGTATCTAATCGCATCGCTATAATCTAAATTTCCGGTCATGCTTTTTATTACAGTGCCTAATCCATTGATCAATCCCCGTTTATAACGTCCAGGCCTTAAGGCATTAAGTAAATTTGATGCTCGATCTAACTTTGCTTGTATGTGTGTAATGCGTACATTGAACAAGGAAAACGTCTGATTGTCAAATATTCTTTCCATGTCACGAATTTGGTCTTTTACTAAGTTAATATTCAAATCAATTTCGTCTATGTCAATATAATGTAAAAAGTTATGATAGTGAGTAATCAAGTTCATATGTCCGAGGTCAGAAGGTAGAGGCTCCAGGTCCATTACCCATAGATTCAAGTTTTAGTCTTCCCCGTCTTGCAACAAATTATCATTTTTGGTAACCGTTTAAGACGGGATTTGGAAACAGGTAACTTTTTCTTTGAGGTGTAAATATGGATAGGTTGGTTGGATACCACTTTATCAGCTAAGTATCGTGGAGCTACTTTACGTCGAGAAGTCATAGGATTATTTATGTAAACCGTTTGGTCAGGTGCATAGTCTGTCTCAGGTTCTCTGTGAGAATTATGTCGTAAAGTGATAGCTTCACGTTCCGCGAATGATGAGTCATGTATTATACTGTAAATCGTCTGCATGTTACTTTTATGGTTCTGCATATATTGTTGCATAAGTCTTTCTGATAAATTTAAGTCCGTGGGATCTCTAGGATCATAATGTCCTGTTATAATATCAAAAGGTCTACATTTTGTTAAACTATGAATAGAACTATTATATGCTAAAATCGCGTATGGTATGAGGTTTGAGGTCGGTTCATTCTTGTGTACAAGTTTTAAAATTCTTATATGTTCCAGAAGGGTATTATGTGTTTTTTTCATTGCTCTCCGACAAGCCAATAATGTTGAAAATATTTTCAAAAGGAGACTGCTGCATTATAAGTATTTTCTTCTAAAATGTATACGTAAATACTGGAGTAGCACCAGTCGCTTGAATATTTCCACTTTTTAATTCTTATAAATAGTAATTGTGCAATAAACCAACTTATGTAATGTGTATGTAATACCGAATGTTAAGTGAGGCATATAGGCAGTGAAAAACTTTATAGCAAACGCTCAGTGAAGAATCTACATATATAATTACCACACCAAATACATAGTATTGGTTCTTCGAGGTCATTCAATGCAAACGTGATGCTTAGTGTAACGTGAAGAAGAACTATAATACATTTAAAGAGTGTTTATTGAAGTGATTTTCATAATTTTGGCAAAGGAGTATTTTTTACAAAGAGTGTATTATGTGTCTCGGAGAAATTGGACTTTGAACCTTTGTGTTACAGAGTATTCTCGAACGCAATTGCTACGCTGATAGGCACAATAAATACGATATTTTGTATTTGTTGTCTGTACATCTTCTTCCTTTCCATGCTTATTTTCCGAGATATGGTACACCAAATAGGGGGTAACTAGTTTTGCTGTCACAGATCCACCAAATTTTCATAACATACTTATCAGGTTTGCTAGATCCTCGAAAAGGTACAAGCTGCTCGTCAATAGTGAGATTTTCTCCAGGCAAATAAAACTTTTTCAGGTTTTGGTTTACGTATTCCCATAATTCTCTAATGGCTCTTTAAAGGCGCAAGTTTATCTTTTGACTTTCTCAGGGACCTAGTATTTTTATCATCGAATCTTAAGACTCGTAATAAAGAAGCAAATCTATTTTTTCCCATTGTAGCTCGAAATATTAGATTGCCAAAGACAGGGTCCCAGAATTCTCTAAAATCCAAAACTCCCAGTTTATTGACGCCTATAGTCAATAAAAGACCTAGAAATGCTTGCATTTAGATTTTGTCTGTTGATTTCCATCGATTTTGTAAAACTCTAAGCCCTTCAGTATTGGTATATTTTACTATTATTTCTAATACGGGATCGTCGAAAAAAAGGCTGATACTGTCTATCGGATCTATTATAGCTTGCCCCGGAGGATGAATCATCTTATGAATACCACCGCGAATTATGTTATGTCGAGGCGTTCGGCTTTGCCTGTCAGGTTCTGATTTCCAAATTGTTCTATCTCTTCCTTTATAAGTGTCAATTGAAACGTATTCTTGTAATGGTACATCATCACTCTCACTCCATAATTTTCATCATCGTTTTCAGATGCTGGATCAGTCACATTACTTTCACTATCAGAACAGCTGTCAACAGCAAAATTCTCATCTTCCCTATCGCACTCACGCACAACAATGTTTTCATCGTCACTTTCAACGAGGGCACGTTGAATTTCAATTTGTGTTAGTTGTTGTTTAGCCATATCTTTGAATAAAAACGAATTAGAACACACAAAATGTTATTGTGTCTGTTGGACACTTCTGGATTGATGAAGTACTATTTTCGTTTATTAACCAAAAATAATAAATTATTCATGTTACAAATATTTTTATTGCACATTTAGATTCGTAAAACATTGGCGATAAATTAGATAAAAGGCCGATTCATAAAAATAAACACTTTAGTTTTTATGAAAACATAAACGCAAAATTGTGTCTGCAAGACACTTGTAGGTTGTTAAGGGTTAAACCGGTAAAGTAACTGTCTAGCGGTTTATGCGAACCGGCTTTGGTACCTTACGACATACATCTTTAGGTATTTGTATTTGTGGAATTAATAAAAGGATTATCTTAATAAGTTTATTCACACTAACTACCTCTTTCAAACCAGTTATTAAATTACATAATAATAATTATAAATGAGATCACATTAACATCTTTAAAAGCTCTTTAAAATTCCTCATCTATCCGGCCTATCCAACAGCATCCGTGCGTATTACTGTCCAAGTCGTTCAAACAGAGGTAACATGTAACGCCAGTAGTTTGCCATACGAATTGCTCGTTAGCGGCATTTCATACCCGGGTATATAATCAAGTTTCCTTAATTTTTCTAGTCTAGTTCTATACTTGAGCGACGGAACGTTTTCAATTTCTTCACAAAGTATAAAATATTTGACTTTATAGAAAACGTTCAGTATCTTGCAGTACCTCCTCGCTTCCTATGTACATCGCCCTAACGTACAACTGTTTTGAGGACCTGTAACGAATATATATCTTGTAATTTAAATTTTCGTCCATAGTACTAAGCCCGTATCCGATAACTGAGTCCGCCAGGGCGTCGTACAAAAGCTTCAGTGTAGAAAAGGGGAGCCTATATTTGAGCACCGCAAAGTTAGACAGAATAGCCCTCAACTTATTGCAGATCCTTTCCACGTGTAGCTTCCAATTAAACTTATTGTCGATTAAAAGACCAAGATAAGTAGGCGAGGTGGTTAGATCGACATTCGAACAGATGCAGAGGTCATTTATGCCGCCATTTGTGTGTGTGCGCACGAATAATTGGTCTAACGCTGGATGCCATATAATAAGCAGAGATGTGCATCATTTTCGTTTTTTCGTATTTAATGTTTCGTATACTTGTTTTTGATGTTTATTCAGCAATGGCACAGTATTTCGAACTGTTATATGGGTTTTAGGAAAAGCCTCTTTAAAAAAAGGTATTTATTTCACTGTTACATAGATATTGAAAGAGCCATTTGGCAGTGTTCTGCGGCGGAGGATGGATAGAGACTGACTGAATTAAAATATTATATTACTGATGCCATAGCGATTCTGCTGACAGCAGAATCGCCTACTATTAAGAATTCTATACTATTGTGGGGTATAACAGCCACCCGCGAAAGACTAAACTTCGGGGTTGAATAATTATGAAAGTTTACGTCACTCTAAGACACGGCGAAGCTATTGGTGAGGGAGTGCTATGTACCGATTATGGTCGTAATGGAGAGGTTTCAATATTAGGACTGCGGCCAGGCTTTACAAAATATTTAATGCAAATCTTATAACCTACACAGAAAATAGAAATTATGAATATAAAGGTTAAAGTGTTTATTGCGTAATGCGTCCCGTATTTATCAAAAAAGGAAGGTTTAATAAAACCTTCGATGATTTTATCGGCATCGGAAGTTATTAATTAGTTTGTTGTTAGTTCGTAGATTTTCTAAATTTATTTTTTCTAATTTAATAGGGGATGCATTATGCGTAATGTAGTTTATTTTATTAATAAGATTCATTTATAAGATTAAAATCATTATTAAAAGTAGCGGTACTAAAATTAATGGCATTGGATTTAGGGGTAAATAGGTTACTATTGCTAAACTCTATACAGTTTTTAGGTAATGTTAATATGCCGGTACCGGTAAAATATTTTTATAAAAATGTTTGGAGGAATCGCAGTCAATTGATAGTTTTGTCGTTTCGGACGGCACATAAATCCATTTGTTGTGGTTGATAGCGGTCCAAATATTAACGTAGCCAAATATTGTTTTGGTTTTGCACTGCTTAGGTAGAAAAGTTATCACTCGCGTTATCAGTTCACTTTCACAGTTAGCATTCTCAATCGATGACAAGACGGTAGTGATTTTGTAAATATAATTCTCAGGGTTAGCACTTTCACACTGATTTAGATCACTTAATGTGCCGTATCGTGTTTTGTCTTTGGTCATTAAATTACTACTGGGCATAATGACGCTCTAAGTATTTGGCTTAACAATATCATGTGAAATGGTAAGGGTAAGATTCGATACACGAAATATACCTCATGTTTAACTAAAGGTATTTTTAAAACGAATACAATCTTATTACTAATATAAAACGAAACTACACGGCATATTCTTGAAATAATAAACATGTTACTTAGTTTGAAAACATTAATATTTTTCACATGTTATTGCACATAAGGGCACTATATAATTTAAAGATCGAAAATAAATTGAAAAAAATTGCGCGAGAGGTGTAGGACTCGGTAGCTCAATTGGAAAGCAACAGCACAGAAAGCTGACGATGGCGGTTCAAGTCCTGCCCGAGTCGAAAATTTTTTCAATTTATTTTCGATTTACTTACTTAGTTCTAAACTTATTGGTAAATTAACACCTGCGCGAAGATGCATTTGGTTATCGGCGAGCTCTCGGTATAGCTGCATGGGTCTTCTAGTCTAAATGATAAAGTAAGGAGCTTTCAAGACGAATTAAAATATTATCTAGTTTGTTTAATAAAAAAACGCAATTACTTGAATTAAATTAAATAAGGAAAAATGTATAGTAATATTTAAATTTAATAGAACTGCAAATAATTGAATATTGTGCAATGTGCACAATATAAACAATCAACTTGATTTACAATAGTTAGAACTTCCTCCGAAAAGTACAATCAAATGACTTCTTTTAAAGACACCCGACTGCACCTTTCGGAACAACAATCAACTAGGCTAATAATTAGTATAGCTTCCTTCGGTATATATATTATTATAGTCCCAGGAGTCATCCATTGCTTTCTGATTGTCTTAGAATTTCGTTGGAATCGTGTTTTGATGTGGGCTTTAATAGATTTAGTTAAGGTATTTGTTAAAGCCGTGACAGCTTTGTTTATGTTCGTATAATACCATATGAAATCAACCGAAGATAGTTCGTTTTTTAATTTATCATGTTCAATGACTTGATAAGAGATAGACAAATTATTTTTGTTGGGGGTGTGAGGACGTGGTTGATCGATTCCGATAATGACAAACAGGTCAGTGACTTGGGAAGGGCTACCTTTGAAGGAAAGTTTGATCTGATCAAAGCATGATCTAGGCAGTTATCTCCGCGGGTCGGAATGAAATGACCTTGAATAAATCCATAGTAATTCTCTTGAGTCGTCAGTCAGCTCCTTTAAGTCTATATTAAGGTACCTAACTATGTAGATGGGTTGACCAGTGTCAGAGATAATTATGTTTTCTAGTGAGTTGAGAAAGTTATGTATGTTGTATGTGGACGGAGATCTAGAATTAGATATGATTACCCTCTCATTATTTAGCACACTAACTAGAACATTTTCTTCAGGGCAACGTGGTTAGGTAGTAATTAGGTTCATACAGTTTCTATAGAATATAACGATTACATCGCATTTATTTTGGAGAAAGTGCATATGTAACCATCAAGAAAAAAGCCTGTAAAGTTTTCATCAATCCAGCACTCTGTTAGAATAATTAAATCCGGCTTAAATTGCAGTCTATCTAACATTTTGTTAGGTTAGTAGTACTTTTTAACTAAAATTGAATTAAACTAAAACTAGTTTTAGTTAAAAAGTAGTATATGTCGATATATAATGTCGATAATAACCTCAATTTTAGTATGTTCAAAATTAAAGTATAGAAATAAATTGAAAAAAGTTAATAGGTTAAAGTATAGATATAAATATTTACCTATCTGAAAACTGACATTTTGTTCGGTACAATTTCTATTATGTTTCCGAAAAATTACTTTGTTTGGAGTTAATATTATTTTTCTAACGGAGCAATTAGAGCATGCTATATTAAAAGCTTATTGTAATAAGGCTGCCATCTTGATTGCCGAAGCGGGATAAAAATATATCGGATTTTCTTTGGACACCTTTTCTTTTTGCCTTCCAAAATAAGACATTTTCATTTCATTTAAAATAAACATACTTTGCTGATAATTATTTATATTTGTGACTGACCTGCTCTTAAAATATCTTCCTATATTCTGATCTTGTCTCAAGTTCACCACCCGGTTTTTCATGTTTCTCCTCAATCAACCTCTTTCTGCAACGCTTCGACATACCTATTCGATTGGTGTCACTTTGTCGCGTGCGCAGCCTTGAATGCGTTGCACAACACAAACCGCGTGAAGCTAGCGTAAGGTACGGTACAAGATGTTCGTAACCTCGTTCCGCACTGTGTTAGTAAATTATTTGTTTAGTGCGGCACGAGGTCTAACAAACCCGGCATTAAAGTTGATGTACCATAGAACTAGGAATGAATAGCACATCACAAATATATAGTTATCACTCTCCTACTCTGAATCTAATGGAAGTAATGCCTCTCTCACGACAGAGCTCAAGTTTTTTCTTACCGCTACAAAGACGAGACACGGACAGGGTGTTTTAAGCCCTGTTTCGCACTGAACGTGTTTATCATTTTTATATTATTCCATACAACATTTTTTCCTTCTTGGTTTTATATACCCTCCCAACTTTCTTGTAATTTTATAGATCATTAAAAGTACACTTACTACAAATTTGTGACCTGATTTCCGTGACGTTTTTATTATGACGTATAGAAGTGTACTGATGTGGAGAATATATAGGATCAGATTTTTTATTATTTTAAATTTCCTTTTCTATTATGCTATGTATATTGTCAGCTTCGTTCTGTGTATGGCGTTTGATTAAATATTTATGAGCATTATTCGATTTTATATTTAAATGTATCACACTGCGTAAAGATACAACGTAACGATAAATATGTGTTTATATTTTGCCCTCCACAATTATTCGAATACAATATTAGATCAATCATTTCTTCAGCTCTAGACTCACTGAAAAGTTTTTCAAGACAATTTAATAAGCATGATCCTATGATAACTCTTTACCATTATAAGCCCAAAAGGGCGCCGTTGTGCAATAGATCTATTAACAATTCAACCGGTGTATTTAAAAATCGTTGATATCCTCTCAATCGGATGTATCAAAAAATGATAAAATAAGAACGGCTACCGGAAGTATTTGTTAAATGATTTTTATGAAATTATAAGTATTACACCCAAATACTACCATATACATAAATTAATAAGGGAAATAGATAAATGAACTTCAACAATCCTATGTCATTGGCACCTCTTTTGGCGTCGGTTTCGCTCCAAAAATAGCACTGCACGTTGTTGTACGAATCGTGCATTTTGCATTCTACTTTTTTATTCAGAGAAGCAATTATAGTAGTTATTAAGCTAGTAAGTTAGCTATTAAGTTAAATTCTGTAATAGAAAGCAGAATTACTTTGTTATTGATATCAACTTTACATCGATCATCATATTTTTCCTGTCGACTGAGGGCCTTTTCTGTCAGATGCATGTTATATTTTTCTTCGATTATAAGTTGTTGCGGCGCAGTAAAGGACTCCATCAATCAACAGGCAAATGCATTGAAATCAGCATCGCCTGTCCATCTGTATCCGGCGTAATTTTTATAATCATATTGCAAGTCAAGTGTCAACTATTTGTCAGAGCAAAATTAAACGTCGAATAAGAAGCTAAAGTTTTGTATTAACGGCGTACTCTCGCATTTATGTGCTAAAACATAAATTGGTGACCCCGACGTGATCGAAAACGCAATAAGCAAACAAGGAATAAATAAATTATTGGATCTATAAATATTAATACGAAATTCGTCGATTGTTGGCAGTGGATAATCACGCAAGTTAAGTGCCTCTCCTACCCACTAAAAGTGTTTTTGTGCAAATAGTGTATTATTTCTTCAGAATAACGTTTTAATTGATATAAGTTTTAACTAGTGTTTTGATATTTCATTTCTTATAGAACAAATAGTATAAAAATATATTAAATATTAACCTTACGTTTCAGATCGTTGTATGTTGTGCGGGTGCAGATTTCTACAGGTTACTTGATTGTAAATCTCACCGAAACGAGCAGCGTAAGGCATTGTTAGTAATTTTAATTGTTTCTTTTATTAGAATTGTTTTATTAGGATGTCGGTCGATGGTGATAAGACTGTCATGGATTAAATTAAGCGAGTTTCAGCCATAGGGCAAATTACTAAATTCAAAAATTTTTTAGAATTCATAAAAAAGAAACCGGAATTAAACAATATCGAAGTTACGGAAGCTGAAACTCGCTAAGTTTGAGGTCTTATCGCTTCCATTCGATGACCTGCAAAGCGAAATAGAAATCAAAAATTCGAGTAATATTGAAAGTGAAATTGAGGAACGCGATAAAATCGAACGAGATAACATTACAAATATGGCTACGGCTAAAACGTTGTTAGAAAGGTCTTCAAATATGTAAGATGTTGAACAAAGGCGTCAGTCTATTCTAGAAACGTCATGTTGTGGGTCTGATCACCAGGAGGTAAATTTAAAACTTCAAATCGCCAAAATACAAATCGCCAAGTTTGACGGTGCATATTTCCGGTGATTAGAATTCCGTGATACTTTTGAAAGTTTAATACATAAAAATTCTAAGCTTTTGGACATCCATAAGTTCCATTATTTAAACTCATAATTAGAGGGCGAAGCCGCTAGAATTATTTCTAATTTAGAGGTTTCCTCTGCCAATTATAGGGAAGCTTGGAATTTAATCTGTTATCGTTACAATAACAAAAGAACTTTGATTAATCAACTTCTTAATGCACTCTTCAGTATCAAACCGCTTCCACGAGAATCCGAAAAATCATTGCGTTTCTTAGTTGACCATGTAACAAAGAATTTACGTGCGTTATCGAGCTTAGGACAGCCAACCGATAAATGGGACATTCTAATTATTTTCATGCTGTGCTCTAAATTCGACAGCAACACTTTGACTAAATGGGAAGAGTGTCGAAATAGCTTAGAAGGTGACGTACCTACTTTACATCAAGTTTTTAAATTTATGTCGAATAAATCGAAATAAATGTGACAACGCACCGTCTAGGGTCATACAAAACAATATGCGTAATAATAATAATTATTATAATCAAAATAGTGTAAAGCCAGGACAAAGCTTATGTAAAGTAAGGTCACCAAATAAGGCCTACCTTATTTTTTTTATTACTTAACTAGTAGGTTTATAATAAAAATGCACTGTTTATTTGAAATACTTGTATATATTTATTAAACTTTGTAATAAATGAAACAAAATTGCTTTAGAAACAAAAATCACACTTTTATGAACACAAATAACTAAAATGTCACTTTGGCCTTATTGGGAAACCTGTGTCTTAATAAAAACAAGTAAACATTCAACTTCTTTATTAATACAAAACGTTTTCAATACTTATATTAAATATAATGAGATCCTTTTGATAATATTTGGTCATTATAGATCAGACTTCACGAATTTTTCTATCTATATTAATCAGCCTTTTTCATCTTTTTTTTAAGCAATCTCTTGAACATATAAATATTTTCTCAGCGGATGTGAGTCCAACACACAGCTCATGATACCAAACGCCACAAGTAAGACATTGTCGCATGTCATCAACTCTATCTTCATTACAAGCTGGACAGTACCAAGAAGATGAATAAGATTTGTTATCGTGATGTTTTGGTTTAGATCCCGTAAGCTTATCTGCGGTCCAAGAAACAGTCTTTACTAAGTTTTATTATGGTGTAGCAGCCACTGCAGGTTGTGCAGATGTAAAGCCAGTAACTGCTAATTTTGGTGTCTTTGTGCTTATCTTCATCATGGAAGAAGTACCAGGAACATCTTCTACTCTTGAGAATGGTACAGTAATTTGTGATGTGGAATTCGTAGCATTGTCACTAAACAAATCTTTTGTTACCTCTTGAGCCCTGTAATTTAGAGATTTCTTTCGTGGAAAAGTCGGTTTAACTTTAAATTTAGGTGTGGGTAAAAATTAATGAACCTCACACGTGGTTGACTGTTTGTTTATCTTATTTGGAGTTCCAGAATTCGGAGATTTGTTTTTTGAGAGCAAGGACACCGGCAAATTCTCAGTGTCTGTGCCTGACCCATCAGAATTTTCCACATTTCCAGTTGAAGTCGCCTGTTCCCTCAATGCATCAGAGAAGACAGTAATATTCTCCCTGTTTGAAGGAACTGTAAGTTCTGACAACGCAGGGGGCGCAAACGCCTCTTCAGGAATAGCATCTGGGTTATTTATATACAACCCTGTAGCGCGAAATCCATTCGTGATATTAGAAATTGTCATACATTTCTGCCATACCTGTGACAGAATTAAATTGAAGCTTGTCTTGTTAAGGGATCGTTCGGGATGCTGAATGATATATTTAATCAACTCTTGGTCCTTTATCCATGGGCTGTAATTTATGCGTCGTATTTGACGAAAGACAATATAAAGTAATGCCACATTTCTCAGCTTCATCGACAATAGTAAAGTCCAGGTGGCATGTTGCACCATCAATTATGAGGAGACATGGCCCTGATGTTCTGTATTTATTCAAATGATTAATAAACTCTATGAAAGTCTCTGTCGTCATACTTTCTTTTGGCGTCATCTTTACCAGAGAGCTGGGAGGTAAATTATCTTGATATTCTGGCTTTAATCTCTTGCCTTTAAACAGTATCATTGGCGGAATAGCTGATCCTATAGCGTTTCCACAGCCTACCACAGTCACACTTTCAGCGTGCTCATTCGCTATTTGATGAACTCTCTTTCTCCCTCTGGCTGTCAGAACTTCATGCTGATGGTGCAAAGATTTGCGGCAATTTTTTTAATATCAGTATTAGCACATTTCGAATTACCGGTAAGAAGCCAACCGAAAACACTGTTAATGGCTGAAGGTTGTGTTCGAGTGCCAACAATATTACCGGGTAACAATAGTGAAGCGAAGATTTCAGCCCCAAGGAGTACATCGACCGGAGACGGCTTATGACAACTTGGATCAGCTAATTTTAAACTACTGATATGGCTCCATGACGATATATCGATAGTAGTTGATGGCATTTTTCCACAAATACCCGGAAGCGTATACGCGTATACATTATTTTAAAATAATGTATGGATCTATGGTCTGACAAATAAATTATTATTATATATATTATTATATATTATGTTGAAAAGCGTACGATTATTAATACCAATGTCAAGCTGTACAGAACCTGAAACAACGGACTTTGAGTTTCCTAAACCGTGAACATGATGCGAACCGTTAAATAGTTTCAGTTTAAGACGTTCTGCCGCTTGCTCAGTGATGAAATGCGCCTGACTTCCGGAGTCGATGAAGGCGCGAAACGATTGATAAGAACCAGTTGTGTCACGAATTTGAATAATAGCTGTAGATAAGAGAACGATTGACTGATCACCCAAACTCGTGAGTACACTAAGCTGACTCGGCCCTTGACTAGTAGAAGGTTCTACGTTAGTAGCCAAGTCCGGTTTCGATTCTTCGTGAAGAAGAGTGTGATGACGAAGACGACACTTCTGACATCTAAAAATTGATTTACAATTTTTGGGTGTGTGAGACGGTTTTAAGCAATTAAAACACCAACGATTAGTTTTAGCATAGTCTATACGTTCAGCAACGGTAGTCTGTGCAAACCGTTTGCATCGGTTGACAGAGTGATTTTCCGGACAATAGCTACATTTCAGAATTTGAGAAAATGATGTTTGTGTGGTTGAAAGTACCTGTGATTCTGTAAGTGTGTGTGTGTGCATTTTTCATAGAATTCGCGGGAATAGTGTTATTCTGAGCATCAAAAGATGTTTCTGATTTCGATTCATTAGTAAGAAATACTGTAGGCGATTTTGCTGGTTTTTTAACGTTTTGAAATTGATTCATATTTTTAGGTTAGGTTAGGTTAATATGAGACGATTTAATTTTTTCTTCATAACTAAAATGTGTATCGCGAACAAGTGCATCACATTTTGCATATAGAAATTTAAACAAACTATCAAACTTAGGTAATTCGATGTTATTATATTTCTCTTCGAAATTACAACGAATAGTGGCGGGTAATTTTGATAAAATATGATAACATAAAATAAAGTCCAAGTGGTAAATAATTAATATTAGGACCCTCATCAATCGATTTACGAGCCTTAACAACGGTTTTTAATCGTCTTTTAGTGTTAAACGACATGTTTAAAGATTTCGTTCAGCAAAACAGTTACTAAAAATGAGGGTGGCGACAAAAAATAAAAATTAGGGTAGATACTAAATATATATAGATTAACCGTAATATTAAGCTTAATCGTTTAATTATTACAAATTTCGAGTTGCTTACCGAATTAAATGATAGAATTAATAATAATGATAGAAGTTCCCGGGTTTCGGCACCAAAATAATGTGCGGTTTGCACACTAGGGAAAAAACGTGAGCTCAATCGCCAAGACCGAATACTGAAAGTCTTACCAGATTCTCAGGTTTTGAGGCAGCTTCCAGCATCCACACACACACACACCAAATAACGATTATCAGGTTTTAGATAAACACACATACGACTTAATATCTTGTGGAGTTAATGTCACGGTATCTTGAGGTAGAATGAGGCTTCTGCCTTCGGCCACCACAGCACCCGATTGGCTAGAAGATTCCGCATCGATCCTAGCGATCCAACTCAGAGTTTCCGCCGTTCACCGCTAGATGGCGTTAGTGGTGCCGAAACACTCTCACAGTCTCACCTTGACGCTGAACTCTTAGCCTGAAAACGTGTCTTTCAGCAATTTCCGATCTATCCGGTTCCAAATGCTCCTTTACTAACTGGACTAAATCTTCATACGACTTCGACTCTGGCGTGTCAGGGGAACACAAATCACACATTAATTCATAGCTTTCCGCGCCAACCACCGTCACCAACGTGGCCACTTTTAATGTTTCTTTAATCCCATTTAAGCTAATGAACTGATTAACTCGACGCACATAAGCGTCCCAACAATAACTATTTAAATTATATGGTTCCACGTTATCGATAGGCATTGTAAATAATTATCCTCGTCGCCAATGTTATATCTGTGTGGGACGTTGTAATAACACACTAGACCGAGAGTGACTGACTTTTATTAAGAATGTTATATTTACCTACATAACAATAGGTATCGGAAATCATGTATCCAGCAATGTTGTCGAAAGTTGCAATATACAGATTAAGTCTCTGAAGTCGAATTATACGCTTAAATTGTCGTATCTAGTATTAAATGAATTAACAGGCGACTTACCAAAGCACCCAGTCAATATTACGAACTTTAAAATTCCTAACGATATTGTCTTAGCAGATCCTGCGTTCTATCAACCGGCCGCTATAGAAGCTTTGATTGGCGAAGATTATTTATTATTTTCTAATTATCTTGCACAATGAACAAAATATATCGCTTGGTATATATCAACCTAAGTTAATTAATACTCAATTTGGATGGTTGATTACGGGTTCAATAAATAACAAATTAATAGGAAAATACATTCGGTACAATTAAGTATCAATTGAAAATAATAATTTACAAGACATTAATATTTCTTTATCTAAGTTCTGGGACTTAGAAGAGGTTCCCAAAAGACATATTATTATGCGCAAAAATGACAAATATTGTGAAAATGATTTTATTGAGTAACGATTCAGGTAGGTTTATTGTTAATTACCATTAAAAGACACCCCGGAATGTCTCGGAGATACATATAAATTAGCTAAAGAACGTTTAATCAATTTAGAACAGATATTTATTAAAAATCCGACGTTAATATTAGATTATAAAAAATTCATTATATCAAAATATAATTAGCACTAATTGTTATTATTTATGTCATCATGCAGTTTTAAAACAAGACAGTGAATCAACTAAACTTCGTGTGGTTTTCGATGGCTCGGCTCCATTTAAGTACTTCAGGGTTTTCTTTGAATGATATCTTGTTAGTAGGGCCTACGGTTCAAGATTCGCTCTTTGCAATATTGATTCGTGCTAGGGAGTATAAATACTTACTAACGGGGGATATAGAAAAAATGTACAGGCAAGTGCTAGTCTCAGAAGAAGATCGTAATTTGCAACGTATTTTATGGCGAACTAAAAATAATAGCAATGACACGATAAAGATTTTTACGTTGACTTATGGCACTTCAAGCGCTAGTTATTTCAGTACAAGATGCTTAAAACAAATAGGCGAAGAGCAACAAAAATATATTGTTTTAACTTAAGAAAACATAAAACTAACTATCCAACAATGTTTCAACACTTAGAAATAAATAAAGAAGACAATTTAACAATTAGTGAGTCTTCGAATCAAATCAAATCAAAAAATCTTTATTGTTTCCATATACATGGTGCAGAATCGAGAGTCCCTAGTCCCCATACTAGGGCAAACATGTGTCGTGGATGACTAGTCTCTTCCAGGTGATAGGTTACAATAAATAAAAACATCTAAGCTAACTTATGTCTACTTATAATTAGTGTATATTTAGCTGAATATTAGTATGTTGTGTGTATGTATGAAGTGAGAGAGTGTTACGTATGTTGATAAAATAGATGGATAATGTACTTTGCAATGCTAACGAAATAAACTTATGACAATTATTTACTAACTTACTTTTCGTTATACTTAGTTTAGTAATGTATAACGAAATTAACCATTTTACAATTGCAATAGCATTTTGTTATAGGCAGAGAAAGTGCAATAACTATGCTTATCTAGGGATATAAAGCAAAGCCTCTGTTGAAGCGTGGTCCAGGCTTGACAGTAGGTTTTTCATTATTCTGGTTGTCTTATATCTTGACAGTTACACGAACTCTATTTTAGCTCATTTATGGAGTTTATTGTAGAGGTAAGGGCCTCTGAAATTGAAGAACCGTTGTCCAAAACTAGTGTTATTTTGGTTGTTGTGAAATGAGAGTGTCTTTGTTTTGATAACTTTAAACTATGTGAAATTGAGACTGGAAACGAAGACATGTACTTAGGATATATAGATGTCTGACCGAAAGCAAATCTGTCTCAGAGTGCAGTTGAGTTGTAGGAAACCTGAAAGGTTTTCTGTAGGCTATTTTTAAAATCGAATACAGGCAGTCCTCATACTTACGGCATGTTAGGTTCTCGAAATACGCGACGTAAATCGAAACGACACAACATGTAAAACTCAAGGGTTAGGTTCCACACGGACTCGAAATAATAAAAAAAAACTGCATTTATAACAAAGGACGTACTTTATTATTAAAAGTAAGTTCTTAAAATAATTATATTATGCACTTATGAAATTGCTAGTTATTTATGGTATTTGTGTGTTATTAATTTTAATAATAATTATAAAACTTATGTATATGTAATGATAAATAATAAATTAAACTTTTGGCTTAAAGAAACTATCAATTCTAGATTGCTTGGCTTCTTTCTTCTTGCTATCATACAGATCTTGGTAACAGTGATAGGCTGCACAAATTTTGTTATTAACGTTAAAACTTCTCTCAAAATTAGGATCATTTTCTTCAAAAATTTTCATGGCATTCTTCAAATTTGCAAAGGCTACGGAAAGTTTTCTTAGTGTAAGTTCTTTTTCAGAGTCACTAATAGAAGAAGCTATTTCTTGTGACTCGAGAGCTTCCTTTTGTACTTGTGCCTCCAATTCAATAAGATCTTCATCAGTCAGTTCTTGCGAATGTGAGCTTAACAGATCATCAATATCATCAGTAGTAACTGCAATGTCAGGCAAACGGTTAGCCAAATGAACAATGTCAGTTGTGATCTCATCGACATTTGGTTGATCTGTAGATGTAGAACTTTCAGATGGCTCAAAAAAAAATGGGCATAACTTTTTCCAAACTCCTTTTAAATTGTTAGGTCACCTCATCCCATTAAGTAGCAATATTTTTTACGCATTGCAAGATATTATAACTTTTCCAAAAATCTCTCAGCTCCATGCCATCATTTTCATTAGCTTTACAGCCTGTGAAAAAGTTCTCCTGAGATAATAGGCCTTAAAAGACGCGATAACTCCTTGATCCATCGGCTGTAACAACGAAGTGGCGTTGGGAGGCAGGAATACGACTTTGATTTGAGGATCAATATCGGCTATACCCATGCCGGAGCTTCCAAACATAAATTTATAAGCCAAATTATTTTTTGAACAGTACTGTTTCACTTCAGGTATAAAATGCTTAGTAATCCATTCTTCAAAAAGTATTGATGTAACCCATGCCTTTGGATTAGCCTTCCATATAACTGGAAGAGTACTCTTGACGTAATTTTTGAGAGCTCGAGGATTTTCAGACCTATAAACTAAAAGAGGTTTCAACTTAAGATCACCTTCAACATTCGAACCAACGCTTTAAATCCAGGCATAGACTTTTCTTCCTGTGATATAAAAGTACGAGAGGGCATTTTTTTCCAAAACAAACCAGTTTCATCCACGTTAAAAATTTGTTTAGGCGAGTCTCCACTTTCGATAATTTCCTTTAATATTCCAGGAAAACTCTTGAGCAGCCACATGATCGGCACTAGCAGCTTCTCCTTGCACTCGAATGTTATGTAACGAATATCTCGTTTTAAAGCGCATGAACCATCCGCGACTGGCAGAAAAACATTTTTGCCAGTGCCCCATGCCATTCGTCACTATTATTCTCGCCACGTTTATTTTGCAGTGTGTTGATGATACTCAGCGCCTTATTTTGTATAGTAGCCAAACTTAGAGGAACCCGTCGCTGAGTTTGATCTTGAATCCAATTGTACAACAGTTTTTCCATTCCTCTGACATCCGGAAAAGGACCTATCGTTTGGACATCTGAATACGATAGAATTCGTGACGAAATTGTTAAACGTTTAGTGACAGAGCCAGTACTAAAGATCTCCAACCCATCGATGCCTATAGAGTTGCATACCGATGCCAGCAGTGACGGATATGGTGTAGTTTTGATTCAAAAGTACGACGGTCTACCTCATGTAGTCGCTTACTTTAGTCGCAAAACAAGCGATGCGAAAAGCCGCTATCACTCTTATGAGCTTGAGACGTTAGCCGTTGTTAAATCAGTAGAGCATTTCCATCAATATCTCTATGGCCGCAAATTTACAGTTTTCACGGACTGTAATGCATTGAAATCGTCGCACTCAAAAAAAAGACTTGACTCCTAGGGTGCATCGATGGTGGGCAATATTACAATCTTACGATTTTGACATAGTGTACAAAGAGGGTAAAAATATGGCCCATGCAGATTTCTTGTCCCGTAACTCTCCTGTAGGATCGCAAGACCTTCAGTCAAAAACCAAATTGATAAATTTCACAGAGCTTCAAAGGGGGTGGCTATCTGTGGAGCAACAGCGAGATAGCGAAATTTCAAATATAATCAGTAAAATACAATCGAATGAGTTGCCCCCGGAGATATCACACACCTATGATGTTAGGCAAGGTATACTGTATCGTAAGATAGAGCGCGCAAAATCTACTAAGTGGTTACCAGTCTTACCACATTCATTGATATGGTCCCTCATAAGTCATGTGCACGCTGAAATCAAACATTTAGGGTATGGAAAAACACTAGATAAGATGTATGAACTTAATTGGTTCCAAAATATGTCCCGTAATGTTAAGAAATCTGTAGACTCGTGCGTAATCTGTAAATCATCAAAAGATCCGTCAGGTGCTCAGCAGGTCCGACTGCATCCGATTCCAAAACCAGCGGTTCCCTGGCATACATTACATCTCGACCTGACGGGCAAGTTAAGTGGCAAAAGCGATCGTAAGGAATACTGTTCTGTCATTGTTGATGCTTTCACAAAATTTGTCGTGCTTAAACACACAACGCTAAACTGTGCTAGTGCTATCAATGCAATTAAAGATTCGATACATTTATTTGGTGCTTCGGAAAGAATAATTGCTAATCGCGGGCGTTCTTATGATAATCATGATTTTACGCAGTTTTGTGAAAGCAACAATATGGAATTACACCTTATCGCAACTGGGTCTAGTAGAAGCTAACGGGCAGGTAGAGCGAGTGATGCGTACGTTGAAGGGATTACTTACCATAGTCGAATGTAGCTCTGAAGAGTCATGGCAGGAACAATTGGGTGATATACAGCTTGCTCTGAACAGTACACATTCTAGAGTGACTGGATATACACCATTAGAATTGATGTTTGGCATACAAGGGAGCTCCTTGGAAATAGCCAGAATATCATCAAATTCCAACGATCCAATTAGAATAGATCTCGAAACAGCGCGTTCTAATGCCTCTGACAATATTAAAAAAAACAGCTCAATCGGATGCTCTGCGTTACAACCGTGGAAAAGCAAAGGTAAAACCTTTGTCTGTAGGTAGCTTTGTCTTTGTTAAAAGCGAAGACCGACACCAAACTAAGTTAGATAGAAAATACAAGGGGTCCTTCAAAATCTCTGCAGTCCTCAAAAATGATAGGTATGAGCTAATGCACATTAATGGTTCGAATAGGATGTACAAATACGCACACGAAAATTTGCGTGAAGTTCCTCGTGGTTCGTTAGGTCTGTTAGAAGTTTCTGAGAATTTTGACACTGAAGATGACGTGACGGCGTGTGAAAGCCATTATCTTGTTCATGAAACTAATCCTCAAACTGATAATGTAATTATATTTACAAATAATAATGAATTGAGTAGCGATCAGTGTCTGTCGATAGTGATAGTAATTTTGTAAACTTATGAAGATCACGCACTAGTTCTGATGATAGTTCTTTGCCAGACACACATTTTACTGGTATAAGCAATGCTGAAGTTCATCATAGAGATTAATTTGTAGTCATTGTAGGGTTTAACCGGTCCAATGACTTGTTTAAAGAGATGTATATCCGGTCTAGCACCATCACCTAAAGGGATATACATCTGGTCTAAGATAAAGTAATAAGAACCTATCTGGCCTAGCTTGCTACAGGTAAAATAATACGGTCTAGCTTGCTATAGAGATCTGGTTTTGTTAAATCCGGGCCAGTACAATACTGAAGGGATAATGCAGCTGAAGGGTCAACTGACCGGACCAGCAGGAGCTGAAGGGTTATGATAAACCGGACCAGCAGGATCTGAAGGGTTATAATAAACCGGACCAGCAGGATCTGAAGGGTTATGGTAAACCGGACCAGACTTGATATGATTTTATTTAATTTAAAATAATTAAGTTAGTGGTTATGCCTGAAACAAGTCAGGATGATCGAACAAATCGTTTCTTTTCTCCCAGATAACTGATGAAGACGCATACGAGGACGTATGCTCGTCAGCATGGCCGTGACGGCGCCGCCATCTGTTTTTGTAAACAACTTGTGCAGCGAGTGTGACCTCTTCGATCACCACACTACTAAAAAAAGTATAAAAGACAGCGCTTGTCAGTAGATCGAACATCCGACAGTCGCCCGGTGCGCAAGTTGTACCAACGGCCGTGTTTGCGATATAATTATTTATTTAATAATTGTTTAAATCAAAATTAATTAAAACAAAGAAGTGTGTCCTGAAGTGATTTCTGTGTTTTCTTAAAATAATGTCGGACCCTGATCCTACATATTTATATATTTTTCATTCACTCCTTGTTCACTTAGTGCAACTCAAAGATGATTATGTTTGATAGAGTCAAACGCTTTTAAATAATCAATAAATCCAATGTAATAAGATAGATTATATTCATTACATTTTTCTATAACTTGTTTGATTACGTGAATATGGTCCATTGTCGAGAATTTGCTTCGAAATCCAGCCTGTTCTCTCGGTTGCGATTCATCTAACGTCTGCGTTATTCTGTTTAATATAATCTTAGAGAATATTTTATATAGATTTGGCATTAAACTTATTGGCCTGTAGTTTTTTATTAGTTTTGTATCCCCTTTCTTATGTATGAGTGTGATTGTGCTTTGAGTCCATTGTCTCGGTATCTGTTCTTTACTATTACATAATTAAAGAGTTTAGTAATAGTCGGTGGTAGTTTAGTTTTTGTCTCTTTTATTAATTCATTGCTAATATTATCATCGCCAGGTGCTTTGTCGTCTTTCTGTGTTTTGATTGCTCTTTCAAACTTCACGAACTAGAATAGATGGTATATTATCTTGCTGCAGGATCTTATCAGTCATATCGTTGTTGTCGCTGTCGTTATATAGTATTTTGTAGAACTCAGTTGCTGTATCTAAAATGTTATGCCTTGCTGTATATATTACATCAGATTTTGTGTTTTTTACTTTAGGTATCCATTTCTTTTCACGTTTTAAAAACTTTTGTGCCTTTTGTACCCCACCTGTTTTATCTATAAATTTTATTATGGTCTTTGTTGCTTGCGATTTCCTATATTTCCGAATACTTTCTAATTTTTTTTTACTTACGTCTTGTATTTCATTTTTTTTAACTTTGCGATTTTTAAAAGATTTTTCCTTATTTTTATTAGGTTACTTGCTTCCTCTCCTATACCTTTCAATCTTTTCTCTCCTTTTAATTTCTTTCCAAGTTCTATGAGCCTTTTTTCTATAATATCGTATTTGGTTTGTATTGCATCTTGCTTGTGTATTACTTCATCCTGTTCTATTGTCTTCTCAAAATTGTCTAGTATATTATCTGGTATTGGTATTGGTAAGTGTACTTTATCTATAGTATTATTTTTTTAAACCTTATATCCTTACATTTTATTGTGCCTCTTAGTATTCTGTTATCTGAGTTAAAATTTAGCGTGTTTATAGCTTCAATATTTTCAAAAACTCTTGGCTTATTTGTTAGAATAAAATCGATTTCATTAAACGTTTTTCCATCAGGGGATACCCAATTCCATTTTCTATTCTTTTTCTTTTTAAATAACGTATTTGTAATTGTTAGGTTGAATTCCAGTGCAAAGTTTATGAGTCTAATTCCATTGTTATTTCTTTTTCCGTAGCTAAATGGACCCATAATTCCTCTTTCTTTGTCTGTATACTTTCCAAGTTGACTGTTAAAATCTCCCATTACTACGAGATTGCCGGTTCCGAATTTCATTAAAGTCTCAGCAAGAGACTTGTAGAATAAGTCTTTATCTTTGTCATCAGCCTTTTCATGTTATCTTATCGTTATGTACTAAATTTAAATATATATCTCTAAAACTTGCCCAATCCAAACAATTACCGGAGAACTTAGGCAAAGGCACTGGAGGTAGTGGTAATCATGTTTTATTAGATTGTGATTGATGTTCTGGAAAATTCTTGCATGCTTGTGTATTAAGTGATGTTTCCAAAGAGGCAGAGATTAAGGTTTTAAGTTCCAATAAAAACGTCTCTGTATCAGTATATTGATTTTGAATTATTTCGTTATAATCATAATTTTCAATAAAACTTTCGTAAAACGATAGATATTTATGCCAATATTCCTTTACCGTTTCTAACCTGGTTGTTAAAGGCTATCTTTAGTGTACCTGGATTTGGACGTCTTCTTGGTAATAATTAGCAATGTTTAAATTTTCTTCGAATAACTACTTAATCCTCGCATCAATTTTTCCGTTTTGCACGTGTTGTAATAAGGTTATGAGTAGGGGAGGTAGGGGAGCATTGGGCAGTCGGGAGGTTTGGGCACCCCCTCATTTCTCCAAAACTATTGTAGATAATTTTTGTTTTCTACCACAGCACTATAATTTATTCACTAGCAACACCGCTTATCTAAAATTTCAGCTGTCATTTCACTTGGTTGTCAAGTTATATGCGCGTAACGGTTTGCTGCGTACAAAAGTAAATATTTTATTTGTGATTTGACGTAACTTATCAAAGAAATCTGCAAGAAAGTGTAAGTATCTGTGTTATCTTTTATTTCGTGTTTAATGAATATTATATTTGCCTGTCAATTAGGTTTCTACATTTGATAAAAATAATCTTATTCTAATCTATTTGAAAAGTGAGGTTATGGGGAGCATTGGGCACGCAGGTAGGAGGGAGGTTTGGGCATGCCCAATGCTCCCTCTGTTTTTAGTGTATTTTGGTGTCAAACTTTTGTGCCTTTTTGCTATGCCTATTGTTAATCATTTCTTTTTAGGACAATGCCGTTTTCATTTAAAAAGAAAAATAAGCGACGTGAAATCCCTAAAGATATTATTTTGCGCGCATTGGAAGAAGTTTCCAAAGGTGCTAAAATTAAAAGTACTGCGAAGAAATATGACATACCGAGATCTAACCTTCAAAGGTATATCAAGAAGGGTGGTGTCGTAAAAGATAATTTATATCGTCTCAAATATTCACAATAGATGAAGAAGAGAAAATTTCAGAATATCTTGTAACATCGTTTAAATTAAACCATGGACTATCAAAACTGAAAACACACGAATTGGTTTATGAATACGCCACTGCCATTAAAAAAAATCCAGATAACTGGACAGAGAAGAAACTTGCATCCAAAGACTGGCTAAGGGGATTTTTTAAAAGACAGCCTCAACTTTCGATAAGGACACCAGAAGCTACCAGTCTGTCACAGGCCACAAGCTTCAATAAGAAAAATGTCGGAGATTTTTTTGAAAATCTTAAAACTGTGTATGAACGGCATCCCTTCGGCCCTGAGTCTATTTACGATATAGACGAAAGTGGATTATCAACGGTGCAACGAACCCAGAAAGTGATTGCTCTCAGAGGCACTAAGCAAGTTGGGCAAGTAACGTCAGCTGAAAGAGCTGCGGTATTAATGCATTGGGTAACTCAATACCACCATTTTTCATATTCCCACGGGTTAATTTCAAAACATATATGCTAAATGATGCCCCTGTTGGTTCAGATGGAGCAGCACATCCTTCAGGTTGGATGACATCACCAATTTTTTTTAAATATATTCACCATTTCGCTAAACACGCAAAACCAACGCCTTCATCGCCAGTTCTTTTGCTGCTGGACAATCATGAGAGCCATATTTCAGTACCAGTTCTCGATTTTTGCAAACAATCAGGCATTGTTTTAATGACTTTCCCACCGCACTGCAGCCATAAACTGCAACCTCTAGACCTGACTGTCTATTGACCACTCAAAACTTATTTTAACACTGCTGTAACAGATTAGATGGTAAGCAATCCGGCCAAAACAGTAACAATTTATGAAATCCCAAAATTAGCAGCAAAAGCCATTCCACTAGCATTCAAGTTGCAGAATATTCAAAGTGGATTTGAAAAATCTGGCATATGGCCATTCAATTCAAATATTTTCTCCGATGAAGATTTCGCTTGTTCTTCTATAACGGATCGCTGCTTGCCGGAAGAGAGTAATGTTCCTTCAGAACAAACTATTTTAGACCAACCTGTCACTGAACAGCCTTCAACAGGGGAAAATCAGAGTCTAGAAGATGGTACAAGTTCAAATGTGGGAGTCATTGGACCATCTCAACTGGAATCTCCCTCTAGAAGTCAGATTAGTGGCACTGTCAATGTAACACCTGATGTAGTAAGACCGTATCCAAAGGCCGGCCCCAGGAAATTGCAGGGTATGAAGCGGAAGAAGGGAAAAACTAGAATACTGACGGACACACCCGAGAAAAGACTGATAGAAATGGAAGAACAAGAAAGACAAAGAAAAAATAAGATCAAGCTCAACAAAAATAACAGTTTTATTAACATTTATGTAAAAAAGTGCCCAATGCTCCCCTACCTCTTCTACTTAACGTTGCACTTGTGTTGCATATGAACTATTAAGTTTTCATGTACTTTTAATTGAAAATTTTGAAAAAAAGTTACATTATTTAGTTTATTAGATCTTATGCAACATAAAAAAAATATGAAAAAAAAAATAAGTGTAAGGCTTTCAGGGAAACAGCCGTCTTATATGTAGGACAGTAGGATAATAAGAGGATAAAAGACCATTTATGACAAAATAAGTGTAGTTTATTAGATAACTATTGATTATATTACCCATTGTTATATGTAATTTACTAGATTAACACTATTTATGAATGATATGTTTCAAAACACTTGACACACACTCCAACATCACATTTCTTGCAACGTGTCAAAAATTTTTTTTGACATTGACGACAGTGTGTTTGCTTCGATTGAGGAATAACCAGATGATTCATTTGGTCTTTACGACTATCAGCATGTTCATGATGAGTGGGTCGGCTAGGCCCTCTTTTGGCAATTTTTCTGTTTGATTCAATGTCCTGTTTTCTAGAATTATCAAGCAATATCAGCAATAAATAATGATGATGATGAGCGGTCCTCAACTCCCCAATCCATAGCTGGTGCATCTTCAAGTACACAATATACGAGCACCAAACGTAAATGTGCACAAGATGTAAGACAGGAATTTATGGAATTGGAGAAGAAAAAGTTGGAATTATTACAACTTAAACTGTCACAAAGCAGCAAACAACACGAACAAGATTGCGAAGATCTGTTATCTTATAAAAGTTTGTTGCCGTACATGAAAGAATTATCTCCTATGCAAAAACTACGCGCTAGAAACAATATTACACAAGTTATTATGGACGAAATGAATAGTGGCATGACGCAGTCTCACCATGGATATAATACATACGATTATAACACGACTAATTATGGAAATTAATCTTTGTATAATTGATAACGATAATATTAATTAAATAAAATAATAAAGAGGAACCTTGTTTGAATTTGAATCACTGCAATATGTATGCCGATAAAAAATGATAATTTACTTACTATGAAATTTTTTTTTTTTTAAACTCACCTTATAGTTATAAACAGTCTTTCTTCGGGCTTTATACTTTTATGAAAATGTGTGTCCACTTTTGAAATATCACTCCTTATTGAATCGAGTATGTAATCAAAACAGCGGACAATCATCCTGGTATATCCAAAAAATCTTGAAGGATGTTCTCGCAAATTACCATATAAAGTATGAAAGTCACCATACCGTTTTCTTTCTTTATTAATTTCGTGCACGCCAATTCTAATTTTTAGCATCTCCCACATTAGGTATGAATTTTCGGTTAAAAATAAAGGATCGTGGTCCATATTTACAACCTCTGACAATACGTGACACTAGCACGAACGCCTGGCGATTGATGTGAACAGGAGCTCGCAACGTTTCCCGCGCCCGCGCCCGCACCCGCCCCCGCGCCCCCGTGTATCAACGTGAACGAGCACTTAGCATTTCATACGTAACCGTAAGAAACTGCCTTTGATTACGACTGATTTATGTTCCTTCAATTTATCTAAATTATCCAAAGAAAGACCTATTTTTTATTTCATTTTAATTAGAATACCTAAATTTTCTTCTTATTATAATTACTTTGCATTTTTATTAATAAAAATGGTGCTCAATTAAACGTCTTATTATTTTAGAGAAAAAAATTATAGACCATCTTTGCCATTATATGAAAAGAAAAGCTTGTTTTTCTATAAAAGTAGAGAACCAGGATATTTTTCCTTTTTTTCCCATACTATCCGTGGTCTAGTCCACCTCCAGAATTGTACGTAAATCTCTATGAGAAAAAATAATAATTCAGGTCTGAAAGGGTTACATTTTTCGTCCTTGAAGTAGATAGTCATATCTTCAAGATTCAAGAAAGTCACAACTTAAAGATTTTATGATTTATTATTGAGCCTACATACAAGATGTGTCTAGAGTATAACGTAATTTCCTATTCCTAAACTTATTTAGTTCGCTTAGACAAATCAGAAAGTTACTGAGATCTAAAATGTAATAAAACGTTTATTATAATATTTTTAAATAAATCAGTTCGTATTTAAATATCTCTTGTTTTATTTTTCATAATTTCAAAGAAATGGAAATACAAATTTAAAATCGGTGAATATAAATAATATAAATGTGAGATAATAGTAAATGTATTTATTATTATTTATATATATATATATATATACATAATATATATAGATAATAGTAATGTAGTATTTTTATATGGTTATGTGTGGTTAATATATTATATGTAATGGATTGTCAATATAAAATGTTTAAATTTGCCTCAAGGCAAGTTTAATTTGATTAATTTACCGCTTGTCAGGCTATTAGTTCGTTATTCCATTTCTTCTCTAGTCTATTACCTTCTTAAAATTAATGATTTAATCATGTTGCTAAACGCGTCGCATACGTCAATGTCACTTTGACATATGACAACCATTTTGAACAGTGATGTTATGTTCCCTTGTTGATAAATGTTTATTTTGCCATGTTTTAATTAAATACTTTTATATTTTAATATAATTGTTGTTGATAAAGAGCTATACCGAAAGAAATTGCCACTTTCTTAAATTTGCCTGAAGCTCATGAATACACAGGGCACAGTTTCAGAAGGTCCTCGGCTACATTACTCGCCGATTCAGGTGCGGACTTATTAACACTAAAACGCCACGGAGATAGACGGACTAGATAAAAGGGTTCTATCAGAGATTCCCATTTTAGCTCTTCGGGGCTCTCACATGAACTGGGGCCGATTCAATCGGATGACGACAGTCTCTGTGGCTGGGTCGACCGATCGAGCACTCGGTGAGCAGTGAAAAACAGGGTCAGTCTGCCCCTGCCGTCTCCAGCTTGACCTCCTAGGAGTGGACTGCTATGATAGGGGTAGATCTTGAGACGGAATCAACTAGTGCAGACAAATACACAATTTCGCGATCGGTTTTGATAGGGCGGCCGGTCGACTTATTCCATAATCATTAATCCTCCTTATGGGAGAGTCACACATAAGACGAAATGCATGTGCGAGAAATAGCCAAATGCCTCGTCATCTTATTAGTGACGCGCATGAATGGATTAACGAGATTCCCGCTGTCCCTATCTACTCTCGGCCGTCGGCACTCGTGGCGAACGGACGTGTGCGCGAGCTCCGCTCAACATTTTCTCAGTTTACTTTTTGTCACTTTTTCGCTTTTATTGTTTTATTTTAATATCTCCATAGTGTAATAGTGTGCATGTACTTTTTAGACTCAGTTTGTGTATTTTTAGTAGTGTAAGTTTCAGTTATAAGTAGATTTTATGGACCACGTGTCCTGATTAGTGAGTGTTTTTTTTTTACTTTTATTTAGACTTAGGGATAGTTTTTAGTGATATTAGGGTATAGGTTAGCTTAGTTAGAAGTGCGCTATGGACGCGGAGTGGGTATTTTAGTAATTTTGTGAACTTTTGACACTTACGAGAAACGTTCGCGGGTGTGGTTCGAGTTGCGAGAAACGTTCGCGACTCCCGTGCTGTGTGACGAGAAACGTTCGGGAATTCGTGCAGTGACAAGAAACGCTCAGGCGTATGCGATTATCGGAAGCCAATGAAACCTGAACAAGTGGAGGAGATTTTGAGGCGCAAGGAGCGCGAGCTCGAACTACTCGAAGAGATGACCCGAGAGGCGGGATTTACTCCGCGAGCTTCGCTTCGGCGGTCCCCGCCGCCATCGGCGGGCGTCACGCCACCGGTTATCACTCCGGTCGCAGGGTCTAGTAAGAGGAAGTGGGACTCCCCGGAGGAGCTCGAGGAGGAGCTGCGACGCCGCGTAAGAGCGGCACCAGTGAGAGGAACAGACACCCCGCCGCTGGGGGGCATCCTCGCCAGAGAGCAGGAGGCGGAGCCGGTGCCAGCAACGCCGACGGAGGAGGTGGTGATGACCATTGGCCAGGAAGAGCCAACGGGGTTACTGGTGGAGCGCGCCAACAAGGCGGGGGGAGAGGCGCTGATGGCGGCCGCGTCGTCGTCAACGTCAAAATTGAACAAAGCGGACATAGCCGCAATCGGGACCCAAGTGCAACGCCTTACGGCGATAGTGGCGACCCTGGGGGCCCGATTGGGAGAAGAACGCCTACGGGCGCACAGGTTGGAGAGCGCACTGGACCAGGCATCGGCGGCGGCGACAGGCCTCGCGCCCGCCAGTAGTCCCTCAATACTTACCAGAGGATACGCGGATGTCTTAAGGGTCGGCGGGGGGGCGACTAAGCCGAAACCCGTTGCAGCAGGGAAGGCGCTGGCCTTCTACCCGAAGCCGAAGGCGGCGGAAAAACTTAAAACGGCGGACGACACTAAGGCGGCCCTAAAGTCGAGCCTAGACCCGCGGGCTCTGGGAGTGCGGGTGAGCCAGGTCCGCAAGGTGGCGAACGCTGGGGTGCTGGTGCACGCGGCCACGAAGGAGGAGGCCGAAATAATAAAAAAGGCGGCGCCAGCACATCTGAGAGTGCAGGACCCCAAGGCGCGGAACCCATTTGTTGCGGTCGTGGCGGTAGAAGGCCGGCGGGTGGAGGATGAACCTTTCTTGAGGGCACTGAGAACGCAGAACTTCCCGGAGCAGGAGAGCTGGGCCCCCAGCGACGTTAAAGTCGCATTCAAGAAGAACGCCAGGGGGGGATGACGCACGACTGTAGTGCTCGAGTGCAGTCCCTCCTGGAGAGACAAGCTAGTGGGGGCCCAGCGAGTATACGTCGAATGGGAGAGATACCTCGTCAGAGACTTTGCGGACGCGACTTGCTGCGCGAAGTGCCAGGCGTACGGGCACGCCGCTCACTTCTGCAGGGCCACCGCGGACGTGTGTGGCAAATGCGGCGAAGAGGGCCACAGCAGCGCCTGTGTAGGCTCAGTGCGCCAGTGCGCGACTTGCAAGCGCGCAGGAAAGGAGGCGGCGAGCCACAAGACTGCGTCGGCACAGTGCCCAGTGAGGCAGGCAGTGGAGAGGCGGTCCTTCGAAAGAACCAACTATGGAGGGTAGGACCGCCACCGCACGAGGAGGACTCAACAGCCGCGTGGGACAGCTGAAACTGCAGGGGTCCGAAATAACAACTAGAGAACTGCCAGCACGCAGCTCGGCCTTGAGATTGTGATGGTACAAGAGCAGTACACGAGGGCCGGGCTGCCGGGACTCTTGCAGCAGGACGTCTCAGCCAAAGCAGGGATTCTGGTGCCACCCTGGAAGGACAGCCATCCTGAGGATGCATCACTTGACTACCAGCCACTGCTCAGTGGCACAGGTGGAGCTGCGGACTGGCCTGGTATACCTGGTCTCGGCGTACTTCCAGTACAGCGACGACATACAACCACACATAAGGCACCTGGAACGGGTACTGGAAGCGCTGAAGGGAAAGCCGGTCATTATCGCGGTAGACACCAACACCCACTCAAGCTTGTGGCACAGCAGAGACGAGCAGCTCAGGGGGCGCGGCAGGGCAGCCGAAGAGAGGCGGGAGGCTCTTGAGGCCTTTATCATAGCAAAGGGCCTCATAGTCAACAACTCAGAGGGAGAGCCGGATACCATTTGCTCACCGAACGGCGCATCCAACATCGACGCAACTCTCAGCACCAGAAGTGTGAAGATTGGCGACTGGCGGGTTCACGAGGACGTCAGCACAAGCGACCACAGGCTGATTACCTTTGCGGTGCTAGGGGGTGGCACGCGTCTTGGGGGGGGGCGGAGTGTGGACGAGGAGCCTGCGAGGTTTCGAGACCGCGGTGTGGACTGGGCGGCATTCAGATCAGACCTCTCGCTGCGCGTGGGGAGCATATCCTTTCAAGCGTCGGCGGAAAAAGTGTGCGGGGCATTTTCCTCCGCAGTTGTGAGTGTGGCAATAGTGTCTGGGGCGGAAAAAATATAAGAGGGAGATGAGTGGTGGAATGGTCGACTGGACTCGCTCCGTAGGAACCATAACAAATTGCGTCGGGATTGGCAGCAGTCCAGGCGCGCGGGCGGACTGCATGAAGAGCATACGAAATAGGGATGGCGATTTCAAATTGATTAATCGAAGAATCGATTTCTCGGACCAAATAAATCGATTTTTTAAATCGATATGTCGTACTGAATCGACTCAGTGAATCGATATTTCACGCTTGAAAATCGACTTTCGATTTTTACTGTTTTGGTAAAAAAAAAATATTTAGAATTAGCTGAATGTACTCACAATATTACGACATTGCCATGGCATTTGTTTAATTACTTAAAAACTCGCTAGATGGCGGTATGCTTAGTTTTCGTCGCTTCTCTGTAGTAAAAAAAAAGTTACGTTGGTAATCTTTGACTTGATTTATATTGTTGTTATATTTATAGTTGATTGATATTGCGTCATTGTTTTGTCTTGTTATTATTCATTCATTTGTTTATATATATATATATATGCCTTGATTGGCTGATTGTTGTAATATACATACTGTGATTAGGGAAATAAATGTAAATAAAGGAATGCACTCGCACATCTCTTTATTTATGTTTTCTTTATTCTGTGGGATACGATAACGATTGTCACTGTCAAGTCTCAGAAAGGTCAAGTGGCTAGTGTAGAGGTTTTTTCATGGTGCTTTTAGAATATTTCACATTATTAAGAATCGTAGACTGATATTAATTAAGTTGTAAATGTTGTTTCTCTTTCAGGTTTTAATAATTTAGTTATAGTTGGATATTATGTTTTATTAGTTATAAGTAATGCATAATAAACTCTTTCAGAGCAACACATTGCACATGTCGTTTCACTCCGGAACACCCAATTATAATAACGAAGCATTATATAAATATTTATTTCTATATAGTGTTTGGTACGGAAAAATAATCAATTGAGAGTAAGTAAAACGCTTTTTATTTTTTACTTTGATGCTATTGTTTTAAGTTTGATCTATTAGTTGCTATTATTAAATCTAATCGTGTATCTAAGTCATTTAAATTAGTTTACATATAAATAATCAATTATGAGCATTAAAATAATTAGGTGGAATTCTTAATTAATAAAGTGTTCATATTTTACCATTAATTGGTGTCCATTCATCTGTATAACCTCAAATTGTTTATTTTGTCAACTGCCGATTTTACTTTTACCTCAATTAAGTGAAATTAGTTTAAGCAGAAAGAAACCTGCGAGCCGTAAATGTTAATTTTTTATGCATGAAATGTTAAACTATTTTTGTATATTGAAAGAATTGATGCTGACAGGATTTTAACTTTACTTTGAATATTACTTGAAGATAGTAACTACTTGCTAAAAATATTGTTGTTTAAAAACTTTAATGAGGAACACATTTTTTTTTCAGCATGTCGGGTAAAAGTGATATATGGAATCATTTCATAAAAAAATATTTAGGAGGCACATGCAAATATTGTCACCAAGAATTAAAAACTAAGGGAAACACAACAAATTTGCGTAATCATTTATTAAGACGCCATCCAACAATTAAGACCGTAAATCTCAAAAAGAAGAGTGAAAGTGGTGGTGGTAAATGTGATAATGCACAAAATGGTGATGGAAATGAACAAGTCAGTGAAACCTGTATTCTTTATGACACATTCTTTGTTTTCCAATGTACTGAGTTTGAAAATATGACATTCTTTCGACACAACTTAAATTAAAAATAGAAGAAGTAGAAGAATTGTCTTTAACTGCAGATGTTTGGACCGACTCGCATAATAGTCAAAGCTACTTAGGCTTAACTGGTCATTGTTTATATGAAAATAAATTATTGAGCATAACTTTTGGTGTTACTGCTTTAACAAAACGACACAATGCCGACTACTTAGCAGAAGTAATTACTAAAATGACAGAATGAGGCATTACAAGTAATAAGGTGGTAGCGTTTATCACGGACAATGGCGCAAATATCGTTAAAGCTGTCACAAATGTTTATGGCAAAAATAAAAACATGCCTTGTTTTGCCCATACATTAAACTTAGTAGCATCAAAACCATTTGACAATAAGGATGGACTAGAAGAAGCCAAACATTTACTAACAGCTGTCAAAGATATTACTACATATTTTAAACATAATACAAATGCTGCTGACTCTTTAAAGAAAGCTCAAGATCACCGAACAAAGCCTTTGGGGCTGATTCAGTCTGTTTGTACATGATGAAATTCTGTTTTTTATCAATTGGAACGATTTCTTATCTGAAATTATTGCGCCAATATTACTCAAGTATCCTAAAGCACCGACAATGCTAACTGCGCAGCAGTTAGAAATTATAAAAGATCTTATAAATATATTTAGACCATTAGAAGTAATAACTAAAGAAATATCGGGAGAAGACTATGTTACAGCCAGAAAAATTATACCAACCGTATCTTGTCTGACTGGAACATATAATACGATGAAAACTTCAACTGACATTGGATCTAAATCAAGAACTTTAATTATGGACGGTTTGAAGAAAAGATTTGGAAATATTGAACAAGTTCATTTGTTAGCTGCTGCGACAATTTTAGATCCTAGATTTAAACAAAAAAATATTTCACTGATCATGTAGCCTGTTCTCGAGCAATAAATAGAATAAATACTTCAACTTTAGACATTCAATCACAGCAACAACATCCACAAAATAATAGTGAAGAGTTCAACGCAATAGAAGGGACTGATTTAGAAAAAGGAATTTGGGATTTTCATAAGTTGCTTGTCAAAAAGCAACTCTCTACATGTAATGCACTTGCACTGGAAAGTCAAAGCTTAAACAAAGAGTTTAAACACTATTTATCACAGGCAGTTGTGCACCTACAGTATGATGCTATACTTTATTGACAAGAACAAAAATACTCTATTTATCACCATGTTCACTCAATAGCCGTGATGTATATGAGTATCGTAGGATCATCTGTTCCCTGTGAGCGCCTTTTTTCGATTGCCGGCAACATCGCAAGTGATGAGCGGAACCGCTTGGATCCCATTAGACTTGACAAATTGTTTTTAAAAAGCTTAGATATGAAGAATTGGGAACTATAAGCTATTATTATCTACTCTCTTAACTTTTTAATGTAACAAATACATTTAGAAAATAAATGTCTTCTTTTATAACTGATCTGATATTTTGATATGGTAATAAATATAATTGTAATTATCGAATTCCCTGAACTAATAAATTCCTGATTTCACTGATAAGAGATCCCAGAGATTGTTTATTATGCTATTATTTTTGTTTTTCATAAAATAGATTTATATTTACATTGTAAGTACAAATTTGAAAAAAATCGATTTTTTAGACCTCGATTTTTTAATGAATCCATTTATAAGGTTACGATTCGAATCGATTTAAAAATCGATTTTTTTTTGATAGAATCGCCAACCCTAATACGAAACGTCGTTTTCACCAGGCGAGCGCGGAATACCGAGGAGCAATGCGGGAGGCGGAGGCCACTCACTTTAGGCGTCTAGCCGAGGGTGGGAACGAGGATCCTTAGAGACTTGCGTACCGTGTCGCTAGCGGCAGGGTGCGACCGCCCCCGGGTGTGATCGACGGCCTTCGCCTGGCGCAGGGGCCTTAGCGGGGGGTTTAGGGGAAGCGATGTCGGGAATCCTAGCGGCGGGTAATGCGGCTCGAGGCCGCCAGTGTACCGCCGGGTAGGATTCAAACGCCACCGAATCGATCGATCTTGAGCAGGATCATTAAGGAACTGCCAAACAAGGCGCCGGGTTAGACGGGATAACGGCGCGCATCGTTAGGGTCGTATGGGGGGTGGCCGAGGCGGAGATGTCCCTCGTGTACGCGAGATGCATCAGAGAGGGCGTCTTTCCCGAGGTCTGGAAGAGTGGAAGACTGGTCGTGATACCAAAGGGAAACGGGAAGCCATTGACCGATCCGAAGACGTACAGACCGGTGACGTTGGGTAAAATCCTTGAGAAGCTCATCTGCGAGTGCACACCAGGACTGTACCGGCGAATCTCCACACACCAACATGGCTTGATGCCCGGCAGGTCGATGGTGTCAGCCTTTAAATACGTGCAATCCATTATGTTGGACATCTCGGGGGCTTTCGACAACGCGTGGTGGCTAGTGTTGCCCAAATTCAGTCTTGGTCTTGTTCTTGCGTTTTTGCAAGACCAAGACCAAGAACATGACCGCGTATTTTTAGCAAGACCAAGACCAAGACTGACCGTGCAAGACTTGAGCAAGAACAAGACATAGCCTGCAAGACTCTTGCGTCTTGCAGCTAGGACTTAGCGCTATTTCACAGAGTAGTTAGGTGTAATAGGAATTCTATGAGACGCAAAAAACTGTATCAAAGAATATGAAAAACTGGACCTATGCGCATTACGACTAATACCATAAACATAGCGAATAAAAAAATTATTAAAATCAAACTGAGTGCATGCATAGTTATGTTTTAACCATCGGCACTTTGATAATGCAGCATCAAAGGTTTTGTACTTACTTCTCAAAGAAATTTGCCGCTTTTTAGGATTAATTAAATCGCTTTTTTATTAAAACAAAAATTTTTTTACTGTTAAAAAGCTTTAATGTATTGAAAAAAATATTTGTTTCCACCAAATAAGATTTGTTTACGGTTAACAAATATTTTATTTGTGGTCATTGTTGATAGATGGCGGCACTCATGCGTAGCTTTGTATAATAGCCATCGTATGCCTTCCACGTTTCCAATGACTCTGAAAATAATCATGTATTTGGTTTTATTACTGCAATTATATCTGATGGCAAAACTATTCATATTTCTTCCAAAAAATGTGTAACTATTGGACTCAATCCCCGTATAAAAAGCTATCAATTAATATTACCAAAAACAAACGATCCAGAAAACTTTATCCTATCAATTTTCGATGAATATTTTAAACCGTTAAAAATTCATGTATCGTCAGATGGCTCTTATGTAATATCTCAAAGAAATTTGATTTATTGACTCGTATACGATTACCAACGTATCGATTATAATAGTGATTATTTTAATTTTAAATGTATACCGTTGTCATAAAAAAATGAATTATATACTATTAATCAATTCATTATTTATTATATTTTAACTTTATTCGTTTCACAAAATTTCTAATTCTCTGTAATTTTAATAATTAGAACAATGAACGTAATGTTCAAGGGATTTTGTGAATATTAATAAATTATTTTTTATATGTCAATAAATCATTTATTACATACTAATAAATATTTTGTTGGCAGTAAAAAATATCCGCTAACAAATGATTTATTAACTGCTAATAAATATTTATTAGGAATCTTCTCTCTAACAAATCATTTCTTAACTGGTAACAAATCTTATTAGGTACCAAAAAATCCTTTTATCAGTGTATTTTTGAGTTAGTGGTGTTTTCATCTAGGGGTGCGACATATTTAAGTATGTAATTATCGTCTTAAATATTTTTTATAAACACCCATATTTTCATTTAATCGGCCAGTAACAACTAAGTACTTTATTTTGGTAAATTACAGTACAGTGCAACCTTAATATAACAAATATCAATTTAACGATTTTCTCGATTTAACAACAACAAACCTCCTCCTCTTATACGCTCAAACCTAGTATGTTTTAAATAATCAGACAACATCACGACAGCTACAGTTGATTGGGTGGTGAAAAAATATCTTCCCTTCTCATTTCTCGATGACGAAGCTACACAAGTATATTATCGACGTATTTGCCCTAATATGGTGTTTCCTAAAAGGTCTACACTTAGAAGGAAAGTCAAAGAGCGATTTGAAGAGCTCCAATTGAATCTCAAGGAACGACTTCAACAATTATCATCTAAAATGTCTTTTACCATTGATGGGTGGACGTCAATTGCTGGTAGGAGTTACTACGGGGTTACTATTCATTATATAGACAACGAATGGAAGTATAAATCTGTAGTTCTTGATTTTATACCATCACGCGGTCGACATACTGGGGAAGATATTGCAACGATTTTCCATGAATGTTTATTGGAATATGGCTTAATTGATAAAATACAAGGTATCACGGTCGACAACGCAACTGCAAATACCAAATTTATGTATGAACTGGGCAAACAGCTGCCGCCACACTTTGATTCAGAGAATCAACATTTCCGGTGCTTTGCTCACATTTTAAACCTTGGTGTACAAGATTTATTAAAGACCTTAGCATTACACTGTGAGTCTGACACTAACGCGCAAGATCAGCAGTACGTAGACTATACAGACGAAACTGAGGATGAGGAAGATGAAGAATCTGCACCAAATAATGCTGACTCGCGTACATCTGTAACAAAGTTACGCAGTATTTCCAGTAAAATAAAAAGAAGTGAGATATTCAAGAAGAAGTTTCAGTCTGCTTGTGAAGCAGCTGGCGTGCCATCAAATCTAAATGCCATTCTTGACTGTCCAACGAGATGGAATTCCACACATGATATGATTGGATTTGGTTTAAAAGTGAAAGCGGGCATTGACATATTGTGCAGTTCTGTCACCGAATTCAATGATTTTCAAATCACAGCTAATGAATGGCAGGTACTCGAAAAATTACATAAATTTCTAATAAACTTTAAACTTTTAAGTACAAAACTTGGTGGAGACAAATATGTTACATTACCGCTAGTCATTGTATCATTCAATCTCTTGCTAGATAAAATTGAATCCATGGTAAAACAGTTAGATGGGAAACCTAATCGATCTGAAGTGGATGAAAGGCTTATTCTAGCTTTCCAAGCAGCTCGAGTCAAAATGCTTAAACATTACAAGAAGAGCAACTGGATTTATTGTACTTCTTTAATTTTAGACCCAAGGCATAAGGCTCAGACTTTTGACCTGACAAAAGCAACTTAAAACAGAAAGTCTGCGCAAGTTCAAGGAACTTTATGAAGAATATAAAAGTATGTGATGAAGATGAAGACGTAATAGACTTTGATAAACTCTATGAATGTCCCTCGACGTCATCTGGATCTTGTCTTCAAGGCTTTGTGATAGACGAGTTGGAGGAGTACCTGAGAAAACCAAGAACTGCCAGCTCGGAAGACATTTTAGATTGGTGGAGGACGCATGAGACAGAGTATCCGATTTTATCGAAAATGGCCCGTGATTTTCTCTCAATACCTGCAACTTCAGTACCTGCTGAGAGGTTATTTTCTAAAGCATCATTAGTAATTAGAAAACATAGAAATAGAATGAATGTGTGAGAATGTCCGTGCGGATCCATGGAGGGGTCAGCGCACTGGAGGTGGACGAATGCGGTCCAGTGGAGACCTCGTGGCCTCAGAGGGTAACTTTGCTGCATTCCGCAAATTTGCAAGCGCATGGCACGCACGGAGGAGCGAGATAGAAAGGGAGAATTAAAAAAAAAAGAAAAAAAAGGAGAGCAAAAAAAAGAAAAAAAAGGAGAGCAAAAAAAAACAAATAAATTATTTTTTTTTTAAATCGGGGAAGGAACAGTAAGAAAACGAAACAATTGAAAAAACGAGTATGGAGCAAAGGAGGCTGAGTGGTCGCTATTCGCAAAGAAAGAGAGCCAGATCGCCGACGGCGAGGCGTCCTGTGCGTCAACACAGCCCCACCTGTGGGGAGAATGCGCCTCAGGGACAGCGTAAGCACATTTGTAGGGAGTCAAGAAAGTGCACCGGTTATACGCCAAGAGCAGTCCCGGTGCATCTCCCGTAGTTTCGGTCGCGACCCGGTCCGTATTGCCGAGAGGTCGGTAGGACCATGGGAAGGAGGTGGGTTATCTCCCTTTACTCGGTCACCTGTGCCGTTGTCCCCAAACAAAGCGCCGGGTCGGAAAATTATCCCGTTTTGTGAAACAGCGCGAAAATTTAAATCATGTAGCTTACGAAACAGGCGCAGGCGGGCAATCACAGACCATTCGCATCGCTGTTGATCGGTGATTTCCCCAGCCCGCCCGCGAGTATCGCGGGGAGAAGAGGCCGCATTCATTGTTTAGGCTAGTCACGCGCATGCATTTAGACTTCTCGCTATTGTTTTGTTTTCACGTAAGGATTTTGAAGTAGTTTAGTGATAAACTGGTTTATTTTATTTTTTATTGTTTTTAAATTTTACCTCTAGTTATGCCGAAATACAAGTGTTCATTTAATGTCAACTTACAAGCAAAATACCCTTTTATTAAGCAAACTAATACTCCTTCGGATATCAGATGCGGAAAGTGTCACACAGAGTTTAGTGTTTCCCATAGCGGTGGTGGTAATATTGAACATAAATAAAATAAAATATGTTTATTGTCTCTCTCTTAATAATTAAATTACAAATAGTATTGAGGCTATTCCAGAAAGTTTATTACTAACTTGTGTTGGAGCAGCCTCGCTCTTTCCCGTATTATATACATTAAAAGATTGACAAGTTCATAATTATGTTGATTAACGTTGATCAGCTAAAAATGTGTAAACAGAACAGCATTTAAAGTCAGAAAAACATAAAAATGCCGATCGTGCTGCTGCTTCGAGTTCTTTAATGTTAAACGTTTTCAAGAACCAAAACGCTCCAACTTCAAAGGATTTGGATATTGCTGCTGCAGAAGACGTTAGGGCTTATGACACTATACAAGAAAACCAGTTTTCGCTCCAATGATTGTGCGTCGAAATTAATTCAAACATGTTTTGATCCGAAATTCACATTCGCGCGCACAAAAACCGAAGCTATTGTAGTAAATGTTTTAGCGCGTTTTGCGATCGAAAGTTTAAAAGATGATCTCAATAAGTCCAAATGTATAACAATTTTAAACGACGCTTCAAACGACGGTAACAAGAAAATATATCCTTTCTTAGTACGCTTTTTTCAACCATATGGTGTGCAAGTAAAAATTTTAGACATCCAAGAGCAACCAGGTGAAACTTCTGACGTTATTGTAGATTATTTACATGAAGTATTAATAGATAATAATTTGAGAAATAAAGTCATGGCATTTTGTGGTGACAATGCTAATGTTAATTTTGGGGGTGTAGCTAGGCGAGGAATTATTATTTGACGATTAACGTAGACGATCAATTGAATCCGGTACCGTATCTGGGATTTCTTTTTGAATCCCAAGTTCAAAACAGTTCATTAACGTACGTCAACGTAGTCACTACTTCTGTCAGAAAACGATGCATTGAGTTCACAATTAATTTAGCAAAAGAAATTCAACATAGACTACCTACTAATTACGTTAATTTGGAAAAAATGTCCATGTTAAGTGTTGAAAATACTCTTCGCCAAGGCAAAGATAACAATATAGTGGAACTTGCTTTAGAATTGGGCTTTGCCGAAACGAATATTGACAAACTATTACAACAGTGACAATATAAATTACGTCAGATGGAATTCCACAAACGTTATCGAGTTCTGGACTGAACTCCGAAAATAAAAAAAAAATGCAGCTGGAATAAACTTTTGCAGAGCTAGCCGATTTAGTTATAGCAGTTTTAGCGCTCCCGCAATCCAATGCCACCGTAGAAAGAGCATTCAGTGCCATGAATATAGTAAAAAATAAACTACGAAATAAGATGGCGGTAAACACACTGAATATTTTTATAATACATCGCTAAACCAGCGATAAGCCCCTCACCCACGGGCAATTTAGGAATAAATTGGCTAATCAGCTCGCGCAGGTGCGCCCAAATCCACCGATTCCTCGCATCATGAATCCGCCTGTAGCTTCACGTTTAGATGGTATTAACCACTTTCCGATATACTCTAATTCTGTAGAGAATAGAGTAAGTAGAGAACAAAAGAGTAAAATTTAAAAGAAACCGATGTGTTCGATGCTCTTTTAAAAAACTTCGGAAAGAAGTTAACACCATTTGTCAGTAGTGCCAAAAATTCCTTTGTATCGGACAGTGTTGGATAGATTATAACACTGTCGAAAATCTATAGTATCTAATCTCTAAAACTACTGAACCGATTTTTTTTAAATAAGCACGGCACAGGGTACGTATGAGGAGCTAGTCAGTTCAGTTTTTGTTTCTACTCTCGTTTTACATGTAATACTCGTAGAATTCACTAAGAAAATAACTTTTAATTTTATTTTGTATAATCATTTTTGAGGTAGAATATATTATCATTTATTAAAAATTTAGTGTAAGTATATTATAAATTTTAAAATAGGTAATAAATTGATACTGAATTGTTATTATTGTATGTAATTGATTTAATGATCTCGTATAGTTTGTGTTTCTTTGTATTAAGTTTAGTTTAATCTTTTTTTATGTTTATGTTTAAATAAATCAAAGTAGGTATATTATATAGTATATTAATATTGTAAATTAGTAAAAAGAAATTAATGTAAATTTGTTTTTAATTTTCATATCCAAGAGTAAGCTTATTCAATTTTCAAAAATCAACAGCAAAGTGTAACATCTATAAGTAACCGCTATATGGCGCGAAATTTGAAATGCTTACACACATGCATAAATAGGGGAGTGAACTTTTTGTAACAGGGGTAAGTAGTAACAGGCTCTTTGCGATAGAATCTTAAACGCTAGTTATGTATTTTTTTTTACTCGATTTGACCTATAAACAAAGACGCATCATGTTGCCATAGCCAGTGTCCCATCGACAGGCGTAGTGAGCGGAAGTGTGCACACGCGGTTCATTTTTGCCAGGTAATATAAAATTGTACTATCGTAAAATTTCGGTTTGCGTTATTATTATCTCTGATAATGTTTAACAGTTTTTATAATTGCTAAATTGTTTAAATAGTTATCTTGATAAATGTTAGAAATCATATCATGGGGTTAGTTGTAACAAATTCCCGGGGCTTGTTGTAACGTGTTACAACATGCCCCAAGTTATTATGTAGATACCTACTTTTTTTTTTTTAATTTGTTCTAGAATAAGGGTATATAAAAGAAAGTCAAAGCGGGCAACACAAAGCCAAGAAGTGTACGAGTTAGCGGCAGCTGAAGTTTTAGAAAAAAATGCAGTATTCGGAAAGCTAGTCAGGCTTTCGGATTATGTCTCTCTTTTTTTGCGCAGAAATTCACATTTATCTTTGACACCAGAAGCAACGTCTTTAAGTCGAGCGACGTCTTTCAATAAGACTAACATTAATTCATTCTTTGAAATATTACGACTTCAACAAAAATAGCAGTTTGATGCTTCTCAAATATGGAACATTGATGAAACAGGGGTCACAACGGTTCAAAAGCCTAAGAAAATAGTAGCTGCTCATGGCCAAAAGCAAATTGGAGCTATCACGTCGCCTGAGAGGGGAACTCTTGTAACACTTGCTTGTGCCACTAGCGCTGCGGGTAATTTGATCCCACCGATGTTCGTTTTTCCCAGGCTTAAATATTCTGATATGTTTATTCGTGGTGGACCTCCAGATTGCATTAGAGATGTTTATTCGTGGTGGACCTCCAGATTGCATTGGAGCTGGTAATTCCTCCGGATGGATGACTAAAAAAGAATTTTTAAATTTTATGAATAATTTTATCAAACGCGCAAAACCCACCAAGGGAGAGCCGGTTCTGTTCTGCTACTTGATAAGTATTACTCACACGTGAATATTAGAGTTGTTGAAAAAGCCAAAGAAAATAATGTCATCATGTTATCGTTTCCCCCGCACTGCTCCCACAATTTGCAAGCTTTAGACGTGTACGGCCCTTTTAAAAATTACACAAATAGGGCACATACAGCATAGATGCACAACAAACCGGGGAAAACGATGACAATATATGACATCCCAAGTATTGTAAAAGAGTCGTTACCGCTTGCCCTAAACCCTGCTAATATTACGAGTGGATTTAAAGCTTCTGGTGTATGGCCTTTGAATGCGGATATTTACTAGGACTCAGACTTTGCGCCATCTTATGTTACTGATCGACTAGATCCTACACAAAAGCCAGATGACGTAAATGTCACAGATATATCTTTAAATCTTGAAAATCCAGAACCACGGAAATTATAAGCCAAATCGAAACTGTGAACGAACCGACTCCAAGTTGCTCCGGTTTACAAAAAACTTTCTCGCAATCAAAAATTAGACCTTTACCAAAGGCGTCACCAAGAAAAACGAATAAAAATAGCAGACGCAAAAGAAAATCTACAGTATTGACGGACACTCCTGAAAAAGAAGCTTTACAAAAGGAATATGACAAAATTAAAGGAAAAGATAAAAGAAAAGGGAAAGGGGAAAGACAAAGGTAAATCAACAAAAAATAAAACCGGCATGGACAAAGCTAAAAAAAGATTTTATGTTCAGATTCAGAATCTGAATCAGAAGAGTGGTATTGTCTGGTATGTGGTGAAGCTTACACAGATTCAAATAAAGATTGGGTAGAGTGTATCATTTGTAAGATGTGGGCACTTGTAGGATGTATTACATGAGACACTATATCTTTTATTTGTATTAATTGTAACTCACATGAAGACTGAATTTAATTATAATGAAACCAACATAATGTTGATTCTTATATAACAAAAATACTTTTTTAGATAGATTTTAAGAAGGGATAATTACGAAGCATACCTAAATATAAATAATTAATTACTTACTGTGATTTAAAAGTGCTATGAAGATTATAAGTAGGGGAGAGGTGGTATACTTGATCCCCCATTTAAAACTAGCGCCAAAAAGTGTTTAAAGGTGTTCTGTTGGCTGCATTGGGACGCCGCCATGATGGCAAGTACAAATAGTAAACATTAAACAGAAACAACAGCTCGTTGCCAAAATAATTGGAAATTTATGTTTTTACCGGATCTTACTTGTTTTGTTTAGTCTACAATTCGAAAAATTTCAGGTACGTGTACTTTACAATTTTTTGTTAGAATTTATGAAATATTGTGTGTATTTAGCTGTGTAAATTCAATTATTTCCGAGTCAAATGTTTTTTTTCCATTTAAATAAAGTTACTGCGTCGGGATAGTTGATCCCTTTTGCTAGGGGAATGCTTGATCCCGGAATCAAGAATCCCACCTATAATTCTTTTGTTTGGAACAAGAAGTAAATCTCATAACTTCCATTCTTTTAGATTCCGCGGAAGTACGTATTGAAGCAAGGAGCCATGAAGAGGGTACCTTACGACCCGGAGGCCTTGAAAAATGCGGTCCAAGCAGTTAAAGATGGAGCCTGCTTACAAAACCGTCGCAAGAGAATTTAAAATAAATGTCGTGACACTTAAAAAGCTATGCCGTCGAGACTCTTATGTTCAACCTGGTTTTACCAATATACAATTTTTTTCCAAACGTCACGAGGATGAGCTAGGAGCGTATCTTGTTCATATGTCTAAAATGTATTATGGACTTACCGTTGTACAATTGCGTAAGCTAGCTTACCAATTCGCCAAAGCAAATAAGATGAAATACCCCTCTTCATGGGATCGCTCGCTACAGGCGGGTCGCGATTGGTATCGTGGATATTTGGAGAGACAGCAAACTCTATCCTTAAGAACTCGTTAAGAGCGTTTAATAAGCACACCGTGGAAGAATTTTTTGGAAATTTGACTGCAGTTTTTAATAAGCACGAATTTACTGCCGAAAGGGTGTGGAATATTGACGAAACAGGGGTAACAACTGTCCATAAACCCAGCAAAATTATTGTAGTCAAGGGTTTTTGTGTACTTAATAATAACATAGTGACATATAATCTAACAAATATAACTTTGAAATTGTGTCTTGCATTTGGCTTAAAACTCAATGAATATAACTCTGCACGGACAGTAGATGTGCGGGTATTTCGTTCAACGCAAGAGGTGGCTATATGAAATTTGCCGTGCTATTATCGTGCTTATTTATATGAGTGTTCGGGTCAGCTTGGTGTGAACATACATAAATTTGCGATACGTAGCGAAATCGCTCAAATAAATTGCCAGAATCAGCTTTGATAATAAAAAATGGATAGTGCAAAATGGGGATGCTGTATGCCTGAAGCAGAAAATCATGATACGCATATTAAATGCTTAAAATGCAACAAACAATATGCTTGCATGTCAATAGACGATGATTCTTTTAGTCCAGAAATGGTGAAAGTATGGACATGCCCAGAATGTGTGCGTTATTCTCGTCGCGGAAAGGATAAAGATTACACACCCGTACGCAATGTTAGTACCACGAGGGCTTCTAAGAGGTTAGCTTTAAATTCGCCGTCGGTCGAAAACGACGTAGCCATCTCTAAGACCGAAATACAGCGAATAGTTCAGGAGACCTTTAAGGACATAACGCAGGATCTTTTATCAGAGTTTAACTCCAATTTATTGGGCACTCTTACTAGTGAGATTAAACCAGTCAAAGAAGAGTTATCTGTCATGAATGAGTCTATAAAATTAATTTTAATACAGTACGAACATCTAAAAAATGATAACGAAAATAATAAATCGAGAATTGCATGTTTGGAGAAGGAGAATGAAAAATTAAAGAGCTGTATCAATGACCTTAATTTGCGTTGTGGTGTTATGGACCAGCGCATGCGCAATAATAATATTGAGATTCAGTGCGTTCCAGAAAACAAAAACGAGAACATATTGAACATTGTTACTGAGTTAAGCAAGGCGGTGGGGGTGTCAGCTCTTGGACTCTGAAGTTGTAAACTTTACGCGTGTTCCTAAGCTAAACCGTACTAACCCCCGACCAAGGTCTATCATAGTTCAGCTATCATCCCCGCGTGTACGTGATCGGTTGTTGGCTTCTGTTACAACGTTTAATAAAAAGAACCCAACAAATAAGCTAAATGCTTCTATGATTGTGCTATCGGGCACTGCTCCGGTGTACGTCTGTGAGCATTTGTCACCTGCCAATAAAGCCTTCCATGCGGCGGCAAAAAAGCGGACCTGGGATACAAATGAAAGGCAAAGGTTTAGTAAGTAATTTAGACGTGATTAGAGTAGGTTGCCACAACTTCATTCATGTCAGCTACAGTATACAGTCATAAGCTTTTTTCTATAAGTATTTATTACCAAAACGTTCGTGGTTTAAAAACAAAGACTCAAGAGTTTTCAAAAAATTTGGCTTGTAATAATTACGACATAATAGTTTTAACTGAAACATGGCTTGATGCATCAGTAGTCAATTCTGAGTTGTTTGATGAACGATATGTTGTTTATAGACGTGATAGAAGCGATACAATTTATTCCTCGAAGGGGGCGGTGGCGTTCTAATTGCAATTTCAAAAAAGTGTAAATCTAAACGATGTTGTAAATGGGAATCACAATGTGAAGATCTCTAGTAGTGGTTGACATACTTGGCTCACACACCATTCATAAGATTGCTTTTTGTGCTGTGTATATTGCGCCACCGGTCACTAAATCTGTCTTAGAAGATTTTATTGCTAATTGTAATAGTGTTTTAGAATATTGTTCCTATCATAGTATTATTGGTGACTTTAATTTAAGTTGTATAAATTGGAGTTTGTTTAATCATAAGAATCCCTCTTTACCTGCTCTGTGTCAGTCCCTAATTGATTTCTTGCATTTAAATGAATTGAAGCAGCACAATGGGATTACTAATACCTCTAATCGAATATTGGATCTTATTTTAAGTGATTTGTCTTGTAATGTTAACCTATCTAATGATACTTTAATTGTAGTAGACAACTATCATCCTCCTTTAGAAATTGATATGTATCTGGCAACTGATCCTAAACTACCATATAATGAATCAACTTTTAAATTTAACTTTTATAAAGCAGACTACGAAAGCATTCATAATGATCTTTTACATTGCAACTGGAAGGAATTATTCTTAGAAACAGATAACGTAAATTCGATGCTTACTACATTCAATTCAACGCTTTGGCAAATAATAAATAAATATGTTCCTCGAAAAATGTGCACCAAAAAACAGTATCCTCACTGGTTTGATAGTAAACTAATTAGAGCTCTTAAGGAAAAACTAAAAGTTAGACATAGGTATAAAAAAAATATAAAAACAAAAGAGATGAACTAGAATTAAAGATACTTAACTTAAGATGTAAAAAAATGGCGTCTAAATGCTATAATGAATATATACAAAAAGTAGAAACGGAAATTTATTCTAATCCAAAATACTTTTGGTCTTATGTTAAGACAAAACGAGGTGGTTGTAGCTCCTATCCGCTGTCTATGTCTGATGGAATTACTTCTACATCAAACGGTACTGAAATTTGTGAGTTATTTTCTCAGCAATTTGCATTGGTCTATTCTTCCGTCCATGATGCAGAGATTAATTTAGGTGATAGTAAGAGACAGTTCTTTGATAATTTTAGTAGTAGCAGTCGTGTCCTATCTATACCGGTTATTGATAGTGCCTTCTTGTTAAAAAAAACTAAAGTCTATTGATACAAAAAAGGGTGCTGGTCCAGATAATATCCCTCCTGTGTTTATCGTATCTTGTGCGGAACACTTAGTAACACCCCTTTTAGGAATATTTAATACATCTCTCACATCTGGAGTCTTTCCAGATGATTGGAAAATAGCAAAAGTTGTGCCTATTTTTAAGTCCGGAGAATGTGAAATGGTAAGTAACTACAGACCTATTTCAATTCTTTCAATTTTTGCTAAGTTGTTTGAATCAATAGTCTACCCACACATCCAAACCTACTTTAAACAGATCATTCATGACGCACAACATGGATTTATGGCAAATAGATCAACTTCAACTAATCTCGTAGATTTTACAGAATTTATTATGGAAAAGTTAGATTTTGGAAACCAGGTGGATGTGATATATTCTGATTTAAGTAAAGCGTACTTTTATCCAAATTATCGAGTTATGGAATGTCGTCTTTATTTCTGAAATGGATAGAATCATATTTGTATGAACGCAAATTTTATGTCGTGGTCAATGGCTTTAATTCTTCATTTCGCCCTGTTATGTCTGGTGTCCCACAGGGCTCGCATTTAGGGCCTATTTTATTTTGCATATTTGTTAATGATATTTCTACTTGCTTTGAGCACTCCAACTTCTACTTATACGCAGATGATTTAAAATTTTGCAGACCTATAAACAACAATCAAGACGTTCAGATGCTTCAATCAGGTCTAAATAGAGTAGTAACTTGGTGTAAGATCAACACTTCTACACTTCACAACAACAACAACAAGTCTAAACTTAATTTTAACTATTTTATGAATTAATTTTATACATATAAAGAAATATAAAGGAACAGTAATCAGTAACAGTAATTAGTAATTGTAAGTTTCCAGTTGTTTTATTTTACATTTTACCTGTAGTGAAGATTGCTATTGTTCATATTTTGAAAGGTTTTGTATAATTTGATGCAGAACCAAAAAAGAAGGCGAAGAACTCGAACTCTATCCGAGTTCGAACGCCTCGAACGTTCGTTAACGCCCAGTCAAAAAACGGTTGGGCGCTATTGGCCTTACATGGGCGTATTGAAAATTTGTACCTAATTTAACTATTTAGCAATTCTAAACTAATAACTCGTTTAATATCGGCATTGTGAAATGAAATATTTATTACAAAATAACGTCCTGAATATGTCAATATTATATTTTCAACTTAATTATTTATCAATTCTTGCTCATTCAATGAGCAAAGTATGTTGTAAATAAGTATTTACCTATTTTGTAGGATATCAAAATGGCTCCACCTAGCCCTGCTAGTAGAAAAAGAGGGAATTCATGGACAGAAGAAGGACTTAAAGCTGCAATCAATGCTGTGCAAAGAGGTCAACTCACTCAAAGAGCTGCATCTTTAAGGTATAATTTACCATGACGTACTTTAAGAGATCATCTCAAGACAGGAAGCGCAATAAAACGTTTGGGACGAAAACCTATATTTACAGATAGTCAAGAATCAGATTTGGCTGCAAGAATAAAAAGATTTGCAAAAATCGGCGTGCCCCTTACCCCAAAATTTATAAAAAAACAGGCCTTTCTTTTTTGCGAAAGTTATGACATAAAAAATAACTTTAATCTTTCGAAAAGGACTGCCGGTAACGATTGGCTCAGACATTTTTTAAAACACAATCAAAAGAAAGCCACAGATTATGAATTCGGAACGTGCTCTAAAGTTGAATAAGCCAATCGTGGAACATCATTTTCAGTCAGTTAAAAAGTTGTATGATGAATTAGACATATTACAGCACCATGAGAGATTGTATAATATGGATGAGAAGGGGTGTCGGATAACTGTTCACCATCAACAAACAGTGTTGGCTGAAAAGGGCAGTAAAAGAGTCCACCTTATCGCCCCCGAAGATGCAGAAAAGGTTACTATCGCATTGAGCATGCTATTGGTACAGCAATCCCGCCCATGATTTTATTTAAAGGGCAAAGACAAAGACCTGATTTAGTAGACATTTTACCTGCTGGATCGTTGGTAAAAATGGCCCCGATAGGTAGCATGACGGCTGACTGACTTATTTATAGATTTCATTTAGCACCTAATAGGGAAGTATAAGGTTTTTGGAAAGTGTTTGCTAATTTTTGACGGCGCTAAATGCCATCTTTCAAGCGAAGCACTTGACGAAGCAGATAAAAATGAAATAGTCTTATATTGTCTTCCTTCAAACACGACTCACGAGCTGCAACCATTAGATAAGTCAGTGAATAAGTCATATAAACATCATTGGAATGAAGCTGTTATGAACTTTTTGTACGTTGAACTTGATAAAAAGTTGACAAAGGCCACATTTAATAAAATATTTAGTAAAGTGTGGCCGAAATGCATAACACACAGTAACATAGTTAGCGGTTTTAAGGCAACTGGACTTTTTCCTTTTAATCCTGAAGCAATTCCAGAAGAAGCATTTTCCCCATCAGTTTTGTCAGAAATTCCATGCCCAACAAGTCAACAGCCCTTACAAGAATTTTTCAGCGATATCAGAAGTAACTGTGAGTGATTTTGTAACTGCTAATTGTCACCTTGTGGAGTACAGTTCATCTTCTGAATCTTCAGACGACCGACCTCCATCACGTTCTATTTTACCTCCAAGTGGTTCAGGTTTATAACAATTAAGCAGAGCAATTACCCCCTTTCCAGAATTGCAAGTAAAAACCGGATACGAAATACGACAAAACTTACAGTAACAGATGTACATGGTTATTCTTCATCTGAAGAAGATAACGGAAATCACTACTTCATCGATAAAGGCGATATTACACCAAAAAAGCAAACTATTAATACATTCCAAAATATTGATCAAACAAATTCTGATGACTCTATTTGCTCCGTCGAAGATGAAGACAATGTTCCATTAAGCACATTTAAAAAATTTTAAAAATTTTTGCCAACGCCCAACTATGCAATAGTAAAAACTAAAAACCCACGTAAAAAAGCGATGAACTATAAAGGTCAAAGAATTATGAAGAACTTATTTACACGAGATAAAGATGAAAAACAGAAAAAAGGAAAGAAACTGATGTTATAGATAAAAAATATACCTAAAGGCAAGGAAAGAAATATTAAGGAAAAACGAACGGAGAGTAAACGAACGACTAAAAAAGGAAACAAAAATATGCAAAAGAATAAAGAAAATGAAGATGGAGAAGAGTGCTTAATGATAATAACTGTCATCGGCGGGTATAATTTTCCCAGCTATTGTCCGTTGTTGTTAAATAACGCCCAATGTATGTTCCATTAAAAGAAATTATTATATATAATAAATGTTTTATTAGATTATTTAAACACTAGATTAATTTTTTAGCGTACAGCGTCTGATTTTGCAAGCGGGCGCTAATAAAAACAGTGTTTTTAATAACGCCCCAAAACAAGGTTTTTTAAATGATTTTATTAGCACCGAAATTTCAAATAATTACCCCACTTAACTATCATCTTTCAATTCAGAAAAATATTGGTAATTTTCTAATGATAATCTTGGGTCCATATCATAAATATTTATATTTAAAATATATATTTTAAGTTAGGTGGGCGGTTATTGCCTCGGGTACCTTACTTCATTTCGGCGTTTCAGTATACGCTGGATATAGGCTTCTCCCCAAAGATTTACAGTGTGAGCGGCCTTTCTAACTAAATCCACCGTTTACCAGCTACTGTCACCAGATTGTCAGTCCACCTGTTAGGCGGAGTCCAATAACGTGGTTTCCAATCCACTACTTAGTAAGCTTAAAGAACAAGCAACTTTCAAATCTTAGACTAAGTTTTTAATTTATAAGGTTGTTATGTGCCGGCCCTAAGCTGCACTCTATTAGGCGACAGCCCTAAGCTGTGCCACTACGGGGAAACTGCTGATAGTGCGCGTATTCGATACCCGTGCGATCGGTATGTGACGCTACTGTTGCCGTACCCATTTTAGCATAAGATATTAATCAGAATTATTGTAAGAGTCGACCTGATGCATCGTGCACAAGTAGGATTAATTGAATGTAATATATTTTTAATTAAATTAATTCTTCACGCTGGCGACTAACATAATTAGGTTTTATATGTAAAATCCTATTTGTTTTGTATCGACGTTCGGGTAAACGGAAAAACCTGAATAGGTTTATGTTCCATAATATAATAATAATATATATTGTAATGTATTGTTTCATGTAAATAAATAAATAAAGAATAATTAATATGTACAGAATAATATGTAGACCTTCTCTGATTAACTGCCTTGTAAGGAACACCGTAATGTAAATAAATCATGTACAGATTAGTCAACCAATTAATACAAACATAAAGACGACTTATATGAGGAGGTCAATCTTTAATAACTCAATTATTTAAAAAAGCAACTGATGTTGCACTCATCAAACAAACTGTCGAAAATCTTAAGAGTAAAACATCATCTGTCATATAAAGCCTTAATCTCAATGGGCAGACTTTTAAGTTGTGTTTGTTTTGATATTAGTTAGGGAGAAATAGTTTTTACGGAAGTAATGTTTTAGAGAAAAAAGTCCCCTTTAATAGTAAAGCTTTAATGAGCTGACTTTTAACTACTTAATAAGAACAAAAAATCTATCTAATTTCAATTTGTTCCAGTAAAAATCAATAATTTTTAGTTAGGCTACTTAAGGAACAACACTCCAATGTATCAACTGCAATCTACATTATAAAAACCTAGTTGATTTCTCAACAAGGTACTTTAATACCTGGTAAGCTACCATATTATGATTCGAAATGTTATATAATATGCCTGTTCATAAATATTAATTTATTAGAATTTCAACTTGCAGATAATGGCGGAAAGATGGAGTCGCGCGAGGGATTGTTTTATTTTGTAACAAAAATAAAAACGTCCAATATCGCAACTTTTCGTCTGGAATAGAAAGATTGGTTTACAAAGGTTCTAGGTATAATCAAGATTCTTATAAAAGTGGTTTTGTTTTAAAATTCCAGATTAGGATTAAATTAGATAAAGTTGCTTATCTTATTTGACGACTCAAACAACGTAATTTTGTTTTTGTTAGGACGCCGACTTACAAGAGGAAGACTACGAGATGTTCTTTTACACTGCAAAACACTTAAAAAATTCATCAAACGCTGTCAATTATAAAGGAAAGTGTTAAAACAGTCAGTAAATAATTCAATATTAAAAAAGCTAGCTGCAAATGGCATCAATCGTTTATGGATATTTTTCATGCCTACAAATGTGCTAAATTTGACATCGAAATTCCAAAACTGAAGTAGTTGGAAAGGATTGTCTTACGAATGATGACGATTGAAAACTTAAAAAAGAAATTAAATTAAAATCGACAATGGTGGACAATGGCCTACCGGCTACCCCAACATTTACAGACTGCTTCTTAATCCAGCCAGTCGCTGGTCTATCCAGGAGGTTATAGGCTAGGCATACTCGAGGCTAAGACAAATGCATATGGGCTCAGATGAATTCACAGTAGAGGACATTAAAGAACTACAGATGGAAAAAATAATAAGATTCTGCAAGCAAACCGGAAGGTTTGAAGGGGACACGGGGAGAGTTGGATGACCCAAAACCTCCACAAGGTGGAAATGGGGAAATGGGTGAAATGGTCGGCTGATGACGTGGACTGATCACCCGTCCTACCACAGGTGTCCCCGAAAGAAAATAATAATAATAATAATCCAGAAGGTTGCCCCGTACCTGGTCTCCAATTGATCACTTTTTAACTCAAATAACAACCAACTTACAAATCTTAGTCTCAGCTAAGTCTTCAATATGTACAGAATACTATGTAGATCTCAGATATAACTGTTTAAAAAAAATTATATGTAAATAAATCATAGTATAAAACAAATAATGTTAGGAGTTGCATGCGCAACTAAAAACTCTAGAAAATACTTCTCTAAAACCACTTTCTTAAGCAACTAATGCAAGAGGATTTTTCACTCTATAAAATGATCCTACCCTAAAACAAATTTGTCAACCAGCCAATATCAAAACAATTAGCATACAACATAACTTTAGTAGTAGTTAGAGTAAAAAGACTTAACAGGTTTGTATGAACAAAACTTCAAAAGGATTTTAGTGGAATACCCATATGTATGATATGTTAATAAAATGTTCATTTATATTTCATATTAACACATGCATTGTGGATCAGCATTATTATCTTTTTTGATTAATAGAGAACATTAAAAATTAAAAAGTCCAGAATTTTAATTGACTACTACTACATTTCAGCCTTTTAATACACCGCTGGACATAGGCTTCTCCCAAAGATTTCCAGTACGAGCAACTTTCCTAACTGAATTCAGTGTGTACCAGCTACTGTCACCAGGTAATCGAATACACCTGTTAGGTGGAGTCCAATAACATGGTATTCAATTGACTCAAATCTTAGTCTCAGTTAAGTCTTATATGTTTATTTAATTCATTTCTCAACTAAATTAACATATACATATAGATACTTTAGTAAAGCTACGATATGATTTGGATTGTTATACAATATACCTGTTTATAAACATTAATTTGTTACAATTTCAACTTGCAAATGTTTCCTGAATTTTCAGAATCGGTCCTCACAAAAATAATAGAATGCAGACAATTGTGTCCGAGAGTTCTAGGTGTTATTAATAAATAATGTATATATTTATTCAGGCCAAGCTAGTCAGAAGCTTTTATTTATAGTAAAAAAATATATATTTATAGTAATACATAACTTAAATATATATATAGATCAATTTAACATTTGAGCACGATTTGGGGACTTCAACCAATATCACTAATTAACTCAAGAACAAACCGATACTAGCTAGAAAACAACGACACAACACCCAACCTATATGACACCAATATTTAAAAACCAAGCACCTTCAATTTTACCATCCAAATTTGACTTTATAGTCCTATCAATGTACGATAAGAATGATTTTGCAAAAGAAATCTACTCCACGACCAAATAGAAACTATCGAAACGACTGCAAAAATTGTCACGCCGCCATTTTCCACCAATGTCGAACAGTATTCATAAGTTTTAACCGTATCACGTAATTACCCACTCATTACGAAAACGATATCACCCTACACAACAAGTTACAAAAACAATAAAAAGAATTAAGTAACAGGAATTATGCAAATTATCAAATACCGAAACTAACACGATTTACTCGCCATGACATCACATCAGCAAAAAATGGCGGAAGCAAGAAAGCCAGCCGCAAAATACGGCGCGGATACGGACATCCAGGTGACGGATAGTATAGAGTATAGACGATACAATATAATTTTTCCACAGATAGTGAAGGCATACAATATCGATAAATAAATAACAATAAGTACTGAAATAGCATTAAAAAAATTCAAATGTTTTGAGGAAAAATAAAAAATAGTATATCGTATGAACAAAATGATCGCTTCCCATTTTTGATCCATGGTTCAAGTATATATTGTATGAGTTATAGATCGTAATCTGTATCCGTTGAGGAATGTGCGACCGAGTATTTAATAAATCTGATCAAGTGCGAGTCGGATTCGTAAAAATTTTATATAGAAACATGTTGATACTTTAAAAAAATGTTTTAACTTAACATTTTGACATTGAGTAAGGGATGGTTTATAATGTCTATAAATTACTAACTATATGTAAAAAAAAATCAAATAATTATTAATCGAGTTTATTTCATATATTATAATGATGAACATATTTCTTTTAAGGTACAATAAATATAAAAAAGTATATTGAGGTGTAAAAAATAAAATAATTGTCTTCAAGGTATAAAAAAATCCAATTTTGTATTGTAAGTAATAGGTAGAGAGGTAAGAAACATAAAAAAACAGATTTAAATCCATACCGGTGGATTTTTGTGAGAATATTATGCACTACTACTATATATATATATATATGTTAAACTTATTTGAAAATTATTTTGCCCCGTGGGGCCGTAAAAACACTTTTCAAATAAGTTTAACTAATGTATTTTGATGATATAAGTATTTATTTTAAGTATTTTTTTTAAAGTAAAAAAGCTCCGTATTTTTTGTACGAGTACTCAAGAAGGATACGCTTATACTACCTTCATAATAGACGGACTAATAATTATTATTGTCATTTACATACAAAAGATATATGGAAGACAGAACTTAATATACACTGACAATATCTTTAGCTTAGATTTGTTAAAAAAACATTTATTCTGATTTCTAAAGTCAATTAGAAAGTAGACAATGTTTCTTAATATTTCGTAAAATGGTTTTATACTTCTAGTTTAAGCCAAGGGCGATTTAAAGGTCTAGGGGCAAAAAAGGAGTCGAGGCCGCTTGGCCCAAAAGGTTTTCACAGGTCAAGTTTTCTAAGAAATAATTTACCGTGAAACCAAATTGACTCTAGTAGCCCGTAGGTTGCATAGCCTTCTCCGAAATCCAGCTATGGTTTTGCTAAGTTTATTTTTACTTGTATAATAAAATATATTCAACGAAAGAAGAATTCCGTAAGACCCTTTATATAATACATTAAAATTTATTGGCACTTTAAATTATCCGCTTTTATTTATAAAATGGATATTTTGTAAATTGGAAAGAACACTTTTACTTTTATAAACTTCTGCGTGTTTATAACATGAAATAAAAAAAGATAGTTCTACAAATTGTTATGTGCATAGTAAATTGGAAATCTAAGACATTATTGAATTATTAGTATTACGTTACAGTTTACAATTGTATCTTTTTTAAATCTTTTATGAGTTTTTTTTTGTAAAGTTAGGTAGAATGCTATTGCTAATAGAAAGATTATTTACTAACCAAATCCATCTGAGAAAAGACAGTTTTTATATTTTGTGCAATTTTATAATGAGGTCAAAATGTGAATATGAAAGCATATACAATTTCCACTGGTTTTCAGTATTCAATAATCATATTCGACACGGGTTTCGTTAATAACTTTTACATAATACGTACTGTATTTCTCGTAAATATTTACGTTATGCGACTAATTTGAATTGGAAGATAATTTAATCGGTGTTTTCAAAGGTGTCAAATATTATTATTATCTTAGAAGAATGTTAGTGTTTATTCTTTGCAGTATATTTCTTTTAAAGTCATTATAGTATTAAAAAAGGATACTTAAACTAAATAGATATATAAAAGCACAAAAAATAAAAAATTGTTGTAAAATATGTATACATATAAATGTAAAATTATTTACGTTTAAACTAGCATCCATTGTGTCTGTTAAGTAAAATAGAGATTCCTGCGATAAAACAAAATAGCCACCAAAAGCCTTTGACTTTAGCTATTGTAAAAAGACAAAACTATTTTTTTTAAGAAATCTAATATAAACAAGAAAGTCATAAATCGTCATAGTCATAAATTTCGTAACTATATGCAACAAAGTGAGAAGAGGTAATATAATTGAATCAAGTTGTCTCTGACTTTTGAAATATAGCTATTAAATGCATTTAAGTTCTTATCGTATATTTTGTTTCATCATAAGAGATTCTTGTACTTTCTCTTTTAACAGGTGTAAATTAGTTTGTACAATTTGTTATACGCAGGGGACAATTATCGTCTGTATCGTCCCAGGTATGCTCCACAGTTGGGACACTTGTGGTGCACGTCCATACAACTGTCTATACAGCAGGGTATTAGACAGCAGCCGCAGAATAATCTGGAAATAGGAAACATCTAGTTAAAAAAGGCATTTATATTGTTAGCCAAAGAGGAATTGGGTAAAATTACTCAGTCTGCAATAGAAAATAATATTAATTCTTAAAATATTAAAGGAAAGTTGCTACTTTTGGACTCAATAGTCAAATGTACTACCATCCAAAATTGGATATTAATTATTATAGTAATAACCATACAATAGAAAGCTAAGTATTATGTATTTTACAGGTTACAATTATAGTAACATGAGACTGTAACCAATATAGGATATATGCTACAGCCAAATGATACTATTAAGAAAAGATTACACACCCACAATTACATACAATGAACTGGCCAAGAACAACAACATACTTTTTTGGAAATTAATAATAACAGTGAATATACACAAATAGTGTAACTTTGATATACACTAATTGTGGCAGCAGTCATAGTCAGTTTGGACTTACCCAAGAATACACAGGATAGACCCTGCTATATATGCAATGAGCCCTGGCTTTGTTTGTGTTGCAGTATTCATTTCTCCATGACAGCTGGGACATATCATGTGGGTAGCCTGTGGTCCCAGTGGCACAACCGTTGTCACAATCTGTGGTCCAGTGGCTGAAAATTAAGTTTGCATTGTCTATTATTGATATTTTATTTTAGGAACACACAGTGATAAGTCCCATAAAATGTAGGTCATTCTACCTTCTCCCCGAGGGGACACATTATCTTGGAAGGATTTTGCAACCAATGTGCCCATCAAAAAATTATAAAAATAGTAAATGCCTTTTCTCTTTAAACATATACTAATGCCCTCACAGCATATAAATGCAGGAAATATTAAGTGTTAGAAGTAGAAAATAAATTATAAATATTATCTTCTTAATTGCACTCTTTATTCCTGAAGTTTGTACATATCATTACAGCAAACTTTATGGAACAGCAGCTTTGATATTGTCTTCCCGTTTTGACTCTCTGGTAATAAGATTAATAAGAAGTTGACAATCGAGTTTTGATATTCACTTTTTTCAGAATCAAATTGTCTACTAATCTTTTGTGTCCAATGTTTTTCAAACCTTGTGAGTCAACTTTGCTTGTATCTGGTCATCTTCAAAACCATAGATTTATATATGTATGACCAATTCTATATATTCCATGTACATCATAGTGAATCCTTAAGTATTTTTTTAAACATTATATTAATTGAAATTGAAAAATGACTGTTAAATAACAATAGACATTGTATTAAAACAGAAGATCAGAGAGTATAAATAAATAGGCTACAATGCTTTCTATAACACAGAGATGAACAGACCGCGACCCAGAGTCCAGGTATTAAAAATTATTGTATATTATAATAATTTTTAATACATTATTATAAATTCTTTATTGTCTTTAAGTACCTACACTTCTGGCAGCCCTGCTTCAATTCATGATTTGCACAAGTGGCCCCTAGTCTTAATAAGTCTGTGCATCCCTGCTATAACATAAATATTAGGACTGATATTTGGTTCCTTATAACAAATCTATAATTAAATTAATTACAAGCTGTTTATTACTACACAGGTGAATAAAAGTAATAACTGGATGTGGCTTTCACAGCAACTTGCTTCTGGAGTTTTTATTCTGATGTTTCTTTTCACAGAAAAGTAGCATCTGGATTGGTTATTTAAAAGCCAAACCATTGGGCATTCAAAATTATAATACTAATGCATTTATTGTTCCTAGTGTACACAAACGAATTTGTTTCAAGGCCAATGTAAAATGTCATAATAAATTCTAAATATATTTAAATTAATTATTTTTAAGTAGCTTTTTTAAAATCTTGTGTATGAGAGCATAATTATTTGTAAACTTTTTTGTAAATTATTTTGTGTATTGGAAAATAGAAAAAATTTACCCCAATGTTCTACGATCTTTGTCAGACATTCAACAGAAAAAAATTATTTCATACAACAATAAACATAATAAGCAGTCCAAAAAATATAAAGAATAAATATTGAGCTATTTATTAAGCTGCTGTTTCTGTTGATGACATCATTAACTCTTACCTTCACTAAGAAACTAGGACAAGGACGACAAATACATAGAATTAAGGTCACTCACTGGGTTGATAATGGGGAGTGTATGGACTCGATGGACCGACGCCACCCACAGCCTGCGAATAACTTGGCGGTGCAGCTGGTGGGGCCTGCATGTATCCATTACTCCAGCCATACGGCGGTGGGTTTCCATTTTTCTCCATACCTTTAACACAAAAAACAGTCAGCGCACCCAGTGATGCAATTCACTCGCTATTTTTAGGCGTGATCCCATAGCACAGATGTTGCCTTTGAAAGCTTGTTTACAAATATCCCGATAAAGCGGAAATGACAATGACTTAAATGATAAAGTAAGACTGGGTAGTAACCTTTAATATTTATTGTCGAATGCAACAATATTATTTCAATAATCACAGTTATTCATATGGATGTGTATCAAATCCAGTTAATTCGTATTTAATCAAAATATGTCATATGTCAAACCTACAAGGTAGGAACCTTAAGTGTGAGCAAAGTTTTGGCCAATCAAGAGTCTTTCGCCGGTTAAACATCTTCGATGTGTCAGATAAAACATGGCATTGCAATTATAGGAACAGTCTGTGGTTCTAGAAAGATTATTCTATGGATCTCAATTGTTTATACCCTATAACATTATGTAATTTTTAGTCTATTCCTTTATAGAGTTTTGCAATTAGAGAATAGAGTAGGATAATATAATATTATCAGAGGTGGGCGACTATGAATGATTGGCATAATCGATTTATTTTGTATTACTAATGTTGGTTATCGATTATGGGATTAGTAACTAATTTGTTTTTATAATCGAATGATGTTACTAATTAGTAATACTTAGTTGAAACAATAATAGATACTTTTGGTGAAGTTTGATTTGTTTACTACGATATTGTGAGTCGTGGCGCTTTTCACCTTTTAGTGGATTTATCATATTTAAAAGTAAGTTGACCGACTTTTTTTAATTCTGTCTAAAAGTATGACTTTTAGTTTTAAATAACCTTTTAATAAATAAATGTCCATTGCCTTTATTGAGGTAATCGAAATATTTTATTGACAGAAGGAAAAACAAAGAACTGCATGACACAAAATAAAAAGAAAACGTATAGGAGAAGCTAGGACCAAAGAGTTTGTTGAAACTTTTCTAACATCCTCCCTTTTTGCAAACTCTATAATAATAATAATAACCCAATTAGTCCGCAAATAAATTTCAATCGCGGCTTATACATGGGCTTCAGTGCTCGAGATTGCTACAGATGTTTGCTTACGACTTGCCCATGAGATCACTCCTCCTGCATAAATGCACATAATTCCAGAAGTTGAACGTCCTGTAGATCGATCTTCACCGTGATCAGAGTCGCTGTAACATTCTAATACTCCGGGTTTGTGTCCCTTTTTTTTGTAAACAATCGCCGAATTTAGAGTTCCTTTTAGATAATGAAATATACGTTTTACTTTAAGAACATCTTCATTCATTGGATTGTCAAGTATCTACAAAATTACTATATCTAATTGGTGCCTGCAGTTTAGATTTGTCATTAGATGTTTGATCATAATGGGGCTCAGAAGACGAATCATCCAAATCTTCCCCATGTTGGTTTAAGCCATTCGATGTTTGAGGCAGAACTTCCACATCTTGTGATATATCCTCCCTTGCTTCAAACATTGGTTGACTTTCTGCAGCTTTTGGAAAATTGAGTTTAATTTCTGTATCATTTTCTTCAACGTCTTTATCCAATTCAGATATGTCAGATTCTAATCCAACTGACTTAATTAGTGATTCTTTGAATGTAACATCTCTCGAACGTATCAACATTGGTTCGCTGTTGTGATTATATTGTAGTATCCGATAGCCATCATCACCATCATATCCAATAAGTATACATTTTACAGCTTTCTTGGACATTTTTGTTCGCTTCTGTTTGGGTACATGTGCAAAACATTCAGTTCCAATAATTAGTAAATGTTTTATGCCTGGTTTCTTTCCAAACCACAGTTTGAATGGTGATTTTCCTTCTTGAGAAGTTGGCCCAGTTCTGTTTAAGACGTACTGTTACGCGGATAGTTGCGTTTATGTTTTAAAAAAAAACATTTATTGAATACACTTTTGAAATAATTAATTTATATATATTGAAATTAGGTTAGATTATGATATTGACACATATATTCGGAGCGGAGATTGGAATAGGACTGACTGGCGGGGAATCGACGGTGTCGAGGCTTGGCAAAAGTGCTGACTTGGGATAAAGGATATGCTGGGATGCGTCAGCGACTTAGGGTACATGCAGGGGTTGTAACAGCCCCCCGATTAAGAGTAAACTATGCCCTGAAGGGGGTTGTTTATGGGAAATAGGATTTAAATCTTAGGGATGCGGAGTGAAGGGGGAGAAACAGGATTAATACTGGAATCTGGTATAGAATCTAAGGAAGGATCTGGAACTGAGTTAGAGATAGGATCTCGAAGGGAGGAAAATGAACAATATAACTTCTTAAAAATATTAAACTGCTTACAGATTTTATATAAAATAAAACTTATTACTAAGATAGATAATACAATAATGGTTATGTTATAAGGATTCTCATACAGTTTAATTTCAGGTTTCTTTATTAAATTTTCTAAATTGTTTAATATGTGTTCTGTTTTATATTTTGTCTTAATTAAATAATCTAAGTTTACATTTTTCAATTCCACATTCGGTAAATTATTGCTTTCATTAAGGAAGCTGTCTAAATTACAACAGGAATCATTTAATATGTTAAACTTAATTTCTAATAGCTTAAATACAAAAGTGGGATTATCATAGGCTACAAACTTAAAATCATTACAATAAGCAACACTTCCACTAGATAAACTTAAAATTCCAGTTCCAAATATCTCTAATTCTAAAGTTTGTGTAAAATTACGTATAATGCTTAATCTAGACTTATCGGATAGTACAAACAACCACCTATTTCGTTGCAAGGGTTGCCAAATTTCAACATGACCATGAAATAATTTGGTCTCACAGGTTTTGGGAATAGTGGTGACTATTTTCAATATAATGTCTGTTTCACAGGAAGGAGTCGCGGAAGGAGAATGAGTTATAATTCCTTGACAGATATGAGTGTTACTAATTATTTTACAGTTATGCAGATCATTTATTTTACAGTAATGAGCCTTATCATCACTCAAACCAATATATTTGGAGGATGGAATATTAGTAGAATAAGAAACAGGGTTATTGATATCATGGGGTGTTGGAAAAGGTAAAGTATGATAGAGAAGGAAATCGATGCGATTTAGTAGTGGTATGTGTAAGACGAACACTAACTCCTTTTCCGTAATATAACCTGATATAGTAGATACGTTTAAGATAAGATGAATATTTTCGAGACTTAAAGGAGTCGGAAACTTTTTAGTTGAAGGAATGAGATGATAATTTTCAATTAATTCAGAATAAAGTTCTTTAGGAATTAATATTCCAGGATGGAGTGCGTTGGACTTACTGAACATAATAGATTCGACTAGGTCTTGAATCTTAAAAGAGAGTGTTAGAAGATGGTTTTCTAGCATTGATACTAGTTCCAGGATATTAGACTGAATTTTTAATTCGCGTGATACAATCGTAATATTTTTAACATCCACACTGAGGGTATTTAATGCGACTGAGATTTCATGTTGATTTGACTCTATTGTTTTAATTGATTTACTAAATGTTTCTAAGGCCGATTTCGTACTATTATATTATCTTTTATATATGACGCTATTTTCTTTTGGTCTAATTGAATTTCCTTGACTGCGTTATTATATCGTATGGCGTCTTCTTCGTCCATTGTGCTAAATAATTTCTTAGAAATGGTACCTACTATTCCTAGTAAAGGACTTCTCTTAATAATATGATGTGAGCTAAGGTCTGGTATGGCTTCGCTATAACGGATCATATCTTCGTAACGAGCGATTAAGGGTTGGAATAGATTTCTGCATTCTGAAGGATTAAATATTTGACTCTCTTCACAAATTAATTTAGAATGATTTATGTTAAATTGGAGATTAAGTAAATGACGGTTAATATACGAAACATCTTTTGGAACTATGACACTTAAATGACTATCAACGAGGTTTAAAGAACCGATAGGATCTGGACTGGATCCAGGACTGATTTCTTTCTCTTCGATGAACTGTCCTGCCGCAAGGAAATTGCTGAAAGAAGAATGAATTATAAGATTAAAGGTTTACTTTACTTAAAGAACTAATGATTATTGTCCGAAACGTTGGACCTAGATGCTAACTTAACCTCATCATAATGATGGGTGACATGACGTCTGTTTATTAATAATGTAAGACTATTTCGCCCGTTTATCTTTATAACCTTATATGGTCCTTTCCATACGGGAGACAAAGCTTTTCGGAGTCGAACATGATTTTTAAGATAAACGTAGTCGCCTGCTTGATATTCTACTGGTCGTGAATGATTATCGTAATACCCTTTCGATCTTTCTTTAGATTTTATCGCATTTTCGTGAGCTTTTTCACGAGATAATTTTAATCTGTGTTGAAGGAATTTAATGTATTCGGGATATGTTATGTTTGTCGGTAGGTCGTAGATAGAGTCTGGTATATAAGCTTTATGACCAAAAAGGAGTTCATAGGGAGTAAAGTTTGTAGAGGCATGAACCGATGTATTATATGATAGCATTGCTGTAAAAACAAATCTATGCCAATTTGATTGATTTTCGTTGACGTAAGATTTTAAATATTCTTTAAGAGTTGAATGGCTTCTTTCCAAGGCACCTTGCGTTTGAGGGTGGTAAGGAGAAGACCAAATTTGTTTTATTTTCAGGAATTCACACGTTTTCTTAAATAATTCTGCAGTGAAATTGGTACCTTGGTCAGTCAAAATCATTCTTGGAATACCAAATAGTGAAATAAAGTGGACGAGGCATTCGAATGTGTCTTCAGAAGTAGCATTAGCAATGGGATATGCAAAAGAGAATTTAGTAAGATTATCTTGCATAGTAAGTATATATTCCAGGTCCATACTAAGGCGCTCAAAAGGTTTTGTAGATGTAGTAGTAATTTGCATGGGTGCACGATTCGTTTGTCTAAAGGCTTTGTTGCTCTGACAGAGCGAACAATTCTTTATGTAATTCTCTATATCAGAACGCATGTTTTTCCAGTAATATTTTTCTTTTATTCTATTTAGCATGCGTGCTGTACCGAGATGACCGGCTATGGGTATGTCATGATTATCGTGTAATATTTTACGTGTTTCGGATAACGAAGGATATACAAGACAATCGTGGTATATCTTAATTTCAAAATTGGTACTTGTAAAAATGTAAGAAAACATATTATAAATTCTAATCCAGGTGTGTTTATCAAAGCTATTACGGAAGTCTGTGAAAGCAATTTGAATGTTTTCTTCTGTGGGAGACATACTTGAAAGATTTAGTATATGATTTTTAATGAATAGAATACATTTGAAAATGTCTTCATAAGTACAGCTATCAAAATGATAGACTTTAGTAAATAGGAAGTGAATGTGTTTGGTATTGAGTTCTAAACAGAGGCAGGTATATAATGTCCTTTCTTTATACAGGATTTCAGAAGGGTTTTGAAATTCACTTAAAACTTGTTCGACGTATGGATTTGATTCGTCCAAATCTATTGAAGTTGGTATAATTATATGTTTGTAATTTGTCTTAAGGATATTCTCATTACATTCGGAGATTTTGGCTGTACTATTAAAGCATTTATTCGAAATCATTTTCAAGAATTTGGAATAACTCTCATTGGTAAGAGGGGGTGATGTAAGAGCTGGTAAAGGCGGATTTTGAACTTCTTCAGGACTTAGGATACTTGGAAGGGGGTCTTCATTGTCAAGCAGATCAACCGACGGAGGGTTATCAGAGTCAGTTGGGATTAGAGGTAATTCACCAAGATCTTCTAGAGTGATAGGGCTGAAATTGTCCTCTTGTCTGGATGTAGAAGGAATAGGATTTTCGTAGGGATCTTGTATTGGATTTACAGGGAAACGAGAAAGAGCATCAGCATTACTATTAATTTTTCCTTTTTTATATTCGACTTTGTAGTCAAACTCCTCTAATTTGAGTGGCCACCTAACTAATCGAGAGCCCGGATCTTTACAGTTAAAGAGCCATTTGAGGGGCCTATGATCGGTAACGATGGTGAATTTATGTCCGTATAAATAAGGTCTAAACATTTTTGTTCCGAACAAGATAGCGAGACATTCTTTTTCTGTTGTTGAATAATTTATTTCTGCTTTATTTAATGTTCTGAAGGAAAAAGCGATGGGCTGATCTTTTCCTATTTCGCCCTGAGATAGTATTGCGGATATAGCATAATTAGATGCATCGCATGTAAGAACGAAGGGTTTAGTAAAGTCTGGATAAATTAAAATCGGAGCAGTGGTTACTTTATTTTTTAGATCATCGAATGCCATCTGTTGTTCCATTGGCCAACGAAACGGAGTATCCTTTTTTAAAAGGGAAGTCAGTGTTTTAGCAGTTTTAGAGAATTCTGGAATGAACCGGCGATAATATGATACGAGACCAAGGAATGATTTTATATCTTTAGGTGATTTTGGCAAAGGAAATGCTGACACTGACAAATGCTTTATCTTGTCTGGATTAGGGCTCACCCCATTTTTACTTATTATATGACCTAGGTATCCTACCTCTTTTCGAAAGAATTCACACTTGTCTGGTTGTAACTTAAGCTTATGCTCGCGTAGCCTATTGAATATTTTACAAAGCTTGTCGCAGTGTGAGTTTAGATCATGGGAATAGATAACTATGTCATCTAGGTAAACATAGCAGTGTATACCTTGCAGTCCCGCGAGAGCGGTATTCATAAGCCGTTGAAAAGTTGCCGGAGCGTTTTTTAGCCCGAACGGCATTCGTTTAAATTCGAAATTACCTTCTGGAACAGTGAAGGCTGTTTTAGGGGTATCTTTTTCAGAAATAGTAATTTGGTGGAACCCTGAACAGAGATCGAGTGTAGAAAAGTATTTGCTTTGGCCTAACTGGTCTAATATTTCATTTATTTGTGGAATAGGATAACTTTCACCTATGGTGATATCATTTAACCTACGGTAATCTATAACAATGCGCCATTTGATTTCACCTGAGGAGTCTAGTTTCTTTGGTACTATCCAAATTGGGAATGACCAGGGTGAAGTAGAAGGTTTGATTATATCTTGAGAAAGCATTTTAGAGATCTGTTTGTTTACTTCTTTTTTGTGGATTTCTGGGAAACGATAGGATTTTACATTAATAGGCTCAGCGGGGTTAGTAATTATTTCATGTTTGAGAAGATCAGTTGTAGTAAGTTGGTCATCGGGTAGATGAAAAATATCAGAATATTGTGAACAAATATCTGTTAGGCAGTTCTTAAAAGATTTAGTACTTCCTCTCTACGAGCAATTGAAGATTTAGTAGAAGTGATATTCGGATCTACTTGTAATGAGTTTACATCAAGTGGTTGTAGTTTAACTTTGATGTCGGAATCTAAGGTCACTAGTTTTTCCGATGTATTAACTACGGATATATTGACTCGATTATTATTTTTTACCGAAACTATGCAATTTGCTATCAGGAGAGTGTCTGAAAGGTGTTGATCTAGAATTAACCCAACTTTTTGTTCCGGGTTTAAGACAGTGCATTCGATTATTGTTTCGCTACGGGGAGATATTTTGTACAAGGGACGACTGTAATCAATCTTAATGGTTAAATCTCGGATTTGTAAATTGTCGGAGTTGTAATCTTATAATGCCATCTAGATCGTTAAGAAAATCGGTATCTATAATTCCGTCATAGCCCAAATCTATTTCATTTACGACGTGAAAACGATACCTTAGATCCGTATTAATACTGTCGAATAACTGAAGTTTGAAATGACCTAATGTGGGTACGGTTTCGTTATTGGAATTTATTCCCTTGAGTTGTATCACCTCGTCTGTAAGATTTGGCATAAATTCAATCGAATTTCTTTTTATCAAGCTAACACAAGAACCAGTATCAACGAGAAAGACAAGCGGTTGAGAACTTACTTGAGTAATTAGAGTAACATGAGGTAAGTACCTTTTTTGTAAATTAGTTGATTAGTTGATTGTTTCATAAACTTGATAAGTATTGATTCTACTTTAGAACATGGATATGAAGTACTGTTAGTTGATTCTGGGTCGGATAGCGGATTTAGTATAGAATTCGGAGCAACAAAGTTGGAGGATGTGAATTGAGTAAAAGTGGGTTTTGAATGATATTGGACTCTTGCTTGGGACTGTTTACCCGTGTGGTCCTTGGGTGTAGTTGTGTGGACTCTTGCTTGGGGCTGTTTACCCGTGTGGTCCTTGGGTGTAGTTGTGTGGACTCTTGCTTGGGGCTGTTTACCCGTGTGGTCCTTGGGTGTAGTTGTGTGGACTCTTGCTTGGGGCTGTTTACCCGTGTGGTCCCTGGTTTTGGAAGTCTGGGCACTTGTTTGGGGCTGGTTACCCGTGTGGTCCCTGATTTTGGAAGTGTGGACACTTGCTTGGGGCTGGTTACCCGTGTGGTCCCTGATTTTGGAAGTGTGGACACTTGCTTGGGGCTGGTTACCCGTGTGGTCCTTGGATATAGAAGTCTGGGCACTTGTTTGGGGCTGGTTACCCGTGTGGTCCCTGATTTTGGAAGTGTGGACACTTGCTTGGGGCTGGTTACCCGTGTTGTCCTTGGATATAGAAACGGTGTCGTTATGGTTTAAGGTTATAGCTAAAGGTAAGTTTTTGGGTCCCACGAGACACCTCCGTTGACCCACTATTCGTTTAAACGACTATCGTCGTTATAAAACTGAGTATTATCTGTACTGGTAGATGGTTGTGGCTTGGGGTCACAATATTCGTTCTTGTCAACGACACAGTTGACACGAGCGGGTTTATAATCTTGATTATGGCGCTGTTGGAATTAAGGGGTTTTGGGAAACTTTGAATTTATTGTTATTATACTCTCTTTTCCTGCAAACTTCGATTGTATGGCCTTGAGTTTTGCAATACTGACAAAATGGAATTGGGTCATGTCGAACAGGTTGTTTTGGCATCTGGGGCCTGGCATTTGTGTTAGGAAAAGGCTTGAAAGAGTAGTTAGGTTTTGAACCTTGGCGCTGAGGAACCGATGTGTGAGAATTGCGTTTGGCGAAAAGATTGAGAATTTTTTCTTCGGATGTAGCTAAATTAATAGCTTCATTAAGAGTAGATGGGTTTTTGCCACGGACTAAATTTGAAATGTCAGGTTTAAGACCAAGTAGGAAAGTGTGGAGTGCTAAGTCTTCCATTGCCGCTGTGCGGCCGAGAAGCTCAGTTTTCTTCTTGTTGGACAAAGTTACTTCGGTTAATAGTTTCGACAGGCAAGTCTCAACTCGTAGGGCGAATTGGTTTACAGGTTCTATATTAAGTTGACGACACTCTTGCAAATCAGCTAATAAGTGAGTATAATGTTTGGTTTCCCCGAATTGTGTTTTAAGGAAATGGTTTAATTGGTCCCACGAATCGAATTCTTTAATTGAACAGGCTGTTTCAGCTTTACCATTCAATTGTGACAATATATATTTAAACAAAATAGGTTTTTGTGTTTCCGATGCTAAACTGGTTGCGTTATCGCAATTTGACAAAAATGAGTTTAATTTTTCACGTGTACCATCAAATGATTTTATAAATTTAAATAAAGTACCGATTTCTACGTCGACCTTTTCGTGTTTAATACTCAATTCCCTCAAAGACATTTTGCTTAAAATAAAATGTAACAGGACTCAAATAAAATAATCAAATAACAGTACGGTGTAATAGACGGCCACTATGTTATGGTTTAGTACTGAGGCGAGTCGAGTTCCAAGAAAACGATAAGCCTCGGAGCTTCTTATCTAGAACGACAGTGCTAGTTATGAATAAGTTTTGAACATAAGTATTTAAACAATTATATTATTAATATAGGTTTATAGAAGTACGTATTATTTCACTGAAAAACACACACTAGAAATTCATCGGTTTCACTTTGAAGGACACAATAGTGTCAAAATTTGAAGATCCTTCCGGAACAACGTAGGGTTATAGTACACACACGAAATACTGGTTCAGGAGTAGGATGTAATACGCTAAAATATTAAGCATATTTTGAGCACTTTTTAACTGCACTTGGATTTTGCACTATTGGATTTTGCACTTTGTATGGATTTCGTACTTTGTATGGATTTTGCACTATTGGATTTATACGACTTCGGACGGTTTCCAGGATTTATAAAAAATCCCTTTGCGCTGCCACCAATTGTTACGCGAATAGTTGCGTTTATGTTTTTAAAAAAAACATTTATTGAATACACTTTTGAAATAATTAATTTATTGATATTGAAATTAGGTTAGATTATGATATTGACACGTATATTCGGAGCGGAGATTGGAATAGGACTGACTGGCGGGGAAGCGACGGTGTCGAGGCTTGGCAAAAGTGCTGACTTGGGATAAAGGATATGCTGGGATGCGTCAGCGACTTAGGGTACATGCAGGGGTTGTAACAGTACGCAGCCGTGTTAACAAGCTCTGACCAACAGGCAAGTGGCAGTTGTTCGTGAGCATGCATCATAGTACGAGCAGCTTCTACGAGTGTTCGATTTTCTCGTTCACTAGATCCATTTTGCTCTGGTGTATATGGCATTGTAAACCGGTGCTGTATGCCATGCAAATCTAGTATCTTTTATTGAAAGCTATTGAGCTTCATTCTTAAATTCACCTCCATTATCGCTAATAATTGTTTTGATATTATGACCAGGCGTCTTTGTTTCTTTGATCATCTGCAGGAGTTTATCTTTCACTTCAGACTTATGTTTGATGAAGTAAACATGACGAAAGTTGCTGTAGTCATCTTTGAATAATACAAAATAGCGTAATTTTGAGAATGAGTTCGGAAATGGTCCACAAACATCGCTATGAATTATATTTCCTGCATCTTTAGCTCTTTCTCTTGTTCCAAATTTGCGTCTATGTGTCTTACCGTATACACATCCTGTACATAATTCAGAATCGAGTTTGACTTTGATATTAAGTTCCCTTTCAATCAAGTTTTTAACATGTCTTTTATTCTGATGTGCGAATCTTTCATGATAAAGTTGTAAAGTGTTTTGTGTTGACATAGTGTTTACTTGTGAGGTTGATTTTCTAATGGTTTTGACTTTAAGCTTATAGAGACCTCCATTTTTAACACGTGTACCAATCAAGTTTACTTTTCCATTATTTATCAGTTGACAGATTTCTCTTTCAGAAGTAAAAACACTGTTTTGTAGTTTATCTTGTGCGGCGAGTACAGAGAACAGGTTGCGTCTTATTGCGGGAACATACCAAACATCGCATAAGGTAATATGCTCTTGTCGACCATGAACATCTGCGATCAATTCTACTGTTCCTTTTCCAATTGCTTCAGTTGTAGATCCATTTGCAGTTGTAACTGACATGGCTTGTTGCACCGTTATCTACATACCAGTTTTCAGGATCTTCAAAGTTGGTCACTGCTTCATTTGTCTCAACTTGCATTAGATTCAGGTTTAAGTTCTGATTGTTCGCTTGATCTTTAGATGTTTGTGATTCTTTAGGAGGTTTTCCATCTGAAATCCACTTTCGACATTGCTTGACGTTATGCCCAATAAGTTTGCAATATCCGCATTTCTTCTTTATTTTGCGAAAAAAACTTCTATATTGTAAGCGCTTGAGTCTCCGTTTCTTCTTCTTTGTTCATTAAAGATCTCTCGTAACAACAAATTTGCGCTGTTACATTTTCAATGTTACGGTCCTTTTTTGACATAAGCATCCAACTGGACTTGAAGGGGAAGTAGCTATCATCTGGTAATGTTTCTAATATCTTGCAAATGAGTAAAATCTCAGGAAGATTATATTTAGAATCATCCTTTTGCAGCTCGACCTTTAATTCATGCCATATATTTTTTAATTTAGATATATGCATGGACATGTCATGTAGGGGATCTTTTTTATAACTAAAGAAGCTGTAGCACAGATTGTAACTTTTATCTTCAGATGTACCATCGAACAAAGTATGCAGTTCGTCCCAAATTTGTTTGGCACTGGTCAATCGCATTACTTTACGTAGTGTGTTATCTGACATGTTAGCCAATAACATCAGCATAGCGGTACTATCTTTCTCGTTGTAGTCTTGTAGAGCTTTGTGATATTTGTTTAATGCAATAGTCTGGTCTGCAGATGTACCATCCGCTTCGGGATACGTCGGTGGCTTAAGGTTTCCGCTTATAGCGTCTAACCCGCCAGGCGTGCCTCTTAGCAGTAACAGGACTTTGCAGCGCCATGTAGACCAATTTTCTTTACCTTCCAAACGACCAATATCAATTTTGCAGCTCGTCGATGGAGTTGACATTTTGACAAGATTTTGTTTGAATTTGGTTTGAAAATTTTTGCTACCTATTTCGCATTAACTTTAACACAATTATATATTAAAATATATCATTTTTACTCATTAGAAATATAACGGAAGATTTATTAATATTATTTTTAATATTTCACGCTCTGCTACCATATTGAGGTATTCGAAATATTTTATTGACAGAAGGAAAAACAAAGAACTGCATGACACATAAAATAAAAAGAAAACGTATAGGAGAAGCTAGGACCAAAGAGTTTGTTGAAACTTTTCTAACAGCCTTCATGTATTACTTGAAAATTTTTTTATTTTTTTTAAATTCTAATCAAATATATTTATAACCTATGAATCTTTGTATTTATTCCAAGAAATATTGTTAATTATTAACTGTTTTATTTTAGACTGACTGATTTCTGAAATTGCCACGATCATCTAAGAAGAAATTATTAACTTACTTGGGAAACCTAAATACAAAAACAATAAAAAGCCGAAAATTATAAACAATTATTAAATATTCCTCTAGTTTTATTGTTATTATACCGTCTTCCAATATATGCTCGTAATAAAAAAATAATAAAAGGGTCACATCCGACATTTTAATAAACGTGAAAGCGAGCGAGAAGCCATAGTGCGTTGTCCTAACTTAAAAGTATTAAAAGTACTACTCATTATCCTTCTCTATTGTAACTACTAACATTTCATAATCGAATGATTTCATTAGTATATCTCATAATCGACCTACCTCGACTTACTAGTATTAGTAACTACTAACATTTCATTCGAATGAATTCATTAGTATATCTCATAATCGTCTGGTACATATTAGTAACTACTAACCGTTATAATCGAGATATCTCGAAACATTTTCATAATCGAATTGTTTCGTTAGTATATCCCATAATCGCCCGCCTCTAGATATTATGGCCTTTGCTTTTTGCCGACTGGATCTTTTTTTAACTATTTAATGTCATTGTCTTAGATGTTTTATTAGTTTAAAATGCTATAACAATTATTATATCATACAGTAGGTACTAAAATATTTATTGATGACTTGTAGTTGTTTTAGTATTATGTCAAACTGTGATGACACTTAGACAATTTTATTTGTCTGTAAATTGTCTTACTTTTTCTTTACATGACTTTAAGTTACTTCTGTATACTATACCTTACATGTAGCCTTACATGCTTTAATACTCTTTCAGCTAATATGACAGTCCCTGGACGTAGAGGCTTGAGAAATCAAGAACGCTTTGCTCCACATAACTATGCATACAGATAATTGATTCCTTAAACATACCTAATTTTCCACACTTTACCTTTCTTTTAATCTGAACAGTTGAATAGAGGTTTGGAAGGCAACATGTAATAAAACTTACATACTAAATTTGTGTCTAAATGGTATTGGCAAAGCAATCTAATATAATAAAGGATAAATCCCATATTATATTAGACAGCTTTTCCGAGTGTCTTCTTCAAGTTCAAAAAAGTACAACATATTTTTTTTTAGATTCTTAATTTCTTTTCATTTGGTATGTAAGTGTGTATTTATACAAAATTGCAGTTGACAGATAAACTAGTATACATTGTATTTTTTAAAGTCTCCGTTTGTGCATGCAATCCTTATACTGGATTTAGGCATCTTTAATAAAGAAGCTGTAAGTAATAAATCTCTTAAACAATGCTTATATTTTAGAAAAACTTAAACAATTCTAGGTATACCTAATATAAAATTCCTTTATCAAGTAGCGAAAATGGTCTGCAAGTAAATGTAAACTACACAAGTTTTATAGCGAGCATGGGCTTACCTAAGATAAACAATCTGTCTGTTAAACAATAGGCAGAGGCATATCACAGTTAGTTCCGTATTGTTTAACTTGTTTAGATAAACTCTTGATTACCAAGAACATTAAAACAAAGAATAACTTAAATGATTTATTCCGTAAAAAGATAATACATTTCAATCTTATTAGTTATGTCAATACTTAGTATATTGGTTCAGAATGTGGTTTAATGTACAGTCAACCAAAATGTAGGAAAATAAATTAACACTCAAAATTGAAAAAAAAAACACAGAAACATTAATAGAAAATCTAGATTTAAGAAGGTGATAGTGATAATACTTTGTAATAAACAAATTCAGGTGATCTCGATTGATTTAATCCGAAGAGAAAATGAAAATTCATAAAAAATTGAGTATTTTACTTCACTAATATGCAATCATATTTCACGAAAGTGGCGGTCAGGTGTTTCTGGGTAGGAACAAGTTGGTCTGGGTAGACGTAAATTAGAGTAAATTACTTATATTAATAATCAGCATATGTATTAAAAATAAATTAAATAACATATTATAGGTAAACAAACAAAAAGTATAAATCCCAATTGCCTGTTCTAGTGCTATCGCCAATATAAAATAATAGAAAACAGTAATAGTAATAAATAACTATATTCTATCTAAGATTCACCTATTCATATATTCATTGTTTTAGTGAAAATCATAGTTTTACTACACTTGTTTCCTATGTTAAATATATATAGTGTATATTTGTAGGTAATATAACTTTATTAGAACTTCAAATATCCAATAACTTTTTAATGGTTTAAACTGTACTTATTGTAGCTTAATTTTTGTGCCAAAGCCAATCTTGAATTTAAAAAATTCAGAATCATATTGTAAACACCTGTTTGCAGAAGCCAAAACATTTGAATATATGAACACAACTATATAACACTTAATATATAGTATAGGTATACATTAATCTTAAGTACCCAAGGAACCGACTGTAGAGGGAAAGTAACGACATTCTTCGGCTATAAGAGATAACTTATACCACACGTGATTTTTATAGAATGTATTAATTAAAAAAAACTTACATAACCAATAAAACTGAGTACCTATTAGATTTATTTCATATTGGTCGTTTCTTTTAGGACGCCGCTTTTGTTATTTACGCTGGCCTCTATAGTTTTTATATTAATAACATAATGGCTAATCTCTGTTGTGTCTGGACTTTTTTGCAAGCAATTGACATTTAGTAGAAAATAGTTATTATCGTCTGTCGGTTGTCATGTATGATGTATTGGTATGGGACATATAGCATTAGGATACACGAACGTGTGTTTCTACGGCGTCATACATAGGTAATACGGTCTGTTTCTGGTTGAATGTTGTGATAGGTTTTTTTTATTAATTTGTTTTATATTTATTAATAAGAGGACGATTGTTAGTTGTTTAGCTCTTCTAAAGTTGTTTCTCCTATTTGGGTTTACGTTGTTGATGCTTACATAAAATTTGTGAATAAAATAAATCTAAAACGAAGGAACTTATAAAATATACATAAATGTTTGTTCATTGTTCAAACTTCGTCTTCATATTATGCTGTACTCTGGATCTATCGGGACAATATAGTCGCAACTCTTACACCCTAATGCAATATAATCTACTAAGTTATGTCACTTGGCTGGGACGAGGAATTTTTCTCTTTGTACCCACAAACTTTTAGTATTAATATAAATGCGAACTCATCCCAATCGAAAAACAAAATTTCCGCCGTGAACCTAAGCTTAAATTACTGATTTTGATATGAATTAAAAATAAAAGCAATATATACAGCAAAATAGAAACAATCATAATGGAATTGCAACAACTATTCATTAAATGAAAGTGATCATTCAATTGGCGCGGCACTTTTCCGGTGGCATTTAAAATGTGCACTGACCAAATGCTTGCGTTATAACGTGACATTTTACATATCGAGTATTTATTCGTGCAGTCTCCACGTTGATGTTCATTAATAGTGTAAATCACTGAAACCCGAAACCGGCCGTCTACCTTACACGCGATTTGTCATCTATCTATTTTAATATATCTCTTTGAAAACCCAAAAGACCTTATTACTTAAAATTAATTGCATTTTATATCAATCTCTATATAAAGCTGTTCTTAGCAGGGTGCTTAGTTAATTTCCCCCAACAGCCTAAAATCTCGTCGTATCTAAAAATATGTATCAAGAACAATATCTTATTTAGTGTTTATAATAAAAATGCACTATGTTGCGCATAAAATCTAGCTATAACAATTTTGAATTTTAATGAATAATTTTATACATACAGACAAAAATATAGAATCTCAATATAATTACCTATTCGTTTATCTAACATCTAATTTAGGTACAACGAAGTAACATCCTATAAAACCAATAAAAAAATAAGTACCAATTAACATTTTATAGTATGAATATTGATTTATATTATATTTGTCATGTTTTTTTGGCTATTTTAGTTGTGTACTTGCTTTTCAGAGTAGCATTTATTTTGCTCAAAACATAGATTAAATTATATGAAAAGTACAGTCGATTATCACACTCATCAGGATCTATTGGGGACAATTCTGAAATTTACAAGATTTTACCGTTTTATTTTTTCGCTCTTCATACACATATGACTCTATCTGCGATTTAAGTCGACAAATATTTAAATAAATTTAGTAGGGAATTGTCCCTAACGATGTTTTTATTCTAAGCTCGCCAAGATCCACGTGTGCTTAATAAACTATCTCGACTATTCACCTCGATCTTACCACTACCAAACCTTGCACTTCTTCTGCGGGTTCATAGGAGATCCTGGGGGACAGTTGAAATCTTTCGCGAACTCGTCCATATTCGATAGTGGACCTAGTACTCTGAAGCGACCTGGGGCGTGGAAGCCGGTTGTAATTCGCATCTTTATAGCCTCGTTCCGATACACAGAACACCACGTGTTTGCAGCGCTTAGCCAAAACATCTGAAAAAAACATTACTACAGCTATACTTCTCCAATTACACTATTTATTCTTTTCTAGGCACTGGGGTCTACGATTGATCACGTTATCTTGTAACAACTGTGAAGAACTGTACTCTATTTTTTTATAATAGAGGAGGGCAGACGAGCAATAGATCTAAAGTGTAAAAATGTATATATACATATACATTTTTACACTTGAGATATTCGTAAATCCAGTGAAGAAAACCGTAGCGCGCTATGGACGGTGCTTCGTTTGAACGTTAGAACCGTGACAGAATTTCGATATGCCTACCACACATTTAATATTAGATTTCCAGACGAACACCAACATGTTTTAGAAATATGTTGAACCTGGTGGGTATTAAACCCACGACTTGTTGATTATTAGCATTACTACCATTACACTGTCAAATTTGTAGAAATGGTAAAACAAGAACATGAAAGCCAAGATTGTTGTTCTATTCACATAGTATTATTCACTTGCTACCACTATTCAGCTACTCACGAACTTCAGTACATTTTAACAAAAGACATGAATTAGGTACAGTGTTGTTTATTTAACTGTCGGTTTATGTTAAAAGTTTTGTGAAAATCTATAATTGAGGATTTCAAGTTAAACTTTAAAAATACTGAATATTATTTATAATTCTCCAAAAGTAAATAAATGACACTAGACATATATCGGAGTCAAAATAGTGAAGCAAAATATATCGTAATAAATGAATCTAAACAACTTTTTGTTTTCCTTTCTGTTGAAATATCCTTATATCACGAACCCCATTATTTTTTAAGGTATCCCAAACATTTTATGAGTTCCTGAAGTTAAAAAACGTAGGGGTCGATGTCTTCACTGTGTACCTTTTCTGCAAATCTAAGGAACGTAACGGTTAATGAATCTAGGTATACCTGTCTAGGAGAGTACTTTTCTAAGCCTGGCAATCGCATCTCCTCTCCGTGCCGTTTAGTCCAAGCTTCGTATGCATAGTAAGCTTCCTTGATACCGCCGTTGTCAGCAATGTTCTCTCCTTGTGTGTTTACGCCGTTCAACTAAAGATTTTTAGTAATATGTATGTTGAAAAAAAAAACTGTACTTTTAATAATATAATATTATAGTTATATATTAAGCTATAGAGATTGTTTAAACGCACTAATCTCAGTAACTAAAAGTTAGTTCGAATTTAAAAATTATTTATGTGTTAGTTAGAGCATTTAACGGGGAAGGCTTTAGGCTATCACGATCCAAACATCATGATGCGACCAATACCAGTGGGAAAAACGAGAAAATATATTCATCTTTGAGGTTTCTATGCTATGACGACGTATTTGTGAAGCACAAAAAGGATGTGTCGGAGAAGGGTGAAAAATTATTGTTACATATTTGTTATATCAATCTGCAAATCAATATTAAACATTTATGTAGGTATGTGGAAGGAGGCTTATGCAAGTTTATTAAAGGTTCCCATCTCCCCCCTTCGCACAGTTTTTTTTTAAAAATCTTCAAAATATTATATTTTTGTATTAAATGTTTTATACCTTCATGCCCACTTCCTTAACAGTATAATTTGAGTACTGGTCGATGATGCACTTGGCCTTCTCCAAGTACTTTTGTTTGGTCATCTCTTGCCACCAGTCCACTAGATTGCCGTTCTTGTCGAATTGTCGTCCCTAAAGTAGTCGGAGTCAACAGAATTAGTATCGCTCGCAAACATCTATATTAATCATATTGCAAAATTTAGTTTGGCGAGTATTTTAGTTAATCTTTCATGTCCAAATGACTAGACCTAGAACACTATTGCTACTAAACATTGCTACGATTATCCGGCTAGAGCCGGATAATCGAGATAACTGATAATATTTTTTTACTAGTCGTTTTATTTTTTAAATCATGGTCAGATATCTAATTTTACTGCTACTCGAAACCAGAACCTAATTTTTTAAATTACCTGATCATCAAAGCCATGAGTGATTTCGTGTCCAATAACGAAGCCAATAGCTCCATAGTTCATATATGCTGGTCGCTTTGCAGAGAAGAAGGTGCCTTGGAGGATACCAGCGGGGAATTCTACAAGAATAAATATATGTAAGACATAGTATTGTAGTTAGAGGTTAGACTTACAAACTAACTTTTTCAGAAAACTCTGCGATCATTAAACTCTGATTCCAATGCAATTAAATTTTTATTTTCTTACCACTAGAAAAGAATCAAGTAAAGCGAACAATCATAAAAAGTCGAATTGAGAAATGTTCTCTCTTTTTCAAAAAGTCAAATACCTTTTTTACCTTAAATTAATTTAAACCCAAAAAATGTATAATTAAGAAATTCTATAATTTCACAGCACATTTAATGAAGCAATTAGAATTTGAAATGAATATGTGAAATACGTTTTATTTCAGTGTTCTACTCGGGTATTCTTTTATGAATATGCTGGCCTTGGTAGGAATCAAACTCTTCTAGAAGAGTAATCAAACTCTTCTAGAGGAAGCACTCTAGATATGAATAATAAATAGTATTCTTAAAAACTAATCTCGCTTAAATGTGCAGCACTTTTTTCTTTTTTTGATACTACTTACGTATACTATTCTCAATCGAAGAGTAGAAGGCGTTGACAATAGCTGGACGACCGTGGGTAACCCAGTCGGTCTTGTTCACTGGTTCCCGGAGCTTGCTGAAGAGGTACTCGGTGCCAAAGAGTGTCAGGTTGAGGACAGACTCCATCAATTTGTCAGATGACATTTCCAACTACGAGGAAATATATTTTAATGAAACAAATTGAAAAAAAAAAGTTTTCCTTTCGATGGACGAAAAAACCGAATGGGTTTATGACCCATCTTCTAACAAAGTAACACTTTTCTTGTAAATAAATTTGAGATTTCAATATAAATAAATTATAAACTATGGCTCGACGTTTCGGATGCGTGTTTCGGACACTGGATTTGAAATGGAGGGCGTCAGAGCCCAATAAAACTGGCAATAAATTAAAAAATAAAAGATAGAACAGCACTGTTGCATTTAGTTGGAATTCGAAGGACACTTGTACGTTGTTCGGTAAGAGCTTAACTAAACTTTTTAAAAATTTAATGACACGAACAGCTTTGGAGTCCATGACACAGAACACAGTTCTCATATTCTCTACGTATTGTCTGTAAATAACGCGAGAAGTTCATAGTTAACGGTATAAGATGCGAATTTTTTAGTGATTTTTTTTACTACGGCCGGATGTTGTATATAATTTGCAGCAGTCCTGGTTAGTGTTGCCCAAACGCAAGAACAAGACGAGACTTAGCCAGTCTTGGTCTTGGTCTTGCGCCAATACACCTGGTCTTGGTCTTGGTCTTGGTCTTGCAGCAAGAGTCTTGCAAGTCTTGCAATTACCTATTAGTCTGTTACTATTTATTAAAGTTTACTTTAAATCCTAGAAAAACGTATTAGAATTGGAACATTGTGAGCTTGAATGAATATAGCCATAGTAAAGATCAAGCAGATTAATAAATAACTGAAGATTTGATAAGAAATTCGAAAAATCAACTGACCTATATGTCGTTTTCCATGGAAGTAACTGTTTCTTAATAAACATTATGATTTATAAGTTACATTTGCTAAAACATGTAAAAAAACAAATTAATTGCAATAACTTGACTGTATTTTAAAGAACAATACTCATCTGTCTAAAAAGAGATTGAACCCTCAACTTCAATCAAATAGTGTCAAATGTTATGATTTCGGCGTGGCGGCAACGATTGTTTTAGATTTCAAAAGAAGCCGCCGGCGCGTGTATCATAACCATGTACTTCCGAAAAGCGGCAAATTTCTTTGAGAAGTAAGTACAAAACCTTTGATGCCGCATTATCAAAGTGCCGATGGTTAAAAAATAACTATGCATGTACTCAGTTTGATTTTAATAATTTTTTTATTCGCATTTATGTTATTAGTCATAATGCGCATAGGTCCAGTTTTTCATATTCTTTGATACAGTTTTTTGCGTCTCATAGAATTCCTAAGCGTACCTACCTATACACCGAACTATTACACCTAACTACTCAGTGAAATAGCGCTAAGTCCTAGCTGCAAGACGCAAGAGTCTTGCAGGCTATGTCTTGTTCTTGCTCAAGTCTTGCACGGTCAGTCTTGGTCTTGGTCTTGCTAAAAATACGCGGTCTTGTTCTTGGTCTTGGTCTTGCAAAAACGCAAGAACAAGACCAAACTCAGCAAGACTGAATTTGGAACTAGTCCTGGTAGGTCACAGGTGGTCTAAAGATGGAGGGTTTTCTTAATGTCAAAGTCAAGCGCAGCATACTTGCTTTTTAAGAAGTTAAAATAAGTTAACTTCGGGTTTCAGACAGTTTAATGTTGAATTTAATTTCTTTTCTTTTTTTGAGGCAGCTAAGATCTTCGCCCGCTTACTTACGCCTGAATAGAACTGCGTCAGTTTGTCGTTGTCCAGTAACTCGTTGGGGTAGGCGATGTGAGATGCCATAGCCTGTGCCTTGTCCAGAGCTGCCTGACGCGTCATACTGTCCATCCAGTCGACTTCTGATAGCGTCTTGCCGAACTGTTGCCTAGAAATGAGCATAACCAAAGTTAAAAAATGGATAACACATGAAGGACACGCATAATTTATATTTACGCCATTCGTATTTTGAAACTTGAGAGCGTAGAATGTAACAGCTGGCAAGAAAGTCTCGGACACTTTTTATCGCTTAGTTTTCTTACATCCGTTTCAAGTGGACACTAAATTCAAACTTTTATTTTTCTGTTTTGATTAGCCTAGTCTGCTAAAAGCTGGGCACAGCGCGCTCTCGTAGAAAAGAGTTACACATATTTGAAACCAAATTTCATTAACTGATAAAGAAATTTTGGCGCCTGAAGTGAATGTACCTTATATCATCGACCATCTCCAAAGCCTTAGATTTTGACTTCTCATTAAAGTATTTTCTAATGTACAGCGCCCCCACTGCTATGGACATACTGAAAAAAAAGAATATTGTAATAAAAATAGTCAGTAGTAAAAAATAAAACGAGTGTAGTAGTTCTTTTGTTTGTGTGCTCTTTTAGTGTCAAAAATACATGTTTGCTTATTAATACTTTTTTTTAAATATAAATATTAAAAAAAGTATTAATTGTTACAGCATCAATACATCATTTGTGAAAATTTTAACTGTTTATCAATCACGGTCCTTAAGATGAATGCCGTTGTTCAATTTTAACTACCTACGGAACCCTAAAACATTATCCTACCTCGCACTAGTGGTATCAGCACACTCTTTCCAGCGGCTCTCTCTCTCTGTCTTCCCTGATAGAGCGGTGACGTACGCCAGTTGCCTTCGCCTCAACTCCTCAGTCAAGTAGGAGACCGACGCACCAGCAACACGCCACATAACATAGTTTGCTTGCACGCGTTTGGGAGTCTTTTCTAGGAGAACCTGGGATAAAATCGTTAATCTGATATAAAAAGTAACGCTGGGTTGCTGATCATTTTTTGAGTATCTTGAACAGTTTTCGTACGCATCGGAAACCCACAAAGATTAATCATTTTCCCCGATTTTTACATTTCCCGCTGCTTCTTCGCTCCTATTAATCGCTGTGTAATGTTATAGCCTTTCTTGATAAATGTTCTACCCAACCCAAAAAAAAAAATTCAACGAACCAGTTTTACCTGAAATTAGCGCGTTCAAACATACAAACAAACTCTTCAGCTATATATTTTGGTATAGATTTATAAGTATTTATAACTCGAGGTGGACAATAAAATTATCATAATATTAATGAGCAACATTACCTCAAGATCTGTCAGATATTTCGGCACATTGACAATGGCGATTTCATCCAGGCCCACTTGCACATGAGGAGCCAAAAGTTTATTCACGTATGTCAACCATGGGATCCTGCAAAATCAAAAATTGAATTACTTATGTATTGTCTGTAGTGTTTAAAACATGATCAATACTGGACAGACTTGTATAATCGTGACAACCTTAGGCCTCCCTCAGAGACTTTAAGTACGACTGGTCGTTCGCTACTTCACCTAATAATTTATGTTAAATAACCTATCTCTGTCGATCTCAAAAAAACGACACGCTGATAAAAGTAAGAGCATTGTGACACGTGGCTGAACTGAAAAAAAGATGGCGCTAGCGTAGCAAATCTGATCTTGACATTAGAGACATCCTTTATCTTCAGTCATCATAAAACTGACCGTTGCACTCCGTAACTTCCATTTTTTATTAAAGAAAGCGTGTGAAAAAATTATAATATTAAGGAAGCATAAATAAATGTTTAAATATCAATTCGTTTTCATAATGTAATAGTTGCTTAAATACAATTAACAGTTCTTAATAGCTATTGCGAAGCGCTATATTATCATGTGTCACCAGCTCCAACTAATAGTCCTTAAGATAATGAATGTTTTACCCAAGCATTGAACTTAGTACTTACTTAGGGAATTTCTGTTGAAGTTCAGATATTGTCATCGGGTTGTACAGACTTGTTGCATTACGGCGTTTCTCCAGAGGTAATGATATCTGGAAAAAATATTTAAATTGTATATAATATAATTGAAAAATTGATATAGATTTTGTTAAAAATATGTTTCTTTTGAGTCATTTGTTCAAGAGCGAATTTTTTATTAACCCGGGATAAGTGTCTTGATTATGCTATGTCAAAATGATAATGACCATTTTGCCAGGTTTAGGATAACAACAAATCAACGTTTCGGCTTTCTTTGTTCAAAACCAAAATAGACACCTCATCTTCTTAAGATATTAAATGTCTAGGGTATAACGCCTTCCAGCAAGTTAACGCTAGACTTGTCTGTACCCCTCTATTATAAAAATACCACCATTTTTTACTCTAGAATAGCTTAACACAAAAGCAGTGATTGCAAAGAATGTGCTACAAGCAACAACGACGTTGACGTTGTTTGGTCGAAATTTTAGAAAAATCCGAGATGCGATTTATTGACTAAATCCGATTTATAATTCTGTCAAATAAGTCATTATTTTGAAAGGTTAATGATGTGTAAGCCGCTTGTGAACTTGCTAATCCAGATTTAAAATGGAAAGCTTTTGTCCCAAAAAAAATTTTATTTATGCGCGTCACAATAAAAACTGGAATTTTAAAATGAGCGTCAATACACATCCATAGCTCAATACTTACGCATTGTATAAAGTTCAAATGGTCATGTGTTTTAATCCAGGAAATTGTATTTTTTTTGAACAGGCAATCAGAGGAAATAATAGAGAAATATTTTACCTCATGCCCCATATATAAAAAGCAGATTTTCGCACAGTAGAGCGTTCAGTTTGAAGGCTATGGGGGAATATACATATTAATGTGGTCGTTATTAATCTGTAGGGAAGTATGTGATCATTTTGTGCCGACCCCTTGCACAATAGTAATAAATATTTCTACAAGATTAGAACCAAGGAGCTCTTGTACTTTTATTTTACACAATTTTAGTTATACAAAATAAAACAATACTGCCTAAGTTATATTTAAACGACGAAAAGTCAAAGTAAGCAACAAACCGAGATTGTGGTCACATTGGTGGTTTGTGGGTTTATGGCATGTCGTCTTCAAAGAAATTATAAATAAATCCTAATCTAATGCTATTGAAATTCCGTCCCTCGGAAATAGTGTTTAGGGGTCAGCCCCGGATCGCCACTAAAACACGCTTTCTTTTGAGAGAGGAGACCTGTGCCCACAAGTGGGACAGTAATTGATAGAAACGATTAATCACGGGGACACTATATGGAATGGGTGGGTTTGCGGTTCTGCTAAAAACGAAGTTTATTTTACTATTTCAATCAACAAACTAATGCTAACAACAGGCTTTTATACAATTCTGAATGTTGGTGTGTGGTGTGTTGGAACTAAGCTCCCTTACATAGAATAAAACAAAAAATGTTATGGTACCTAAATAAAATTCTACTTACATTTGCTAGGTTAATTTCGAACTGCAAGGAGTCTTTTAATTCAACTTCGGCTCTAGCTCTGTCAGCTCCCAGAAGTGTAGCTATGTCCACCATGTACTCGTAGTAGGCTTGCACCAGCTTGTCTTTGAAGCCACGGTTCAGGTATTCACGGCTAAGTCCGAGAGAAGCTTGATCCAACTGAAATAGAAAATATTAGTAAGGTTTCGCTCAAATCCATCAAATCGTTTATTAGTATGAGACTGGATGTTACCAAACACTGTCGCGTATTTAATCGATCAATGTGTATGAGTGAGTAATTTTTATTTACATTAAACCAAATTTAAAAACTTATGTAACCAAAATCCTCGCCCAGCTGGAAATCCAGGCACAAGAGTCGAAAGCTCCGTGTAGCCTCCGCAAGGGATATATACTTTTTTTTTTACCAATAAGATCTTACCATTTGTTTGAATATCGTGATTCGTCTAATATAATCCTTTATTAATTAATCCTATAATATAAACTTTTTTTAACACGAAGTTCCAAATTAGGAGTTAATTTTTTTTATTATAAAAGTAATTATACTGAGTATTTTATATATATGTCGAAGTGCCCTTCTTTTAAGTGATGGTGTGAATGCCTAAGGCACGCCCACAATGGAAATAGTGACGTGACGAGTGTTGCGCATCGTACTACAACCTCGGAGACAATAGTCGACCAGAGCCACTAAACACACTACCAGCCCGTTTGTATCAGTCCAAGGCGCCCAGATATGTCAAAGTATCATTCTTAACATCGAGTAAAGAGCAAAAAGTCGCGATAAATAACGACAACACACTCCACAGGCCACAGGTGCTTCCGAATCGTTTCACTCGAGCCGCTACTGGAGCCAACTGGTGCATCAAATGCCAATCTCCACGCCGACCCTCATTACGACGTGATCCGCCGACGCCGATCGTCAATCGCTGTTCTACGCGTTTCGCTCACTCGGGCTCACCCGCATTGTGGTGGTCCAAGCCGAAACCGATGCTCCCTTCGGGGCACCCTTGGTCTAGCCGCAAACAAGGCGAAGTGCCCCCCTCGCCAAAATACGTAATACTAATTAAAAAAACTGAAATGCGATAATTAGTCTGGTCGCAATCAAAAATATATATGCTGAGTGACAGAAACCGTTGCCGTAAACTGCTTTTGGTTGTAGGCCCTAAGTAATATAAAGCGTCATTGATATTCAAGGAATGTCCGATTTTCTGTAAGTAAAGAAACGTCGCTTATAACTAAACACATTATTACTTTATTCTCGACGGATAAGAAATTTAATTAAATTTCAAGATGATAAGACACGCGCAGACTGCTCTAATTTATTCTACACAACGGCAGACATTGTTTTCTTTACATTTTCAGTGACGCGAAAACATATTAAGTTACTGCAAATATTCCATTATTCAGAATATAAGAGGAGAATGCTATCTTATAACAGGTTTTGGCCTATTTATCGGGAATCTCTCCTTCTCCTGATCCTCACACGAGTCCTAGTCTCTGCATCCGACTCTACTGAAGTTACAGATAGAGGATGTGAGTTTGTAAAGAAAAACTGTAATCGTAGAGTTACTGAACGCAATCAAAAAGTAAACTAAACAGATAGCTGTGTATATTTTAGTAGACTACCCGCACGCAATTCCTTTCAACAACAGCCATGGTATTATTATCTTATGTAATTTGGGTAGCACTGTAGTTAAATCCGCTTTCAATGGGTAGATTATAATTAGATTTTTTAATATTGTTACAAACATTAACTTTAAACTATTTTATTTTGTATAAGGGGGGAATTAATTCCCCCGAACTTCTTCCCCGAATAAGCCCCGTTTGTAGGAAAGGAAAATAAATACACACTCAATCTGTAGTCCTTATTTCTCATCATATCACCAGATCAAATATACTTACATCAATGATGCGGTTGGTAGAATTCTTGACGTCAACACTAATAGAGAAGTCTAAGAAGTAGTCTACGGAGTATCCGGCATGTCTGAAGCGGTACACTGACTCCTCCCACGAGAAGGATCTTTCGTCCCAATTATCACCATCAAGTACGGGCCAGCCGCCGAGACGTCGCAGCATATCCAGCAACGGTTGAATACCACGAGCTTCGATAGCAGCTGGAAAGAAAGCTGGCGTTAGAAAGACAATTCTCAAAGCTGGGTCCAGGGCCTTCTAAGTGGTTATGATGCTACGGTACTACATTCGTTTATGAGAACTATCAAAAGCCAGAGTTTGATTTTCGATACGTTAAAATCTGATCTTAGCTTTGTATAGGACATGGGGCAAAGACATATTATGTGTCCGTTTCACAGATCGATTTTATGTTCAGGCACTAGTTAGACTTTTGTGCCCCGCCCGTCCAAAATATTTTTGTTTTCTGGATATTTCAATCCCTTTCATGTTTCACGCAATAATAACCTGCGTAACGTCATAAGGTAACGCTAGGCAACACAATTTAACCGCATGAGCTTTGGGGCCGGATGTCAGATTTGTTTGTATACATCTATTTAAATATTTTTAGTTGGAACACTGCGGTCATTGTTTGGTTAGCGATATCCTGACCTTTACTCGTGTTACCGAACCAACGTTTCTCAAAACACGAACGTATAATTATAACAAAATCGCATTTCGTAACGGCAATACGCGAAAAACCTTCTAAGAATACATTAGCTCGGCCCGCGGCATTAGCTTACTTAACTTAGTTTCTAGACTTGGGGGTGGTTTGTCTGCAAGTTTTTTACATGCATTTTATGCCTTTGGGCAGTGGTGTAACTGGTAAAAGGTATATAGAAATAACTATAGAGAAATTGAGCAATTATACAATGTTGCGTTCCTAAAATAAGATTGGTTACGACCTAAATAAGTAGCATATATAAAAACAATGTTTTTTTTGTAGTTTCCGAAGATTTTTAGCCTCCAAAAGCCGGTCAAAGCCGAAAACTGGAAACTTGAAGAAATTTGACTAACCTATCTCAAAAATACTATATTTTTTGTCCTCCTAATCTCGATCTTGCTCGTTAAATTAATAATTATATTTCATACTTTAATTAGACTGATAGATTAAACAAAGTCCTTTAAGTAGACCTTCCAAAACTTCCACACTGTACCTTCCAAAAACACCGTGCCGTGTATGCACTGAACGTGTTATCGAAGTTTAGTTATTACATTTCATAGCATATCGTAATGCGCGAAGTGAAAGTGTACTTCCGTACTTGCATAATCGATGTTATAATATTATCGGTTTCCAGTAAGATGTGTAAGTGTGTGTCTGGGGTTGAATTCCGTTAAATCGCATAAAGACACCAATTATAAGTTGGTATTGCGTTAGTAGGATTTTCGTTACTGAGTAAAAACTCACTAACGAAATGTTGAACGCGCAAATCTGAAGAACAATTGGTTCGAATAAAAAAAAATATTTTTGTGTTGGTCCGAACATTTTTCGAGAAAGGCTTTATAAGATCTCGTAGAAACCAATAGAAGCGAATAAACATAGGGAAATGTCGAAAAAAAAAACTGGAAAATTTTTTCTTAATTTTCAGGAATGTCGTTGTGTGTGATACTGCAAAAATATGTATATAAGAATTATTCTCCTTTAAATAATAAAAATGTCCGCGGCTGTAAGTCTCACTTTTAAGATTAACTTGCAAGAACCGTTTTTATGGTAATCTAATTCGATCGTAATTATTACCAATTATTTGTTAAAATTGTATGAACATAATATTTAAAGCTGAGAACGTTGTTTGCAAAAATAAATATGATACCCAAAATGACAATTACACGCGGGCGAAAAAAAACGTGCTTCGGAGAGCACGTTAGGCTGTCGATTCTAGTGACCGTCACTGTGTGTCCAATCCTTGCCTATAACTTTTTTTATTTAACGATTAAGGGTCGCTAGTGTGCACTAGACTTTATTCTCAGTCCATTATGTCTGTTTTAGATAATATTATGTCATTGTACAAGAGGTCTTTACTTGATAATAGCTTTGCTGGATCTCTTGTCTTGTCTGAGTAATAATTGTTATGCAATGATTAACATGTATGTTTCATAGCTTTTAATTTTCGACTGGACGTTTGAAGTTTTGCCGAGGTAGTATTAGACAGAGGCCTGTAAAAATTGTTTGCCATACTCGAATCAAACGACCTCACGATTTTTATATACGAGTGTCTTAGAGCTAATTAAAACCATGCTTCATAATGGTTAAACGCGTCGCTTATTATTTCCTTAAGTGCGAGAAGGTTGTAATCTCGTAGTATAGTTTAGTAAAAATTGCAATATCTAGATTTTCTATAGTCTAAACTTACTTCGGTTCATACAAGCCTGGTACAGGGTTTTCGCGAGCGCAAAGGGGCGTGGCTCGTCGGTTGTAATAGGAGCATCCAGAAGACTCCTGATCTGTTCCTGAAGTTGGTCCGTGATGATGGAGAAGGTGTTCACTGAAGTCTTGTCGTCTGGGATCCTGGTGTTCTTGACGAAAGAACCGCACGCGAACTCGTAGAAATCGTCACACGGTTCCGATTGTTCGTCCATGTTTAAGAGTAGTTTTGATGCTGGAACAAAGATATGGTACAAAAATTATGTCACCCTCACTGTTGCAAACTATGAAAACAGTTTATAAACTATACAACGTAATTACTATAAAAATTCAATACTGTCTTCAGTTTATATATAATACCGATTGGCGCGATCCAAAATTTGAACCTGAATCCGCGTTATCTGCATTCGAGTTCAGTAAAATCCGGATTAGACAGGACGGTCAGATAGATTACACGTTTTATCCATCAAAACTACAAAGGAATCGTTATTACAAAATTTCCCAGGCGAACAATGCATCGCTTATTACATCAGTACGACTTATAACCGTTGCATCATCATATAATTAGACAAAATCCTCATTAATATTCGCTGGTTTATCGTAAGTAATGTTACGTTAGGGTTGGTGCAATACTTCAACCGGTCGTGGCTTCGATTCCTCGTGTTTGTAAAGTTTTATAACGTTTGAAATATATGTATTTGGCTCTGTATGGTTAATCTGGATATTATACTCGGATGGAATATCGCAACCAACGGTTAAGTGACCAAAAACAAGGCGACAGCTTTACTCCATTTCGCAAGTTATGATTTTGTATGAAAATCGTATTGTCAATTTATTATTTAATTTCTTGTGAAATAAATGTTTTATATTTTTACTTAAAATCATCATTAAATATTTTGTGAAATAATGAAATATTCTTTAAGGCCGTTGTGTACTTTTAGAACACTTTTATTGTTTTTTTTTTTATTATTAAAACGAAGTGTAAAGATTAATTTAATATATAAGTTGTCATGTTTATTTAGAATAGCCGAATAAATTGTATTTTACCACATAAGTGATATTAGTTACCAACCATTCAAAAAAATTAAAGTCAAGAGTCAAAAGAATACTAAAGCCTGTATCCCCACTTATCTTTTTTCTTGAATATATTTCAAATACAGACATTTATATTTTTGAGATATTTACTTGTTTTACTCTGGATGGAGTAGAATATATTATTTTAAATATTTGAGATTTATGGTTTACCTGTGTGGACACAGTCGGCATCCTTGCAAACCTTTGCGTCATCCGCCTTCGCAATAACCGTTGGGGGGAAGGAATCTGAAACTCGAAGTTCGCTGGTCTGTGGTGCATCTGTAACAATTGTACATGTATTAACAATGGCCAAATCTGTGGAATTGTGAAAGTGTCTAATATTCCTAATATATTAAAGGTTTTCTTTTGGTTGAAAGCGATGTTTTTAAAATCTATTAATACTTGAAAATTGATTTATTTATAAACGTACCATTTATATGAAAAGGTTTTAAGCCTCTTCTAGTGATCAATAAGAACGGAGAAGTGTTTTTGGCAAAAGGGGGGGAAATTAGTCTTGTGTTTAGATATTATATGGCTAGGGTATTCATCTACCATCAAGTGCACCTCAAATTTTTCTGTTCTACTATAATAAAAAAGCCAAGAAGTGTAAATCCGCCGTTCGGTTGCAGTGGCATACTTAAAACCAAATATTTTGATAGCGCAACTTGTTTAGACTTTGGCTACAAAGGTGAAATATTTTATTCACCTTTAACCAAGTAAACCTGTCCAAGTCGTTAATCTTTCGTTCTCCGTCATAAAAATACGAGTACACCAGTAGGGCATAACTGGTCCTGGTTACACATACATCATTTGCACTAAACATGTGGCATATCATGTAGTTTATAGTTGTCATTATCAGACGTGTATGGTAATTTTCAAAGTATAATGTGCATACAAAATGGAGCCATTGTAATTATTCTCCGTCACAAGCACATTCAATTTTATTTAAATGGAAATCTATATTTATTTTAAGACAGGGGAAGACAGACAAGCGTTACGGTCACTTGATGGTGGCTGAAATAACCCAGTCAAGATGCGTTGACATCTACAAACCGGAACCTTTTCACCTGTGAACTATATCCAGAAATTCAGATGATTCTAACATTTAAATAAAACAATTTAATGATTTAAAACGTGATATATATATTAGTTAAACTTTTTTGGAACTACCGTTACCACGACTGCTGTAAAGCATCTGAAACGTAATAAAAACGTAAATAATTTTAACTAATAGGTATATATCGCGTTTTGAACCGTTAAAGTAATTTAGAATCATCGTCAGTGTGCCGTGCTGGTTCAAGTACCGCTCGAGTCGAAAATTTTTCAATTTATTTTCGATTTTTAAATCATATAGTGCCTTCATGTGCAACATGTAAATAATAATAAGTTTTTAACCGTTAAATTTTATTTAAATGTAAACTACTCGCGTAAACTTTAGACAGTATTTGAAATTACAAATTAATTAGAAAGTTTTTGGAATTGATGGGGCGACACAACGACACAATAAACAAAGGCATGTCACGAAAAAACATAATAACTAGCGAATTAATCTTGCTTCACTGATTCACATATTATATACAAATTAGTATAATTAACATAAATAGCCGATACATTCTAAGATACACTTATAGATAGGACAAACTATCCATGTCCTTCTGAACTAAAAATCCACTACAAATAAATAATATTTTGATAAAATAACCTTTGCCGAGTCCGATAGTCGCATATTGTAAAACACAACCGACGGAACGTACTCAAAAATATTTGCCTATGCCATAACAAATTCATATTACATTAATTAAGACGAAATGCATAGTATGTTAATTAAAGCTTCAAAACAAACTTCAACCGTATTTACATTAAGCACAAAGTTAAAATTGGCTCGCGAAGTTTATGTTTAACTTAAGTTTGCTAGTGTAAATACTTCGTTATCTGTTTCCGCTCGAGAGTACGTTAGTTAAGTTAGACGTTCGAGAGAACCTGATTGAATTATGTAGAAACTAGAACGGTTATTAATACTTGGGCTCACTTCTGAGAAAACATATATATGACGTTGAAATGAATTTTCAATTTTTAGTAAAACTTGCAGAATCACATAATTTCAAAATTGACATTTACAGCGTGGGCCGGCGAAGAAAGGAAAAATTATTAGCTCTTCCATACTACAAGGTACATCTAAATAACATACGTTATTTAAAAAAAAACAAAGACTTGAGTAGCGATCTCAGAATTAGGTTTAACATAATCTAACAAAAATAAAAATTCATTTAAAACCTGTTATGTAATTTCAAACGCGTACAAAACGGTTCGTGTTTTACTAAGCTTAATTAGAAATAAAATAATCATACCAAACAGTCTTACAGCGTTTTCGTTTTATATAAAATTTCGCAGTGAATTATTACGCTATGGTATGTCGGTTGTAACAAAAGACGTGGCCTTGCGTCACGCAGGACTGAACCCAGTAACAATTCAGTGAGTGCAGAGCCGCAATGAGCCATTGTTGTCACTTAATTTGCAACCTTTTGACACGTCCAATTGCGTTACATGTATTTCTAATTTGTTAGCAATGATTGTATGCCACACTTTTCAACAAGTAATCGAACCCGTGACATAACCCGTCAAGTTAAACGATAAATATTGGCATTGTATGAGGATCATAGGGATAAAGCGGAATTCTCGGACTATTAAAATACCACCAGCTGTCTGATAAGGCTAAATCTAGAATTTATTTTAAATTTCTTTGAGGGCAGATGAAATGATCCAGCCGAGTAACATTCTAGCAAGTCGACTTATTTTGCTTTTAATGTGTTTTTGTCACTGGTTGTGACCCGAACAGAATTTTAGACGGAGTCAAACGTTCCAACAAATTAAAAAAAAAAGTAAATTAACTAATATATTTCGCGTGTTATACCATTCAAAGTGTTTTATTTGAATGTTTATGTTTATTTTATGTAGAGAAGTGCATAAAACATTTCTTATTGATTGAAGTTGCCTTGACTCTCATTAGAATGGACAGATGCTTATTGACGTACATTTTATCTTCGCCCGACGACGCCCAAAAAGGTATGATTTTAAGTGTAATTCCATGTTTTAGCCTAACGCCTAATATACTAAGTCAATTTGAATCTATCAACACAAGTGCTAAAAATAAATATTAAGTCAAATATCACGAACTCTAAACCTGATAAGGTACTTTTATTATAAGTTCTACTAATATTCTCATGGCCATTATTTTATTTTTGTAAAAGACGTAGGACTTGGTCTGGAAATCTGGATATTAAATGTGTGGTAGGAATATCGAAATTCCACCTGGGTAACGGTGAACTCAAAGGAAGGTAATCGCGTTTCGGTTTCAGTCTGTGCACTTCCGAATATCCAAAGCCAAAATATACCGACAGCGCATCTAGTGTAGATGTCATAAGGCTGGGGTATTTTAAAAAATCATTGAACCATATGTTTTTTTATATAATTATACTAGAGTTATGGCTACGATGACAAAATCGGTCGGTTTGAAAGCAGACTGAAAGGCAGGCTCTCCTGAAAAATGCCATTTTATTGAGATATTATTATCAAAAAAATGGCATTTTACAGGAGAGCCATTTAAAGTTTTCATATTGATTTTTGTTAAAATGCTCATTTTTCAGGCAATTTCATATTTTTATGATTCTATAATCAACAACAAACAATATGAAATGTCTGCTGTGTTTGGATTCTTGTATGTCTAAAAACCTCCCCCTTATCTGCCACTTTCATCCCGTCTTCTTAAATATGATAGTATTCCCCAAAAAGAAATTCAAACACTTTTGAAGATAATATTTTGTTACAACAGAAGTTTGATAAAAAACAAAATTGCTCAGAAAAGTGCGATGAAACTTTTTTCTTTACTGTCCACATTTTGAGATATAATAGTCTTTCACGAAACAAACGAACTTTCTGAAACGACTTCACAATGTGTTCCACATAATTTCTCACACGATTTTGAGTTATTCTATCGATAAAACAAAAAAAATACATTTTTGAGATGTAATAGTCTTCTTCGGAAGCGAAGATATATACCCTACCTATACAAACGGAATTGACCGATGATACATTATATTTTTGTTTTAAAAAATGTTTTTTTTTTTCAATGTTTCCCTTTACCGGGAAACACCGTGAGAGAGGCACTATACTTAAACCTGTTTTTCCAATCGGGGAACTCCCGACGATAAAATGTATAAGCTCAACAAGACTCGTTTTGGCAGCAAAATAATGTTTGAACATTACTAGTTAACTAAGAAAAGGAATACATACAGCAAACATAGTTAAAACATTTTTTTATGATAGAGCACGACAGACAAGCATACTTCTCTTGATGGTAGGTGATATCCACGTCATAGATCATCTAAGCAAGATGCGCTGTCGATCTGTTTCAGCTTTGGATATTCAGAAAAAGTACAATTAACATATTAGCAAAAATATGTAATGTTTAAAAACCGTTAAAACTGCTTTTCTTTCCCCCTCTGTTTATATAAATGGGAGTTTTATATTCTTTGTATTGTTGTTTTAATGGAAAATCGATAACAGACCGTGACCGCTGACACAAACATAATCTACTCCACCACGGAACGTGACGATAATGCGAATCCCCAGTTTCAATCGTGCACAGCAAACAAATCCTTTCAAGGCAAATATTCACTATATATAAAAGTTGTTTTTTCCTCTCTAGTTGAATAAAACGTAAACAATAGTGAGCGCAATTATTAAACGGCGTGGTGGGTCTAAGTTCTTATACTCTCTTTGATGCTAGAGACCATATATATTTTTAACATTATTATCATGCATTTGAGGACGATAAATGTTTCAATATATTGTCTCGCGGATTTTGACCTCGCGAAATCTCAACTTAATCAATTAACCAAAAATCAAAATAGGTCGACAGCGAGATGTCTAGATGTTATATGGCTGGATTCACCTCCCATTAAGTGAACCCCAAGCTTTGATAAGCAGAGGACTGAAGTCCTCTTCTAACATTAAAAAAACTTCTCTTACCATTGATATCCGTGGAAGTCTTTATCATAATGGTGGCTAGAAAGGCTGCGAAGAAGGCAATTGCAAGGACTGCAACCAACACAACAGCCAAAATAAGTCGCTTTTCGAGCCGCGTCCTCTGCTCCCAGAAGGAGGCTCTGCAAAAAAGCATTTAATTAATTCAGATGAGCTTCTTATTCCCACAACTGGGATCCAAGCCTTCTATGTAGCGTTGTACTTCATTTACAACTATAGCCATAGATGGGTTCAAGGTTCGTTTACGTAACATTTTTCTCCACCATCACAATGACGAAGATAAATCCGTCAATGCACGAACGAGGATCAAATTCCTAATCTCACAAACGTAGGGCAGGGTACTCATCGCTCAACATTTAGATCCTTTCTTTTTGATTGTGTATTCCGAGTTATTATCGTCTTTCATATATGTGCAAATAATGTACTAATACCTTTATCCGCCATTTTGTAACGGGGGCCATCTTGAATTTATTATACAATTGTAAAAAGCGTTGCTATTAATTATTGTGTTTACCGCTTACAAACATAGAGGGTAAGCAAAATAAAATTGTTTAAACACGATTATAATCGTTTATGGAAAATCAAGCCCAAAGCCCTTAAGACAAAAAGCCTTCTTGTATGAAAGCTGTCGTGCGCTTACGTCGTTTACCCGCTGGGCCAATTTATCTTGATTAGAAGACTTGATCCCGGTTATGCAACAAGGCCCGTTGGTCAGCATTTTTTAAACCGGTCAACGTCACATAAGTTCAACGTCGCCAAGGTCATTGACCTCATCGTTCATATTACGGTACTAAGGACATCTTTGCCTTTGGTAGGTCAGGGTGTTGTTCTTTCCCCCTACGTAGGCAATGGGGGAGACATAGTTTTGTGTCCATTGACTGTTCGATTTTTTCTTTTTCTAAGATTTTTCTAGGATTCAAAGCCTATTGACAATGTTTACACATTTTCGATGATTTGTGGCACAGTGCAGTCAACAGGTGTTATGACTACTACTTATATCTGTCCCCATTTTGGGACATACATTCATCTCCAAAAATAACAGTTACAACAATAGGACAAGTATAACGGCGCAGGACATTCGAATAACGGTTACCTGCGCACGAGTTTATCGACCTCATAGTAAACAATCAATGTATTATGCAAACGTATTCTATAATCTATAATCAAAGCGCGATAATTTGTTCCGCTATTTATAGGCATGTTCTTCTACCGCTGTCGCGACTTATCAAACGTTAACAATAAATGATATCAATAAAACACTTATAACTGTTTTAAACGCTAAGTTTTTAAATTTGTAAAACTTGCGTGAATACTCGTAATGCAACTTTCCGTGTTGCAACATAATTACTTCATTAAATTTTTAAATAACAAAAAATATATATCTATATTTAAAAATCTAACCCGCATACGTCATTAAAACGGTTCAGACGTTTATAGCGAGACACATACAGATAGACATAATCTGCGGATGTTTTATTTAGAACATATAAAAGTTCTTTCTTTTAAAAGGAATCATTTCGCAATAATTTTTCGTATCTACCCATTTACTTCAGTATTTTAATAAACCATTTCATTTGGTTAAAACGCGACCGTAGTAGTTAATCAATATATTTTAATTACGACCCAAAGTTGCAAAAAAATGTTTTAAACAAAAATAAAAAAGCCCGATCGGTAACAGGGCTACATTAGGTATTTGAAGTTCAATAGAAGGAAAAGCTCTGGTATTGTTTACAGTCGAAGCCTTTTTCAAAAATACAAGAATCGTACTTTCGTTTGCGTAAAATTAAAAAAAAAAACACTAAAGGTCGACAGCGTATCTTATCTGATATATATCAGCTACCATCAAGTGCACCCTTATATTTTGTCTAGCACAGACATACACTAACAGCTAACTAGATAAACAAAAAACAGAAATCAACTGACCTTTGATGAATATTACATTATGTATTTATGTAAATTACGTTCCGATGAGGTTAACGACACTAAAACCAATGTCAGCTTACACAAACAACAAAAAACTTAGTATCCCAAAGCTATGGAATCAATTTGAATGACTCGCCGTTTCAAAAGTTCTAAATCACGTTTTCCTCATATAGGTAAGAATGCAGACACATTTATAAAACCGTTTCAATGATCTACAAGCAAGACCGTAATTATTATTCCCCGGCCTGCACTTATTATTGAGCAGTTTACTTTGAGCTATGAAATGTATATTGTATGGCATTTGATTGAAAAGTGAATAAATAACCAATTATATAATTGTCTAATGTTTACTGCTCTAAGATAATTTTAAGCTTTTCATTAATTTGAACAAACCTATATTTTTCTAATTACTGCTGTCTTTTATCAAAAATTTAGCGCGACAGATTAACAAATAAGCATGTTAACAAAATTTCGTAATGTTTTATTACTATTTGCGCTAGACATCCTACGTCACTAACTCATTTTATACAACCGCAAAATAAATAAAAAATGGGAAAATCGCTCTGGGAAAAATAATACGTCAATTTCGTGGAAACACTATTCCTGATTTGATTATGATGAAACTTTGCACAATTATATTGATTTTTTTTTCTTGAGCTTATGACGCATTTGATGTTCTGCGATAAATTAATTAGTTCTGTTTTAATAGTCGCGGAAAACTGAAGATAATATAGGAAAAATATAGTACGTCTAATACGAAGACAGACAAGTATAAGAAACAATGTAAATCTAATCGGTGCATATAACTTCTGTATATTTTAATATCTATATTTATATAAACAATGACTATAACTACTATTTCAATAAATCATGTTGAACGATTTACAATACAAAATATATAAGTGTTAAAGTTGATAAGTCGTATTAACGGACACCTACATATTTCGCGTTTCAAACTTTAAATAGTATTGTATTTATTTATTACAGTGTATGTATAAATTCTGACCCCCATTTATTAATTTAGCAACTTTAGCCTTTTGGACAGCAGCAGTACTCGAGCTGATGATATCCAAACTAATCTATACTAATATATAAAGCTGAAGAGTTTGTTCGTTTGTTTGAACGCACTAATCTCAGGAACTACGGGTTCGAATTGAACATTTTTATTTTTGTGTTATAGCATTTATCGAGGAAGGTTACAGGCTATAACACATTGCGATGTGACTAATAAGAGCAAAGATAAAGCGAGAAATGTGAAGAAAATGGGGGAAATTTTTCATCTCTGTAGGTTTAATATATGTACGCTGCGAAAAAGGTTCACGATACTTAAAAAATTGTATGAAATAATGATTCCTCTTTAAATAATCTAACAAAAAGTCCGCGACGCTATATCTCTATCTTTTAAGATTAACTTGCAAGAACAACGGGAAGGGAATAAGTAAATTAAGTTTATAAAGATGCAAAAACTAATTTGGATGCCCAAAATAACGATTGTCGTATACGAAATCGCTGGCACAGCTAGTATAATATATGTAAAATAACTATTCTACGCAGACGAAGTCGCTGACACAGCTAGTTTCAGATAAAGACTAAAATCACAAGGACTTCCTGCACTTTCATTATAACCAGGGTTTTCCCATGCGCATACATATATTTGGCGATAAAAATCAGCTGGTTTGTGTTACCTATATAAGGAAAACGAACAACCTTGATGACGTCATATATTAGAGTTTGTAATCAAATCGTTTAACACATCTCTTGTGGACATATTTTGTCATTGCAGTACATTTTCTGATACCTTTTAGATAAAGTAGAATACTTCCTTATACAGAGTATATATATGTTATGCATAAGTATATAAAATAAAATTTCCGGGACGTTGTTCCAGGGGTAGTTATGTATGGCTAATAATCACTGGATTCAATTTACATGTAGTGGACACCGTTCAAATTTTAGCAAATATGTTCATGTAGATCCTGCATGGAAAATGAGGACATAGGTGATAGGAATGTCAGCATTCATTTTCAAATGTCTATAGCCAAAACGGGTCGACAGCGGATCCTAAGTAGATGTTATGCCTCTGAAGTATTTCCTTCCTTTAAGTGAATCACATGATCGTTTCTCTATAGACCCTCCAAGCTAAGTGACCAAGTATGTACTAAACACTGTCTGTAGTTTACGCGAGTAGTAATTCATTATTTAAATATAATATTGAAAAGTATTTACTAATATTGTAAAGCTGAAGAGTTTTTTTTTTGTTTCAACGAGCTAATGTCTATATAAAACCATGCTGCGTAAAACAGGAGCGAAGAAACAGTTTAAAGTTTAAGATTAACTTACAAGAACCATTTTCATGGTAATCAAATATTAAAATGTTCTAATTTTAAATTCACAAAAGCGTTTCAAAACATTTTGATTCAAAGCGATACAAACTATCAAGAGACTGAAGATTGTTGTACTCGATTGTACTGACATGAAGTTCGCCTTAAAGTTAGGCCACGCGGTTTACCACTGTTTTGCAAAGACGGTTCGTATATATAAATTACTTGACTATATACTTACTTTGAGTTATTTCTCATGTTGTAGCTCGTGGAGATATATTCGCCGTCCGCACTGAAACAAACAAAACAATATTAATAATATCGCTTCAGCTTTACATACGGATATGTACTCCATCCCTTAACAATAACGAGTTCTTATTAACTGCCTCATAGCTCTAGTGGTTAGTGTACTTGACTGTAAGGGGATACCGTATTTTTATCCCTGGCAGGGTAAAATAGTACATCCCATTTGAATGCTAACGATTGGGCATTATTATGAACTGCTTCCAGTATTTGTTCACGAGTAACGCCGCGAGCGCAGATAGGGTTATCACTAGGTAATTGCAACCAGCATAGCGCTTTGAAACAGGCACACTTAACGGATGTGACTGTTCTACAAGTAGGTGAAGTGCCTCCTTTTGTTAATATCCGTCGTTGCTCAAGAATCGACACGACAATTTCCGTTCCGAATGACCTGCTAACCTTTGCCTACTCCTAGGTTGAACAGACGCCGTGGCTCAATGGTTAAACGCTGTTTTAATTCCTTAATGCATTTTGGCTTTGGATACTCCACAACGAACCAAAACATAATAAACTTCATGCCTTTTCCATATATAAATCTATACTAATATATAAAGCTGAAGAGCTTGTTTGTATGTTTGAACGCGCCAATCTCAAGAACTAATGGTCTTAATTGTAAAATTAGATCAGTGAAAAAGACACAACAATTTGTCTACATTACGAATCACTCGTAGACACTACTCATGTGTACAACTTCGGAAATATCTTATTTCTTTATCCTACGATGAAGTAAAAAAGGTACCATAATAAAAATAGTTTGTTGTATGGAAATCTAAAATTATAACTTACTATATTAAATCGACTATAAACAGAAATAAGAAAGTGTAGTACAAATATTTTGTTAAGTTTTTTATAATTTGATTTTTTTTGCTAGTTTTTGATACTGACCACTTATTAATACGATTAAAACATTTAACACCGAAAACCGAATATGTAGTGAAACGTCCTCTTTTCTCATAAGATATATCAAAGCAAACACAACCTAGTCAACTCTTACAATCAACCCATAAAATTCGCACTAAGCACTTTGTTTAGCATAGGGTTGTGTCTTGGTAAAATGGACATCAATATAATATCGTATGACGCCTTAAACATGGCGAAGGGGCACGTCTTGCTAAGGAAAGCTATCCTTACTTCGAGAAAATGTAAACTAAAAAAAAATTAGAAATTTCCCTCATAACCTCTTAAAAGGCCAACGACCCTTGAATGGAAGAAGAAGAAATTTATACGCACATGGCACAAAAAATATCTTGTTCAAATTAACAGTATATATTTGTTCATTTATATCTATTTATATATTGGTTTAATTTTATTGCTAAGATCCTTTATCTGTTTTATCTTGACAAAATAATAATTATAATTTACAAACCCTATAAAACCCTTGATAACTCGCGTAACAAGCAGTTTCCTACTTTAGTGGTTTTTACGGAAATCTTATTAAATTCATTGGTACTGGCCCAGTTATTTTAACTAACGGTGGGGCATGGGGTAGATCTTGAGTCTTTACATTTTGTTAGACTAGACGCTTTTATGCTAGAAAAATAAATTAATAATCGCTTTTAAATAACTTAAAACTTGCCTAAATAGACAGAACAAATTCGACGATACGTTCGCAGTAGCTCAATAAGACAGCAGTAGCACAGGTACTTGTAATCGTGGATTCGAATACTGTATTTTTTTCTAATCTATTCTAATATTATAAATGCGAAAGTAACTCTGTCTGTCTGCCTGCCCGGCTTTAACTCCGAAACCGATTTAAATGAAATTTGGCACACAGATATTTTAGAGCCTAAGAAAGGACATTTTTAATGCCAAATACAAACAGATATTTTAGAGCCTAAGAAAAGCTAGTTTTTAATGCCTTTAGAATGGTGAGAGTGTTGCGGCAAAGTAGCACTTAAACGCGCCCTTACATAAATTAACCAACAGTGTAAATAATTAAAAATTCAACCCTAAGTCACTATTCCACGCGGACGAAGTCGCGGGCACAGCTAGTCTAAAATATATTTTTCTATTTAGTTGGCTTTATTCAACGGCAAGTTCGGGCTCCTGTGCCATGCGCGACTCCAGCGCTTTCAATGCTTAATTTATCATTATTATTAATTTAGAAAGGGCCAATGATTGTAATAATGATTATGATAATGATAATCAAATATTTAGGTTTATAAAGGTACGATATTAAGTGAAACAGTATGCAAATTAGGTTTCACCTAGTACAAGTCCAAACGGGGTCCACTTTCTCACTTAATTGTAGTCAATTACTGGCACTAGGCGCATAATGCATTTAACATGATCTAGGTTTATAGGTGAATAGAGAGAAATGGAAAACTTTAATTAAATACAAATTGTATATTGCTTTCGCGGACATTTTGCAGAGTTACTTGGGTTTTCTGTGGTCGTCGTCGCTTAGTCGAACGGTCAATATCTTTCGAAGATGCTATCCGCTCGTGGCAACACGTCGAGCATCTACCATTTCTGTATTACGACGATTAAATAGCGCAATAACCAAGTACCTTTATAATTAAACTAGATTACTATAGACTACTTTTAAGCCTAACATGCAGTAAAATTCGAGTTCGCGCAAAAGCACTGTAACGGGTTTTTTTTTATAGATATTTAATACATTTTTAATGCAAGCATTTGTTTGAACGCTGTTATCACGAACTTCACATAAGAGCAAGGCACATATTGCAAAAACGAAGGAAAATTATTGACAAGTTTCGTTATTAATAACAAACGATACATAATAAATTTGTTAAACAAATGTTAAAAATGATTAGGAAAAATAATACAGGCGGGCACTGAGTCCACAACCAACATACTGTGGCAACGACAATTGTGGCAACACTTGCTTATATAAAATTGAAACGGATATAGATTTGTGTTTGCCACTATGATACATAATTTCACATCATATATTTTGAGAAATTAAATTAGTTTCATAAAAAAATTCTTATTTCTCTGTATATAGTAAACTGTAAGGCGGAAAAAATAATAACTTATTATATTATTTATTACGTTACGTCACGTCGTTATGTCGAAACCAGGGAAACGCTGGATTCAACTAGCGAACGACCGTCGTGCTGGAAGTTTTTGGTCCCCATATGGCCTATGTTTAGCAGTGGACGGATGAATCGATATCGACACGTACCTACTAGAGAAGCTATGTCATAAAAAACTTATTGTATTTTTTCTTTCTTTCAATTGCTGGAGGCCGCGCAATCTATGCAAAAAATAATCACGATTCTGATCTCTTGCTTACCTCATACGAACGAAGGTTAAAAGCGGTTAATTTTTAAGTCGAAAATATTTTGATAATCTATAACCAAATCAGTTTATTAACTAAAAACGGCATATTGTTGGCAAACAAACAAACAAAACAAAAAATACTTTATTTTCACCACAATGTTACAAAATAAACTTGATTAAAAAAAATAACAAAAAGTAGCAAGAAAAGGCGGCCTTATCGCTAAAAAGCGATTTTTTCCAGGCTACCTTGGAAATGGAGAATTGGCATTTCAGTGAACAAAATTTGATGAAAACGATGTCATTACTTATATGTTCTTGTCTTTACCTACTTATATTTATTTACGTTACTTATCATGTTATAAAGTAATACAAATTATACGTACAGCTACATAATTTAAAAAACACTAAAGGTTTTTTTTTTTACTTTTGAACGTTAACATTTTTGAACAAAATTATCTCTTCTATCTTCTTATTTGTTGCACATTGAATCGTAAACGGCTAGACCGTGTTTTATAAGACTGAACTAAGACTCATATTCTCATCTAAAATAACTAGAAACATGCTAAAATGTTCCTTTTTGAATGATTCATTTTATTGTATCTCCCAGAATCTTGGTCCAAAATGGTAGAGTATAATTTACATACATCGTTTCTGATTAAATGTATTATTGATTTACGACTTCAATTGGTGTTAATAATAACTAGTTCTTTGCCCCGGCTTTAACGCGTACTTACCAACGCGAATGAATACCAAAGGAATACGTATTTATGGAATGAAATATTAAACAGGTTATACGTGTCCTTAGCCGAGAATCGAAATTGGGACTCATCATTACTTAATTACTAGGCAAAATTTTATATAATTCACAATAAAAACCGACTTCAAAAGGACGAACGACCGACATTTACCGAACAACTACATAATTTAACCAATATTGAAAATATATGTTTGATGGGGAGAAAGAAGAAATCATTTAAGAACATTAATATTTTTTACATGTTATTGCACATGAAGGCACTACATAATTTAAAAATCTAAAATAAATTGAAAAAAAAATTCGACTCGGGCAGGACTTGAACCGGCATCGTCAGCGTTCCGTGCTGTTGCTCATATATTTTTTCTTCTTTGTATATTTATAATTTATTTTCGATTTTTAAATGAAGAAGAAATCAATTGAGAAAATTAAGACAAAACCATAACCTTTTATTTAATCATAAATAATACGCAATATAAAACACTTGTAATGATTAAAACGGGAAATTATTTAGTTTAATTTTACCCGACGTTTCCGACGCTCCCGACGCCTGTAGACAATGGTCACGGGGCCCGACTTAAATTTTTTACTGTAGCAGATTTGACTTTGACATTAGAGACTCGATTAATTTTATTATTGTATTTAGTGTACATAAAATACGCGCAAACTATGTATAGGTATGTATAACTTGTGATATATGGCTGCGCCATACCTTAGAGGGGCAACGGGATTTTTTTAAGGAAAGTATTTCATCATTTCCATACTGTATATCTTAACATTATATTAAACTTATATAAGTCGACGATGCCGCACAAACGCCTATAAAACGGGCGATAATAAATTTTCATTTATGAATATTTAAGTTATGTTTCAACCGATTTCTTACGCTTCGTTGAGTATCGATGGGCGCAATATATTTTTGCATTTTTCTAATCTACTCTGTGTATAAAACTCTGAACCCACAAACGAGGAGCGTGTGTTTCGTTGTA